AAGCGAAAGGACCCGGGTTCGATTCCCGGCTGGGCAGGGCGAAATGTTCGGCAAGTTTCCTTACACCACACAGACACCATACACACGCACACACACAGACACACACACACATCAACATACATAAAAACATACACACGCCTCTGTTTACCAGCAGTCAGTAGGAACCCAGTTGTTAGTCGATTAGCGGATCGCTTTTCTGGGGTTAATAATCCCTTTTAAAAAAATAATAACGTCGCTGGACACAATTATCTGCCTCCAAAACACACAGTCACTCCACTTTACGGTGTATCTTGTGAAGCGACGATGTGATCAGGCGCTGAGTCAAATGCGAGGAATATTATGATGATGACGATTTTGATTATTGTTATGATTGTTATCATTGTTGTGGTGATTATTATAATTATTGTGGTGATGGTTCACAGAGGGAAGAGGAAAGATGCTGAGCAGGAGGCTATATACGAAAGCTGGGTGGAATCAATGTCTCCCATCCACGGGGAGCTCAAAGCTCAATCCCAGGTGAGGGGAGAGGGAAGAGAGTGGGGGAAAAAAAAACCAAAGGGTCTTCTTCACCCCCTCTGCCCCCCCGCCCGAAGTGGGGTAAATTCAGAACAAACCTACGGAAATACTACTTCAGTGAGAGAGTCGTAAACGTAGGGAGACAGACAGACTGTGGGAGCAGTGTGTGTGTGTATTTGTTTCAAGAACAAATGAGATAGATTTCTGTCGGAAAATAATATCTGGGGGAAACAGTATATAGGCACACGCACACAGAGACACACACACAGACAGAGAGAGAGAGACACACAGACAGAGACACACACACACACACACAGAGAGAGACACAGACAGAGAGAGAGAGACACAGACAGAGAGTGACATGCACACAGACAGAGAGAGAGAGAGACAGACACACAGGCAGAGAGAGAGACACAGACACACACAGAGAGAGAGACACACACAGACAGAGAGACACACACACGGATACAGACAGAGAGAGACACACACAGAGACACAGAGAGAGAGACACAGACACAGAGAGAGAGACACACACACACAGACACACTCTGTGTGGGTGTCTCTGTCTCACATACACATATACAGTATAATAGTTTGGGACACGACATGTCCAGCGACTGCCAGGATGGTGAAAGGCCAACTAGATGGACCTCGGTCGGTCTTGTCTCGCCAGCAAACTCTTACGTTCTTCCCACTTCCTGACACAGACGAGCTGCCGGGCTGTGGGGGGTGGGGGGGAGAGGGGCGAGGGAGGGATGGGGGGGGGGGCTCCTGTGGAGTGTACACACCGGCACGGACTGGCTGGGCTGAACGGTCTGAGTGACATTCCGCTTCTCTTCCAGGACGGAGCTCCTTTGAATCCCATATATGAGCCACTGAACACCAGACAGAACACCGCAGCCAAGGTAACCCCCACCTCCACACTCACACCCCACACACACACACACACTCACACACTCACAGCTAAACTCACACGCACTCACACCCCACACACACACACACACACTCACAGCTAAACTCACACGCACTCACACCCCACTCACACACACACACAGCAAAACACACACTCACACCCCACTCACGCACACACACACAGCAAAACACACACTCACACCCCACACACACTCACACACACACACACAGCTGAACACACACACAGCTGAACACACACACATACACAGCTAAACCCACACACGTACACAGCTGCATCCACACACCACACACACCGCTAAATACACACACAAATTCATACACATATGCACACATACACCACACACCCCCCACACACATACACACACACACACATACACCCCTCACACACACAGACACCACATACACAATACCACTCGCTCTTCAGGATTGTAAGAGGATGTAGAGGCTGAGGAGAGGAGAGGGTGCGCTGGTTATTATTTCACTGAGGCTGGTTGTCATGTGCGCTTGACCCCCCAACCCCCCCACCCCTGCCCCCCCCCCCACCACAAACTCAGAGCAAAAGACAGTGACTGGGGCTGAGGTTTGGGGTTTGATCCCCCATATGGAGGTATGAGGACGATGGTGGGAGGAGTGGTGGTGGGGGGGGGGGGAGAAGGGAAGCACCAAGGGTGTGGGAGTGGAATCCTGTTTGAGTCTGTGTGCCTCACGTTTCCCCCTTTTCCCCTTTCCCCCCCCCCCCCACTAGTCGTTCTCTGATGACATTGCCAACGTGGTTTTCAAGCTGAAGAATGCGAAGAAGAAAATGTTCAAGAAACCAAAGTTTTTGGTGCCCATTTGAGGAGCACAAAAAGTTACAGCCCCTCGTTCGTACCCTACCTCCTTCCCCCCCGCAGCCTCCTTTCCCCCTCATCCCCCCCTCATGCCTCTTACCCCTCCTTACCCCCCTTGCACCTATTTCCCCTCCTTGCACCCTCCTCCCCCCTTTTGCACCCTTTCGCTCCCTCATCCTCTTTTTGCCCCTCCTTCTCCCCTCTCACTTGTATCCCTCTTTGCACTAACACCTCTTTCTTCCCACCCCCCTCCCCCCCTCCACCATAGACCCTTGGCGCCCTTTGACTCTTCCACCGGCGAGAGCTGGTGTGAGAGACCCTCTCGATCGTCCCCTTGTCCACACAGCAGCCTGAGGTCTGTTGGTTGAAGAACAGGTTGGGGGGGGTGGTGGGGGGGAGGGGGCTGTGATGGCGATTCTGGAAGGAGGAGGTCGATTGGGCCGAAGGGTCTTCTTCATCTCCCCTGAAGCCCTCTTGCGAGGAGATGTTTCACAGGGTGGGAAAAGGGGAATCGAGGATAAGGAGGGAGGAGGGACTGGGGAAGAGACTCGTGTGGAGTCTAAACACCAGCAGTGGACTGGTTGTGTTTCCTCTCTGTCCGCACTTGGTTTTGTTTGGGTTCATCCTCGCTTTCAAAGCCCTCCACTGTCTTGCTCCTCCCTACCTCCGCGACCTACTAAACTGCCCCCACCCTCCACCCACTTCCTGATCCCACTTCCCCCACCACCCCTCCACCGGCTCGGGGGCAAACCCTTCACTGTCCAACGCCTCGGGACCCCCTCCCGACGTGAAAAAGGCCCCGTGGAAATGTCATGTGTTGCTGTGTTTTTCCAAGTCTGTGTCAATCCTCGCTGGTGACTGGGAGCGAGACACACTGACCCCTTGTTACATCTGGGTAAACCAGCAGGGGGCGCTCTTCACCCCCACCCCACCCCCCACCCTCAACCCCCACACCCCACACAATATCAGTCAATATCATATTGCTTTCCCTTTCTTATCTCTTATCTTACGGTCACCTCCTCTGGACCTACTTCCATCCACCAGTCTCATGGTCAGGCTCCGCCACTCGCTGTTAAGCGCTCCCAGACCTGTCCCTCGTGAAGGGCGCTGTGTAAGTACAAGTTGTTGTTGTTGTCTCACTTAAACTCCTTCAACCGAATGCCAGACACTGAGGGTTTATGTTAATGTTTGCCCGGCAGTGATGGTTTACTGTTATCAGAGCCTCAAAAGTAGATTGGGAATTAAAGGAACCTGATGTAGTTTTGTACATGTTGCCTCTACACCCCCCCACCCCCACCCACCTTCTTGTTTTTGTCAGCTCCGTGTCCACGGGGAAAGGGTGTAACTGAACGATACAAACCACACAACACAACTCAGCCAAAGCGCTTGTGCAGTTGATCAACTGGTAAAGCCACAACAGGAATCTATCTCATCGCTCGTAGAATTACACAGCGCAGAAAGGAGGCCATTCGGCCCATCGTGTCTGTGACGGCTCTTTGAAAAGAGCTTCCAAATCAACCCCACTCCCCCCCGCGCTCTCTCCCCATAGCCCTGATCAACCCCACTCCCCCCACCCCCCGCGCTCTCTCCCCATAGCCCTGATCAACCCCACTCCCCCCCGTTATAATGTTAGTTATCCCTCGTGTTGTTAGTATTGTTAGTTAATAATAATAATAATAATCCTTGCATTTGATATAGCGCTTTTCACGTCGGGAGGACGTCCCAAAGCGCTTCACAGAACACACTGTAAAGTGAATTGACTGTATTTTGTGAGCAGACCGCGGCAGTCTATTGCGCCCCTCAGCGTCCCACAAACAATAGTACAATGTTATTGTTATTGTTAGTTATGAAGTTACTTATAGTTGTTATGTTATTTTCATTCATGTTAGTTATCGTTACTAATGTTTGTTATTGCCAATAGTTGTTGCCTATGAACGTTTGTTACTATAGTAAATATTGTTACTGAAGTTAGCCTCGGCTATGTAAGACAGAACGGATGGTCACTATGCCGCCTGTGCTCGGGATCGGTTTAAAAGCTGCTCCTTCTCGATGATACACCACCATTACCATTAACCTACTTGTCTGTCTGGTTTTGAACTTGGCAAGCGATACTGTCCCATGTTTCATGTCATGTTTCACTCCCCGCCCCCATTCACAAGTGAATAAATAGAATGCAAACTTCCCAGGGCTGAAGCCAAGGCATTTGCTGCTCTGGTTCTCTGATCTGCTACCAGAAAAATATATTACTTTTTTTTTTTGCAAGCCGCTGGATAGATATTTTCAGCTCGTACAGCTAAGGCAGCAGTATTTATTTTTGGTCAACGGAGCGTCTGATGCATGTGGAAATCCATCACCGTGCTTAAGAGTAGAGTATGAATGAATGCAAACTGATCTTTTGTATAGAAGTTGGGAGCTCGGGTCTGTCTTGATGGACTGCTGCATAAAAGCACCAGCCAACACAGCACTAAATAAGGGCTGAATAAGATAGTCGGAGCTGGGAGATTAGTCGGAGGTTCAGTTGGTCTCAATGCACCATGGACGAGGGAGGGGGAAAATGGGATAAATTGCACTTTACAATGCCGAGAAACCATAGCACAATAAGAGGCAACTTGTGTCATGATTCATCAAAATCCTTTCAGCCCTAAGGTGCGTGATGTGATGCAACACAAACCTAACCCGTGCGTCTAACAAAACCCCCCCCTATTACGCAGGTGCAGCTTGCACGACAATCTGGTTCTGCTCCAACGATTTACTTTGCTGTTTCCGGTTCCTGTGAAGCAAATTTAAGTGAAGGTTTCAGATGATTAGAGGTTTCAGTGGTTAGAGCACTCGCTTTGCAAGCGAGAGACCGGAGTTCAATTCCAGGCAGAGGGCGAAACCTTGGGCAAGTTTCCTTACTCCACACAGAGCCTAATAATAATCCCTCCAAAACCAAAAACAATAATAAATTGGTCATTTACAATCTACGACTGTTTGTGGGACATTGCTGTGCGCAATTGGCTGCTGCGTTCGCCCACAAATATACAGTCAACTCACTTTACAGTGTGTTCTGTGAAGCGCTTTGGGACGTCCTCCCGACGTGAAAAGCGCTATATCAAATGCGAGGATTATTATTATTATTATGATTGGCAGAAGAACCAGAGGGGAGACGAGAAGATTTTTTTTAACCCAGAGAGTTGTTACGGTCTGGAAAGGGTGATGGAAGCAGATTTGGTAAGAGCTTCCAAAAGGGAATTTGATAGGTACTTAAAAAAGCAAAACATTTGCAGTGCTATGGGGTGAGAGCGGGGGAGTGGGACTAGTAGCTCTTTCGAAGAGCCGGCACAGACACAGTGACACGATAAGGTGCTGCATCAAATGCAAGGATTATTATTATTATCTGCAGGTTTATGTCCTCATTCACTTGATGGACTATGTCCTAAATTAAACTGCCGTCTCTAATGTTTATCTTGTTCTGTACCATTGCAGATAAAGCCACAAACCCTTTGAACCGCGACCTAGAGTGGGACTACATTCAAGCGTTCTGTGATCAACTCAACAAGGAATTGGAAGGGTAGGTGCCTTTGTGACAGGTCTCCAGTTTGCCAATGTAAGGCTTTCACCCACAAAATACTGCACTTTACAGAATATCCTGTGAAGCCCTTTGAGACGTCTCGAAGACGTGATAAGGTTGCTGTATGAAATGCAGGGATTATTATTATATAATTCATAATACTCAGTGAGATGATAAACATGTAACTATTTTCAATCAATAATTATTAGGTACAAGTCAATAATAATGATGCGAATTGTATTTTGGACGGCGTACGCTAATCTGAAATGCTTTCTCGGGTTTGAGTTGCATGTGATTGCATGTTTGTTTCTCTCTTTGTATCAGACCGCAGCTTGCTACAAGATTTCTTGCACATAAAATCCAATCGCCTCAGGAATGGGAAGCTGTTCAGGCCTTGACGGTAATATCTATTTTAACCGTTACCCCTTAGAGTCAGGGGGGATTCAACCTTTTGGCTGCCAAGGGAATGGGTGCCCTATTTGAGAAACGTCCGTGGGCCACATAAGCAATATTTTTGTGTTTCCCTTCCAGAAACATAACATAACAACACTTATGGGTTGTGGAGGAAGCAAGTGAGCCGGATGAAGTAGAGGAGGTGGGGTGGGGGCGCGAATGAAACCGGCAGTTGGCCCACCCTACCTTAGAATATTCAATGACCTTCACCGCTTTCAAAGGCGTGCATATTTCAAACCTCCAAGCTCTCTGTCTAAGACATTATCATAGTCCTTTCCGAACACTGGTCATTTCGATGTACGTGTCGAGAGAAAGCGCACAGAATTAGTGAGGAAAGAAACAAAAAGAAATATAGTATGTTCTTTATTTTAGGCAGAAGAAATCCTTGCATTATTTTTTGGAAGAAGAGGTAATTAATTTGTTTTTCTTTCCCTCTGGAGCTCAGGTGCTGGAGACGTGCATGAAAAACTGCGGGAAAAGGTTTCATAGCGAGGTGGGGAAGTTCAGGTTTCTGAATGAATTGATTAAAGTCGTATCACCTAAGGTAAGCGAGGCAAAGGCGACCTTTATAATAATTCTGTATTGTGAGGATTCACAGGAACAGTGTTTAAAGTTCCCACCCTACCCATTATTTACCCCACCTCACCACCGCAACCCCAAATCAGCAAATAACTTAGGAGCTTAAGCCTTGCAGATCTGCAAGATCCTAGATTTGTGCCTGCGATGTGTTAGGGCAGTGAGGCACCACCCTGTGTGAAAGGCGCTATGAAACTACACCTTGTGGGGTGGGGGGAAGCCAGAATTGCTGCACCTGATGATGTTTTTACAAACTTGGAACGTCCTCCTGACATGAAAGCCGATTAAAAAATGCAAGTTGTTGTCCTGAACGTGTACCTGAGGGCTAGTCTGCTTGTGTTCCCCCCCACCCCCCTTCAGTACCTGGGAACTCGAGCCCCCGAGAAAGTGAAGACAAAGGTTTTGGAATTGATGTTCAGTTGGACGGTGGGACTGCCAGACGAGCTGAAGATCACAGAGGCTTATCAGATGCTTAAAAAACAAGGTGAGTTTGCTCGGCTCCAGTGAAGTGCGTCTCCACTGAAGTATGTCCATTCCTTGAAGTTGAATTATCTACAAAATCGGTATTCCAATTAAAATCTATCGTTGCTGTCCCTCGCTGCTCATGGAGTCCGATTGGCGGATCGCTTTTTCCGGGGTTAATAAAAATTGCTTATAAAAATAATAATAATGTGGTCACTCAATCCACGACTGTTTGTGGGATATTGCTGTGCGCAATTGGCTGCTGGGTTCTGATCCAAGTGAAGAGATCACAGACCCCTGTTTCTGGCCATGTTCTGAGTGTTTAGTTTTTCTCCTCTCTCGGTAGGAATTCTGAAACAAGATCCTGTCCTGCCTGACGACCAGCCTCTGCCTCTGCTGCCTCCCCGACCTAAGAACGCTATCTTTGAAGATGATGAAAAATCCAAGGTAATCTAATTGGGAGTCCTGTAGCTCAGTGGTTAGAGCACTCGCCTCTCAAGCGAGAGGCCCTGGGTTCGACTCCTGGGCGGTTTAGGGCGAAACCTTAGGCAAATTTCTTTACTCCACACACACGGCTCTGCTTACCTAGCGGTAGGAACCCGGTTGTTAATCGATTGGTGAATTACTTTTCCAGGTGTAATAATCCCTTCAAAAACAACTAATAAAATTAAATAAATACTTTGGTCAATCATTCCACGGTTGTTTGTGGGACACTGATGTGCGCAGTTGGCTGCCGCGTTTTGTCAACAAAATATACAGTCGCTACATTTTACAGTATATTCTGTGAAGCGCTTTGAGACATCTCAACAACGTGATATGGCGCCATATCAACTGCAAGTATTATTATCTCTGCTTTGGTGTTAAGGGGGTGGGAGAGAAGCCCGAATCCCTGGAGTATATTAGCCATCGGGAATATGGGCTATGTGTTTGCTTCTCATTAACACTGACTGTTTTCTAGCTGCTGGCACGTCTTCTGAAGAGCAGCCACCCTGAGGACCTGCGAGCTGCAAACAAACTGATAAAGGAGATGGTGCAGGAGGTGGGTGTGTGTACACAAAGCCAAGTGAGGGCTGTGCTGTCACAGTTACCCTTGTCCATTCTGTGTCCTCTAACATGTTTCTGCTGCGTCGTTGTTGTTTTAAATGCCCAGGATCAGAAGAGAATGGAAAAGATTTCTAAGCGAGTGAATGCCATTGAAGAGGTGAATAGCAACGTCAAACTGCTGAGTGAGATGCTGGACAACTATAAGAAGGAAGAGACCTCAGAGAGTAACGAGGAGATAATGAAGGTAAGGTTGTGTGTGGGGAGGAAACTATTCAGGGGTCTGATAGGGAGAACTTTATCCCTTCCCCCTGGCTTGGAGTTTGAATGCTGCAGCGCTTTGTGGAGTCCTGCAGCTCAGCAGTTAGAGCACTCAACTCGCAAACGAGAGGATTTGGGTTTGATTCCTGAGTAAGGCAAAACATTGGGCAAGTTTCCTTACTCTACGCGCCTCTATTTATTTAGCAGTAAGTGGAACCCCATTGTTAGTCGATTGGTGGATCGCTTTTCTGGGGGTAATAATCCCTTCAAAACAAATAATAATAATTTGGTCACTCAATCCACAGCTGTTTGTGGGACGTTGTCATGCGCAATTACCTGCCCTTTTTTGCCTACAAAACATACAGTCAATTCACTTCAGAGTACATCCTGCAAACGAAGCGCTTTGAGACGTCTCGAAGACATGATAAGGCGCTGTATCAAATGCAAGGATTATTATTGATATCTTAATCCCTTCTCCCTGGCTTGGAGTTTGAAAGCTACAGGTCTTCAATGGTGAATGAATGTCTCTCTCTCTCTCTCTCTCTCTGCATGGCTTGTGCAGGAGTTGTACCAGCGATGTGAGAAGATGAGACCCACGCTGTTCAGACTGGCCAGTGACACAGAGGATAATGACGAGGCTCTGGGTAAGTGTGTTGGCTGTGGTAATGAGGCGGACTCACTGCTCTCTAGCTATCCAGACTTGCCTTGATGTGATGATGACTGTACCAACAAACAGTTGATGCCTGTAGAATTATTTGAGGCAGTACCTTCAGGAGCAAGGGAGAAAATGGGGCGGGGAGGAAGAAGACAAATAAAACCGACCGTCAACTAAAACCATGTTTTTATGTTTTTCCTTCTTTTCCCTCCCTCCCTCTCACCCGCAGCTCAAATCCTTCAAGCGAACGATAACTTGACACAGGTCATTAACACGTACAAAACCATCGTGAAGGGAGAAGAAGTTAATGGAGTGACCGACTTGCCAAACATTAAAGGTAGGTGATGATGATGAACCCCCGCTTTCTCCCTGTATCAGACACCACCACAGCTGACATGTGCGAGGTCAGGTTTTTAACACTGCAGGTAGTTTGCTACCTGTTATTAATTGGCAGTTGCCTTCTAGATCGGTAAGGAGATGCTCTGTGTGTGAATGACATTGCCCCCTGACTTGTGCACTTCCTTGCAGTGAGGTCTAATGTGCTATTTTAACTGTTGGTCGGTGTTTTCGTCCACAAAATACACAAGTCAATTCACTTTCCAGTAGATTCTGTGAAGCGCTTTGCAACTGAGCAACTCTTCTCTTTGTGAGCACTGTTATGTGGTTTGAGTGCAATGCACTGGTAATGTTTTGTTCACAGGGAGCAGCTCTGCCCTCCTCGATCTGTCTGGGCTGGACACCAGCACAAGCTCTCCCGCCTACCCAGCTGTCCCCAAAAGCCAGGGCTGGCAACCCCACCTGTCACAGGATCTAAGCAACTCCGTATCACTACTGGACGATGAGCTTATGTCATTAGGTGAGTGTTCCTTCAAACCCAATTCTCTTAAGCAGCAATGCTATAGCTTTAGCACCTGCTTGATGTCGTGCGAAGGGCGCGATATAAAAGCAAGTTGTTGTTGTTAAGTGTTACTCACGTACAAACTGACCTTGAGTGGGGAAATCTTACAAAAGCCTGCCTTTTATCCCACTTCATCTTTGATTAAAATGTTCGTCGCTTGCTCGAGAATGGTTCCCGCTCCTGCGGCTGCTAATTAAAAGTTGTTCTCGCTATTTAATCAATTGAAAGCTTTTATTCAGGCCTCCGAGTCTGGGCCTTTGTGCTGTATTGTGATAATTCCGATTGTGATTGTTGCTGCACTTCTCAGGACTGAATGACCTGGCTCCCAGCACCGCCCCTTCAGCCCACACCCTTGAGTCAAGCAGCAGCTGGAATGCCTTTCAGGTAATTTGAGTGAAGGGCCTGGAGGGAGTGCCCCGGGATATGGGTGCTGTGTGCTCTTGTGTCGTTTAGAACCATTTGGCACGTAAACTGAAGGCCGTTAAGTGTTCCTGTGTCTGTGCTGTAGGTTTAGAAAGAGGCCTGTAGTCATGTCAGCCGGCTAGAAGGGAGAAAGGAAGAGGTTGTTCTTAGTGATAGCTCTGAATAAATCTTTTCCTCTGGAGTCAAACAAATGTACCAGTGTGTGATGTGAAACAACGAACCCAGTCTAGTCCATTTTCAGTGTTAATTACTGCACCGATGTGGGTGGTCTCCCTCAGCCGTTCTCAGCTCTGTTCCCCTGCCCACAGTGCAGTACAAGCCCTTCACTGCCCCACTTCTCATTCTACACCCGAGCAACACAACAGCCGGTTGAATTTTCCAAACAGTAAAATTGGGTGAACCTGCGTTGTGTGCGAGTGGCGCCCTGAGCACGTGTCTCTCGTGCTAACTTTCACAAAGAGCCGTCTCCCAGCTCAGACTGGTGGCCAGCGCACTGGGGATCAGCCGTGGTTTTGGTGGGGGGGGTGTGTGTGGCGGAAAACGAGCTCCTCATGAAGGAATTGCACTCCGAAGTAGCACGGGTTGGAACCCGGTGTTGTATTGGTGAGTAATATGCACTGGGGGGTGCTGCAGAGTGCACGGGTACAGGTTGTGTCTGAGGAACACTCACGAGAGACAACACAGGACTGGGAGCCGAGGCGTAAATGGCTGCCTTTGGGGTACAGTGCACTGCTGTGTTCACCTCCTGGTACTCAGGCATTCAAAGGTGTTCTTCCACACGTGCTCGTTGCAGATTCCTGATGAGATGCTCTGCGGTAATAATGATTCGGTCACTCAGATCAACGGCTGTTTGTGGGGACGCTGCCGTGCGCGATTGGCTGCCGCGTTTCGCCCACAAATGCGCAGTCAGTTTACTTTACAGTGTATTGTGTGAAGCGCTTTAAGACGTCTCCAAGACGTGATGAGGCGCTGTATCAAACGCGAGGATTATTATATTATAGTTCAAAAAGTACCCCCATGCTTTTGTTTGCTCTAGTCCTCTGACGCTGATGAGCTGAGCGCCCCTTCAGCCGCTACGTCGGACGACACCCATTCACCGTCTTCCCACTTCCTCAAGCCGGCTGCCTCTCATCCCGCTCCCTCTGCCATTGCCGGGAGCAAAGCTCTGGACGATTTGGATTTGCTGGGCAAAACCCTGCTTCAGCAGTCACTGCCTCCGGAATCTCAACAGGTCAAGTGGTGAGTAGGAGACTCCGCACACCCGATTCGGCTTATTTGGAGTCCTGTAGCTTAACGTCCTTACAACTTGCAGCTTTCTAAGGAATAGGGCTGATACACGCTTACCTGAGGCCAGTGGTATGGTTCTCGAGCTCCCGTTTGAACAGGGGAACGTGAAGGGAAGAGAACTGGTGACCGATGCTCTCCGTTGTAACTTGCCCTTGTATCGTCAGGTCAACTCCACAACAGAAGCAGACCCTTCGAGATCTGAAGAACAAGTCGAACGCCAGCTCCTCCGCTGCCTTGGGAGAGTCACCGCTATTCACCGCTCTCCCGACCAGGAGTGTCTCGCCTGTCTTAGCGAGTGGGGCCTGCAGCACAGACTTCACAGCTCCCTTTGAGCAGCCTTTGCCGTTTCCCTACACTCCTCCCGGCCACACAGCCCTGCACAGCACACAGACAAGCCACAGAAGCCCCTCATTGCCTCCGCTGGAGATCTCACTCGCTAACGTTGTGGTGCCTCTAGAATCAATTAAACCAAGTGAGTAGAAGACGCCTGGTTTCTTTCCAAATCGCGTTTTTCTTTTTGAAGACTTTATGCACAATGTTCTGTCTGTGGAGTCCTGTAGCTCAGTGATTAGAGCACTTACCTCGCAAGCGAGAGACCCTGGGTTCGATTCCGGGCAGGCAGCGCAAAATGTTGGCCAATTTCCTCACTCCACACACCTCTGTTTACCCAGCAGTAAATAGGAACCTGGTTGTTTGTCGATTGGCAGATTGCTTTTCCGAGGGTATTAACCCCTTCAAAATAAATAAATCAAAGGTCCCTCTTACTGTGTGCAGTTGGCTGTTACGTTTCGCCCCGAAACATACACAATTAATCCACTTTACAATATGTTCGGTGAAGCGCTTTGAGACGTCTCGAAGACGTGATAAGGCGTTGTATCAAACACAAGGATTATTATTATTATTATTATTATTAACATGGTGCTTTGCTCTTCCCGCCCCCAGGTAGCATCCTGCCGGTGACTGTGTACGACAGGAATAGTTTCCGGGTTCTGTTTCACTTCGCCAAGGACTCTCCTCCCGGCCAGCCGCAGGTTCTCGTGGTTGTCACGTCCATGATCAGCACAGCTCCACAGCCGGTCAAGAACATCCGGTTCCAGGCCGCCGTTCCCAAGGTAAGGCTCTGAGCGACTCCCAAACTCCTTAGGTGTTGTGCTTGTGCCACACTAATACCCTCTGGAGCTATCTGCTCCCACCCCATCCCTCAGTCCGCAACTGTTTGTGGGACACTGCTGTGCGGAATTGGCTGCCACATCTCGCCCACAAAATACACCGTCGATTCACTTTAAATATTCTGTGGTAATGCATTGAAATGTCTCGGACGACGTGAAGGGCATTTTATAAATACAAGTAGTTGTTGTAAATCTGCACAATCTCTCTGCATTTTATTCATTTTTTTTAAAAAAAAGTATTTGTTTTGGATGTCGGTGTGTGCGAGTTTCTCTGCAGGTTTAAAGGCACAGCCCCCACACAAACACACACGTTAAGGATCAGCCCCTCCTCAGCCCCCTGAATCACAAACTATAAGAGCTTCCAGATAAAAGACGGCTTGTGGTTTGCAGCAGGATCTGGGTGCTCTAATGCCTCACAGAGAAGCGGCTGTTTGTAGGTCACTGCACTCGAGAAAGAAATACCTGTAGATCTTTATCACTCGCAATGATCATACAGCAGCAGCAGTAATATCACAGTTTCCATTACCTCGGCTTCTCGCTGGCTGGCTGGTCTGTCTCTCTTTGTTCCTTGGCTTCCAAAGAGCTAACGTTACAGTATAAACAGGCGCGGGAAGAGATGGGATTCTTGCTGCTCGGCTTCTGGTAACCTACCAAGCCGGCGACCCAATGGGTAGGGTAGGGTAGGGTGGTCATAGAGCGAGCGACCAGTAAAGTATACTGGCAAGCTTCGCAGTTTTAGCTCATGTTAATTCCTGCAGTGCAATTAGCAAACCAGCAGCTTCAAGCAGATCCAAAGCATGTCAGGCTGACCAAAAAAAAAGCCTACAGTATTTTAAAGACAGAAGGAAATATCTGTAGTACACATACGTGTGAGTGGGGGGGGGGGGGGGGGCGGCTGTCGTGTGTGTGAGTGTGGGGTCTGTCGTGTATGTGGGGGGGGTCTGTCGTGTGTGAGATGGGGGGGTCTTGGGTGTGTGGGGGGGGGACTGTGTGTGAGGGGGGGAGAGCTGTATTGTGTGTGTATGTGAGGCAGGGGCTGTCTTGTGTGTAAGGGGGGGTGCTGTCTTGTGTCTGTGTGGGGTGGGGGGGAGACTGTTGTGTGTGTGTGGGGTGGGTGGGGGGCTGTCTTGTGTGTGTATGTGTGTGTGTGGGGGGGGGAGGTGGCTGTCGTGTGTGTGTGGGGGGGTGGCTGTCTTGTGTGTGTATGTGTGTGTGTGTGGGGGGGGTGGCTGTCTTGTGTGTGTATGTGTGTGTGTGGAGGGTGGGTGGCTGTCTTGTGTGTGTGGGGGGGTGGCTGTCTTGTGTGTGTGTGTGTGGGGGGGGGGTGGCTGTCTTGTGTGTGTATGTGTGTGTGTGTGTGTGGGGGGGGGTGGCTGTCTTGTGTGTGTATGTGTGTGTGTGGAGGGGGGGTGGCTGTCTTGTGTGTGTGTGTGTGTGTGGGGGGGGGGGGGGGTGGCTGTCGTGTGTGTGTGTGGAGGGGGGGTGGCTGTCTTGTGTGTGTATATGTGTGTGTGTGGAGGGGGGTGGCTGTCTTGTGTGTGTGTGTGGGGGGGGGGTGGCTGTCTTGTGTGTGTATATGTGTGTGTGTGGGGGGGGGTGGCTGTCTTGTGTGTGTGTGTGTGTGTGGGGGGGGGGGTGGCTGTCGTGTGTGTGTGTGGAGGGGGGGTGGCTGTCTTGTGTGTGTATATGTGTGTGTGTGGAGGGGGGGTGGCTGTCTTGTGTGTGTGGGGGGGGGTGGTGGCTGTCTTGTGTGCGTGTGCGGTAAGCTGTTCATGGATTTTCTGTTCTCGGTTCCGCTACATAGTCATACTCTGTTTTTAAAATGGTTCGTCTTGTGGTTTTCCCAGGAAATTAGGAGTTTGACGATGTATGGAGGGCCGGCGGTGCTGTGGGGGTCCTTATCGCAATGTAGAGGCCAGGGAGGGAGCAATGGGAAATACACAAAGGATAGTGGAAATCTGGAACTCTCTTCCCTCCCCCAAAAGGAGAAAATCTTAACATTTTCCAGCCTGAGGTGGAGAGATGTTTGTGAGGTCGGGGGATCAATGGATATGGGGCAAAGGCGGGTAATTGGAGTTGAGGTACAGATCAGCCGTGTTCTAATAGAATGGCGGGACAGGCTCGAGGGGCTGAATGGCCTCCTCTTGTTCCTAGGACCTGCATTGTGCCTGGCGACTGAGAGTGAGGTGGTGTGAGTCACTGAGAGGAGAGAGTGAAGCCAGGGGAAGTTTTGGGAATGTCTGAACCACATTGTGTACTGAAGTCTCTGTAATGACCTCTGTGAATTGACCTCTGCGTCTGATGTCCTTCTCTTCACAGGTTATGAAAGTGAAGTTACAGCATCCCTCCGGCACTGAGCTGCCAGCCTTCAATCCCGTACTTCCACCTTCTGCTATCACGCAAGTCTTACTGCTAGCCAACCCACAGAAGGTGAGCGTGTACCGTCAAGCGCTCTGGGACCCTAGCCTGGGTGAGGGGTGGGGGGCTATATAAATGCAAGTTGTTGTTGTTGTTGTGGTATACCTCACTCGTTTGCTTCAATAATAATCCCGTCTTTGAGGAGAGAAACTGGATTAAGTCAGCGATCTTGCTGGCACAGGAAGACACCGACCAGGGGGCATCTTGTCTGATTCCAACCCCAGCTCAGGTGCTAACCCTTAACTGCCGGCTGCAGGCAGCCTGATACCAACCAATATCTGATCAGTAATTACCCAAAGCAGTGAATAAAATTGAGGGGTTGGCAAACGTGATTGAGGAGGGAGGTCGATCAATGTCCATTTGTTAGATTGCGAAATGATTGAGTGAGTCATTCACTGCTTACTCACTTGAAGGAGAGCAGTTTGACAGAGGAGTCTGATATATATGTCAGATAGGATGGTAATAAAAGTGTTACCATTCACTTTGTCAATAACACTTCTCTCTCAAGTGCTCTTGGTAATGCATTGTTATAAAGGTTTCCAAGGTGTAACCAGACTGCGACTTTCTTAAACATCCTGAGATCAACAGTGTTATCTGTAGTAGGTGTGGGAACCTGCTCCGGTGATCTATCATTCGCGTCAGCCTCCCAAAGCCATTTCTACATGTAATTGCAGTGTAAATGCAAGCTATTGCTGTTACGATAATAATCCTTGCATTTGATACAGCGCCTTATCGTCTTCAAGACACCTCAAAAGCGCTTCACTGTAAAGTGGATCGACTGTGTTTTGTGGGTGAAACGTGGCAGCCAATTGCACGCAGCAGCTTCCCACAGACAGTCGTGGATTGAGTGAACCTTTATATTTTTAAAGGGATTATCACCCCCCGGAAAAGCGATCCACCAATCAGGTTCCTACTTACTGCTGATAAACAGAGGCGTGTACGTGTGTAGAGTAAGGAAACTTGCCCAGCTTTTCGCCCGGCTGGGAATCGAACCCAGGTCTCTCACTTGCGAGGCGAGCGCTCTAACCTCCAAGCTACAGGATTCCACTTGTTGTCTTTAAGGGGGTCACTGTATGTTTCAGAGACGCTGTGAGAGAGGCTGACTGACCGCCGTGTGTTTGCCTTGCAGGAGAAGGTGCGGTTACGATACAAGCTGACGTTTACCTTTGGGGAGCAGACCTACAATGAGATGGGAGACGTGGATGACTTCCCGTCCCCGCAGTCCTGGGGGAGTCTCTGATGTGGCCTGTACAATACAATACTGCTGCTCCAATGTTAAGAGACTACTAGCTGTGTGTAGACCAGGTGAACTCCGCTCGCGTATACTAATCCTGATCCAGTCACTTTCTGATTTCTGAGGCAGATCTGCTCACGGCGAGCCGCGCTGGCTGGCCGGTCGGCCGGTTGGTGGGTGCCAGTCGTGAGCGAGACGGGGGGGTGATTGATGAGAAAGGTGGTGGTGTAGGAGGCTGGACTCCGCAGCCGAGCCAACCGCGAGCGAGCAAACGGCAGGACCAGCTATGGCGCAAGTGCACCGTTTGCTTTTGTTCTGGTGGTAGAGTCCTGCGGTCTCGCTGACTGTCTGTCTTGCCTGTCTATCCGCTGTGTGATTGAGACCTTCCTCCCCCCACCCACCCTCCTCACACACACACACACACACACACGTCGTTACATTTTAATGAGCCCGTTGTTCAAATTGAAACGGGAGAGAGACGACGTCTCGAATGCGCTTCTCGAGCACTCAGTGTCTGGGGCAGTTCTGGGATTTGTAGCCGATCATATTAATTACACTAATAATCCTTGCATTTTATACAGTGCTTTATCAGGTCGTTGAGACGTCTCAAAGCGCTTCATAGCATATACTGGAAAGTGAATTGACTCCATATTTTGTGGGTGAAACGCAGCAGCCAATTGCCCACAGCTATGTCCCGTAAATAGTCGTGGATTGAAGTGACCAAGTTATTGTTGCATAGTAAGGTTCCCGTCTGCACGAGGCGAGAGACCACTTTATCTGTCGGGTTGTTGGGTCAGGACACCGAGGCAAAACTCCCTTCTCTCTTTTGCGTTGTTGTCACAAGAACCGGATAACGTCCGTCTGAAAAGGCGGCGGTTTTTATATAATGCTCATAAAAAAAGCCTTTCTGTACTGCAACAAGTTTTACTTCTGCGTTTAAATCGGGTGATGACTTGTGTCGGATTGCTGATGGCGAAAGTTTATTTTCAAAAAGGAGAGAAAAGAAAACCTAATATTTATTTTTAAACCGTTTCCCTTCTGGTAAAGAAAAGGTTTACAGTATAATTAAGAGGAAATGACTTTGTGGCTCGGGCTAATGCCGGCAGATGTGAGCTGAGCGTCCAGTGTGGGGGGGGGGTGTGGGGGGTATATGTGTGTGTGCATGCGTGCGTGTGTACGAGTGGGGTGGGGGTAAGCACAGGACTGAGTCATGTTCTGTGCTCATCATGCAAAGTGAAGCTCCTTATCCTTATTATGTACAAACAAATCTCCGCTGTGTTTTTCTCTGCTGGTAAAATGTTAATTTCCACAAACACTCACGCAGCAAACAAAATACTGATACTAATAATGAACATGTACAAGTTATCCCCCAGTAGTCAGTGAGCTGTTTGAGAGGGGACGTGAAGCTTCAGATTCTATCTTTCCCCTGGCCACTGATGTTAGTTGAGCGTTCTCGGCCTGACACCAACTCTCTGGAGGGTTGGGGGCCCCTCTGGCCACTCCGCTGGTGGAGTGAGGTGTGTGTCGCGGCAATGTAACCAGCAACCGACCCAGCTGTGGGCTTTGGTCCATTCGATCAGTGCAGCATTGGATTTTAATGAATACAAAAAGTCCTTCAAATTTACCAGCGTGGAGTCTCGAGTCTTATTGAGTAGCCAGGCAGGCTGGCCAGCTGTCAGGAGTGCCTTGGATTTGCCCTGGAGACGTCTGTCCGTCACTGTCAGCTGTCTCTCCTGGGAGCCACTACCAACTCCAGAGAGATCCTGACTGTGCCTTTGCCATCAACTCCGACAGCTGGAGCTGGAGCTCAGCCGGTGAGAGTAACTGGAGGTGAAAGCCTGTCCGTTACCTGAATTAACAAATCCGCTCTTCCCCAATGTTGGTGTTCAGCAATACTGAGCTGCATTTGGCTTCTCAACAACAGTTCGTCTTGTCTTCTGTGTGAAAAGTGTCCAGACTGGAGAGCTGTCCTCTGATCTGCCTCAGGAAGCAGAGGTTAGTGTGGCTCTGTTCTCTTAACACTGTGCACCACTTTGATTCAATACAACACTGAGTGTCTCCCATCCTTGGGAGGTGCAGAATTGACTTGTGTGTGTGTGTAAATGTATATACTCTTTGTCTTTCCACAATTATGTACATTTGGAAAATTAAAGCAATGTATTTATGGGAATTAAAGATTTCTCTTCCTGGGATGGGTTTGACTCGCAGTGATGTGAACTCGGTCTGATTTTTGGAATCGCTCACTCAAAGCTGATTTCCTTTATCAATGAAGCTGATCAGCTTCATTGATCACAGACGGGGGTTTGGGATCACGGATAGTTCAGCTTTGTTACCTGACATTGACTCGAAAGGCAGGTATTAAAGTTTCCGGCTCCTGTTTGGAGTAATGGGATGGATTGCCTTGGTATTCACCAAATGCAGTGACGCCTTTGATGTACATTGGTGAGGTGGACCAGTTTTTGGACGATTCGCTGCACCCAAGCATCTCGAACAGATGCAGGCGCCAACACAGGCCACAGTTGGCATTCATCTGTTTTGTGCGTTGGGAGCGTAAGTTGGAGCCGGAGGGGATTCAGTGTTTGGAGTAAACGCATTGCACAAAGTACATCGGTTGGCACTTTCACAGCACCTTCCGCGTAGGATGAAACGGGCCATAAAGCACTTCACAAGAACCCTGGGGCGGAAGGAGGTGATTTCACCAAAGCGCTAGGTTAGTCATGTCAATAGGCCCATAACCTCTGGAACTCCCCCCAACCCCCTCTACCTGTCTTCACCCCTCGCCCTCCCTTCCCAGGCTCCCAAACACTATTCCTGCATGAGGTGTGCTGTGTAAATGCAAGTTGTTGTGAGGTGTTCAGCAGACATCTGTACCACCTCTGCCTGGACTTAGATTCCAATACAGACCCCAGAGGTGGCAAACATCTTCTGGGCGGCAAAGAAACGGGACCACGTCACAAATCCTCAAAATATAAATTTATTAGTTTATTTACAGCAATCAAACAAAAGTTAATGTTGCAGAAGAAGAGAAGACTCCCATTTATTCAACAACGCTTAATTCAAAGTCCCCTCTTGAGCGAGTGTCTTGAGGCAATGGAAACACGTTCATGAGACGAGGTGAACCTGCCAGGCTGAAATAATAATAATAATCCTTGCATTTCATATAGCGCCTTGTTACTTTTTTGAGACGTCTCAAAGTGCTTCACAGAATATACTGTGAAGTGGCCGTATATTTTGTGGCCAAAACGCGGCAGCCAATTGTGCACAACAGTGTCCCACAAACAGTCGTGGATTGAGTGATCGAATTTTTTTTCTTGAAGGGATTATTACCGACAAAAAGCGATCCACCAATTGACTAACAACCGGGTTCCTAGTTACTGCTAGGTAAAGAGAGACGTGTGTGGAGTACGGAAACTTGCCTAAGGTTTCGCCCTGCCCGGGAATCAAACCCGGGTCCTCTCGCTTGGGAGGCGAGCACTCTCACCCCTAGGCTACAGGACTCCATAATTTAGTCAACTCGACAGACCTTCCCTCAAGCACCCTGGATACCTCTAGAGCTGCACGGAACCAGGCTGTTGGGTTGTCTGCTGTTGGCGGGCCGATTAGCTTCCTTCCCTGTTCAACATGCTGAAACAAAAATGTTAGTGAACCGTAAAGGTTTCACTCTTTAAACGGGATTTGTTTTCCCCGCGTGCGTGTGTGTGTGAACATCATCGCAAATCTGGAGTTGCTGATTTGAAGGAGGGAGGGACGGAGGGGAGAAGAGGTGGTGTTTCAAACAGGACGAGATTTTTCTCGCCGAATCGGTTGCCAGATGAAATCCTGACGCTGAGTGCTTTGTTGCCAAAGGGTGGTCCTTTACAGCTTCACAGGATAAAGCGTAGAGAAGTCCGCAGGCTCACACGGCCAGTGGAAGGGTGGGGCGGGGGTTGCTACCCAACAAGACCGATTCGAGACCCAACAGTTTTGAGTGAGCCGCGGGAGGGATTTTCATCGCTGTGTTAAATTATCTCATTCGCACGAGGCGCTGTGATCTTCCATCTTTGCCAATTTCTTATTGGTTATCTTCTTCTTTCTGGTGGCCACCAAGTCGTAGAAAGGATCTCGCGTGATGCTGGCCCTGAAATATAAACAAAATGCGACGATGACACGAGCAAAGACAAACTGGATACCGGATCCATCCACATTTTCCAGACTGCAGTGGATGGATTAGGTTTCTCTTATACCAAGGGATATAATAATAATTATTATTCTTGTATTTGATACAGCGCCTATCACGTCATTGAGGCTTGTCGTTTAGCGCTCTGGGACGCTATCCTGTGCAAGCGACGCTGTATAAATGCAAGTTGTCAAAGCGCTTCACAGAATATATTGTAAAGTGTGACTATTTTGTGGCTGAAACCCGGCAGCCAATTGCAATATAAATGCAAATGCAAGTATTATTATATCTGGTGTAGATTATTGATGATGATAATAATAATAATCCTTGCTATTTGATATAGCGCCCTATCGTGTCTTCGAGACTTCGCAGAATATATTGTGAAGTGGAGTGACTGCTTTGTGGGTGAAAGACAGCAGCCAATTGCACAAATTAATTCAACCTGTTGTAATTTGTAATTCAGGTTTTACCTGATTGATTTGATCCACTCGTCTCTCTCCTCCCTCGAAGGGGCTGAGATCCTGTAGGACTGATGGTTGCCCTCCACCACCCTGCCATCAGTGTCTGTTTTGCACGCTTTAATGGTATTCCCTTTGCTTTTGTTGGGGCAGTAGAGCTCAAAGCAGTTCTGCAAACACGAAAGCCAACATGGTTTACAGCCAGTCTGCAGGTACGTGGGTTCCCAACCTCACTCCTTACAGGTTAATGACTGCTCACAAACATTATTGAGGCATCTCCCTACCTCCCTGACCTGCTCACACCCCACTTCTCAGCTGGCTCAGGTCTTACCCATGTCCCTCGTGCCCTCCGCTCCACCATCGGTGATCGTGCTCTCAGCCACTACGCCCCGAAACTCTGTAACACTCTTCCTCTATCCCTCTGCCTTGTTCCTTCCTTCCCCATCTTCAGACCATCCCTCAGGACCTTCCTCTTTGACCGCTTACAACCACCCCCACCCTCTCCCCCTGGCTCGGCATCGTGCTCTGTTATTCTACCCTGGTGAGGGGCGCTGTGTTAAATGCAAGTTGTTGTTGTGCTTGTTGTGAAATCCTCACCGATTTCCGAGAATCGTCCGCCTCCTTCACATACAGGTTTTCTAAAGGGATGATTCCCCTGGGCTCCTTGTCCTAGAAAACAAGAGGGTTGGTCATTTTGTTGTGTATTGTATCTCGTCCACCTTAGAAACATTCCAACAGATTCTGCCGATACAGCCCCAAGTCCTGGGGTCGAAGACGCCAGACTCTCTCACTGCCTCCTCTCGACGTTGAAAGGCGCTACGTAAATCCAATTTGCTGTCGTTGTCTCAGCTCCGATTACAAGATGAGACAGTATCCCGGCATTTTGGGGGAAGGGGGCGTGGTGGTGGGGGTTTGGGGGGAATGGGTGGGAATTCTGCTCCTTGAAAGCAAAGCCTCCCCTTCGCACGGCAGTGGAGAGAGCTTACCGTGGTGTACTCAAAATAATACAGACAATTGTCTGTCAAGATGAACCACCGGCGTTTCCATGTCTTCACCCGACCCCCTGCAAAAGACAACAGGAGACACACTGCGGTTCGTTAGTGTGTCAGTGTCTGGCCTCCCTGGTCCCTCGTCCCCTCCGTTCCACCATCGATGGCCGCACTTTCAGTCACTACTCCCCGAAACTCTGGAACACTCTATCCCTCCCTCCGTCTTGCCCCCCCAACCCCCCCTCCTTCCTCATCTTCAGGTCGCGCCCGAAAACCTTTCTCTTGGACCGCGCCAACGGTCACCTCCCCCCACCTCACCCCCCCCCCAGCTCAGCACCATGCTCCTCCACCAGGTCAAGCGCTCTGGGGCGCTATCCTGCTGTGTAAATGCAAGTTGCCGTTGCACTTGAAAGGGAACCTCGGCACAGGCACGCAGGCGCTCTCTTGCCTCGGCTTAAAGTTGTTCACCAAGGGTTGGCGTTCTCTATCCAGACTGACACTCAGAAGGCAGGTTGGGATAAAGAAAAGCCCCCTTCGGACCATCCGATCGCATCTGACCAGAACACCTCGCCTGCCTCTCCAACCCCCTCCCCAACCACCCAAACCTCACAGCATCAGGCCTTTCATGTCGGAGGAACGTCCCGATAATAATAATCCCAACGTTCAAAACGTCATCTTTCACAGGAAGGCGTCTCAAAAGCCCTTCCGAGGATTTCACCGTAAAGTGGTGGCTTCCCGAACACTGGCCCTAGTCCCAGACGAGTCTGGTTTACGTCACCGTTCTATTTCCAGCAGCTACACAGCGGCCGTGTTTATGGCGTGGCCACGAAAGGACAAATATTCAGCCGAGATAAATAGTATTAGGTCGGCCCGACTGGAAGAGAATAGCCCACCGCCGTTTTGCGGTGAAGTGCAGCGAGGGTGGGAGAATCATTCCGATCAAACACGAGAGTGACAGTCCTGGGTCTAGACTCAGGTGATAGAAATGAGCCTATTCTGGGCTGTCGGTGAAGTGTGTTATAATTAAGTTGTGTTGGGCTTGAGGTACCTCATTCTTCACACCTCGCACAATGCGTCAGCGACATTATTACTCACCCCTCTCTCTATTTCTCTCTTTCCTGTCTCTCACACGCGGAGCGCAGCTTTGCGAATGACTGAAACCTTTCCGTGGATAAAACTCCTCACTGAAACCGCTTTGGCTGCAGTCACAGAGCTGTGCGCTCGTACGTAGGACGAACGTCCCGAAGCACAAAGACGACGGGGGCCCACCGAGCCACGGGGTGGGTGGGGGAGTGGGGTTGGGGGCGCGGAGACGAAACTCAAATGTACTCAAATAGACCCAACAGAAAATTGACTGGGTTTCCCTTCCGCCTCCTCTCTGGGCTGGAAGTGGTCAAGGTGTGCAAACAACAAAGGGGACAACCCTTTGCCCGCGTGTCCTCACCCCACACCCCACCCTCTGGGTTCAGTTGCCGGCAATAAAGATCCACCCACGCCTCTCGCCCACAAAACATGCAGTCGAATCACTTTACGACGTGTCCTGCGAAGCGCTTTGAGACGTCTCGGAGACCCGATCGGGCGCTGTGTCGAACGCAAGGGACGGTTATCATTTCACGCAGTGCCTCTCATCTCGTCGGGAGGATGTCTCGGAGGGTTCCACCGTAGGGTTCACCCTAAAGCAAAGCGACTACCTATGTAAGGTCCAATTTGTGTGCAGCAACATCCCCACAAACAGCTGTGAAGTGCATGACTGATACCATCTGGGGAGGAGAGTGGGGTGAGGGTATTGCTGGCCAGGACACTGGGAGAGAAAGAGAGACACCCTTCTCTTTTCGAGTAGAGCCGTGGGAAGGAACCGTTAACGTCCTCACGCGTGACCCTCCCTCTTCGACTGCGACTTTGTAGAGTGTCCTTTACCCTGTCTCCCCCCCCCCCCCCCCCCGCCACCCGAGTTTCCTGTCGCCAAGCGTGAGCGCTTACCCAGTTTGGAGAGCCAGCCTTCCCGATCGGGGTTGAAGAAGGTGTGCGTTAGGTCATTGCCGTCGTCCTCTGGGATCTTGAACGGCTCGTTCCTAATGCTCTCGTACAGGTTCTGTGCCAATACAAACCAATCAGGAAAGGTTAGTCGATCGGCGGATCGCCCTCCCGGGGGTAATAAGGCCTCCCCTCCCTCACCACCAAACAAAAAAATGCGGTCACTCAATCCAATCCACGGCTGTTTGCGGGGACGCTGCTGTGCGCAATTGGCTGCCGCGTTTCGCCCACAAAACATACAGTCACCACACTTTACAGTGTATCCCGTGAAGCGCTTTGAGATGTCTCGACGACGTGATCAGGCGCTGTGTCAAACGCCGGGATGACGAAGTGACTTGAAATTTCCACGCAGAACAAAATCGTCCTGTCCTGTGTATTTTTGTTACCCGGCGCCTTATCGAGTGCATCGCAGAGTTTTGTGCTGTATGTGAGCACCTGCCTGCTTTTTAAGTGACTGAAAAATATAGAAGTATATATGTGGGTGTGTGTGCGTGTGTGTGTGCGTGTGGGCGGGCTGCGGAGGTGGCTGGTGGTGGTGGGGTCGGAGTTATTGAGCAGGCGAGTAAGATTGTTAAAGAGTAAGATAAGAATTAGTCGCTTTTATCTCTCTCTCTCTCGAGAGCCAGCCCAGAATGGGCTGAAAGGTCTCCTCCTACACCGTGTCACATTCTGCGGTGCGTTCACTGACTCTTAAAGCCCGGACAGACTCGCTCGCTGTCTCGATCACGTCCAACCCCACTCCCCCACCCGCCCCGTCGCTGTAAATGGCTGGTGAGCTTGTAACAGTCCCTTTGCCTCGCTCCCTCCCTCGCCTCCTCCAAGGCGCGTTGGGATACCCTTCCAACGCAAAAGGCGCTGTGCGAATGTAATGTGTTGCTGCTGCTGCTGCTGCTGTTGTTGTTGTGGTGGTGGGTGCTCACCCTGAGCAGCTCCTGAGGCAGGTCTCCCCCATTGTTGATGCCGCGGTTCATTTTGTTGAACCTCTCCAGTGTCGGCTTCTCTTTCACGTTGGGGTTGTGGAGGCTTGTGTTCAGCATAATGATGGCAAAGGACAGGACGTAGCAGGTGTCTGCAAGGCAACGGTTAGCCGGCTGTCAGTCGGAGGGCACTGGCGTAGGAACAGTAACGACAACGTGCACTTGCACAGCGCCCCTCACGCAGGGGTGGGGTCCCAGAGCGGGGGAGAGAGAGAGGGGGGGGGGAGGGAGCGGACGAGCTTTCCTCACTTACCCGTGGATTGAAAGACGTTCTGATTGCACTGACAGTATCGAGTGGCGAAGGCTTCCATCATTCGGTCAATCTTCTGCGCCTCGCCCGGTAGGCGGAAACTCCACAGGAACTGCCTGCGTTTAACAAGCAGCTGGTTACAGTCAGCGTCACAAAGGGGTCGCGCCCCCACATCGGGACTCGGAGAGAGAGATTGAGGGGCTCTCGAACGTGGGGGGAGCGAGAGAGAGATATTGCATGTGTTGCTCCTGACGCCTCTCACCTGAGCGCTTGAACCAGGTTCAGGTCTGAGAATTCTTGCAGCTCCACGAAGGACTGGAGAATCCTGATGTTCATCGGGTCCCTGAGCAACACCAGATCAGGGATACCATTCAAGGTCAACGTTCAAGGTCAATATAGGTTTCCCTCCGCTCCCCGAACTCGGGCACTCCCCACATCCCCTTCTTCCCTTTCCCCCACCCTCGCGCCTCCCACATTCCCCCCTTCCCTTCCCTGGGAGGCTGTATAAGCCTTACATCAAATGCAAGGATTATTATTATTACTAACAGCATTATTGTTAATAATATTTAGCTGTGGGGGTTCAAGAATTTCTCAGTGAATGGCTTTCACCTCTCCCCGAGATAGTCTCCGATGGCGGTCTTGTTGAGGCCTTCCCCTTTGTACAGGAACTTGGCGATGTCTTCCTCGTTTCGACACAACAGCTTGTTCTCGATCAGGTACTCGATCCCCTGTGGAAAAGCGACGATTAGCTCACAGTTCCCTCCCTCGCGCTCGCTCACACCTGTTTGCCGTGACGTCGCTGTGCGCAAATCGCTTTGCAAAGACACTTTGACACTAAGATACTGGGAAATGCTCTGCGTTGTCGTCCCCTCCACGAAAGGCGCTGTGTCGACTCTAAGGACTATTGTTATTGTCATTATTGTTGTCTGTTGTTGTTGTTGACTGTGGTTTGTTCTCGATGCAGCTGAACGTTTTGGCCGGGAAAGGGAGAGAGTGTAACAGAGCGGGAAGCTTGCACTCCGAGGGGACACCTCCTCGACTGTCCCGGAGAGAGAGAGAGACAGAGAGAGAGAGAGAGAGAGAGAAGGGGGAGAGAGAGAGGTAAGCGAGCAAAGAGGGGAAGGAGGGTGGGAGACCTGTCACCTTTTTGGGATCCATGTTGAATTTCTTCTTCCCCATCGCCATCTGTTTGTTCCTCTCGACGGTTTTGCTGTGTTTTGTTCAAGTACAAGAAGAATTAGTGTTGCGAGACTCTACCACACCCGATAGGGCGTGCGAGTAGACAAACGCAAGAACAAATGAGATAGATTTCTGCTGGGAAATAATTTCTCGGGACAGATACAGTGCGTAGTTTGGGACACGACATGTGCAGGCGACTGCCAGGATGGCGGAAGGCGAACTGGATGGACCTCGGTCTTTCGCCAGCAAATTCTTGTGTTCTTAAATGATTTGGTGCTGTATCTAATACAGCGGTGGGTGGGGAGTGAGAGGGAGGTTTATCTTTGCTGGTGGAGTTGGGTGTAACGGGAATCTTGTCTCGCCAGTGTGCTGGGGTGGGGGGGCTGTGGGGGTTGTGGGGGGGGGAGGGGGGTGGGTGCTAAGCCAGTCCCCCACACTCTCACCTCTCCTCCGCGTGAGTGAAGCTCTCGATGTCAGCGAAAACCTGCGAGATCTCAGCCTTCAGCTTCTACACACAGAGAGAGAAGGCAAACAAAACAACCAAAAGTCAATTTTTAAAAAATACAGCGAAACTCACTGTATTTGTTGGGACCGTACGGTAACACTTTAGACCTTATGCGAAGTGTGAGTTACGGCAAATTTGGGTAAATCATATAGCACGTGACTTGGGTAAAGTTACGTATGTATAAGTCGGACTTTAGCAGAGGGACTGTACTGACAGGCGGACAATAAATTTGGTCACTCGTTGTGTGGCTGTTTGTGGGGACGGCGTTGGGTGCAATTGGCTGCTGCGTTTTTGCCCACAAAACGGACAGTCACTGCACTTCACAGGGTGTCCCGTTTAGCGCTTTGGAAGTGGCAACGAGGCGCTGCATCGAATGCAAAGGTTATTACTGTTATTTTACAACGAGATTCACTTGGATTTTAAGCAATGAATCTCGCTGCGAAGGGCTACTCTTTGAGAGCTGAGAGGCGTTGCGTCAGTGTAAGGTGTCGGGAGGCGCTTCACACCCTGTCCTTGTGACGGTGGCGGAGAGCCTCGGGTCTGGAAGGGGCGTTTAGTGGGAGTTTAATCGGACCTCGATATCAGCCATCAGCTCCTGTTTGTGCAGACGAATCAGTTCCAGCTCAGTCTCCTCCTCCGTGGATAGGTCAGGGGGTCCTGTAACACAGCAAACACACACTGAGGTGCCCGTCAACAACAACAACAACACACATTACAAACACACACTGAGGTGCCCGTCAACAACAACAACAACAACAACAACAACACACATTACAAACACACACTGAGGTGCCCGTCAACAACAACAACAACGACACATTACAAGCACACACTGAGGTGCCCGTCACCAACAACAACAACAACAACGACACATTACAAGCACACACTGAGAAAGTCCACAACAACAACAACACATGACATTTACACGACGTCTCTCACGTCAGGAGGACGTCCCAAGGCGCTGGACAGTCAGGGATTTGCACCCGAGCTGGGGGTTGGGATCAGGAGGGGGTGGAGGGCCGGGAGGTTGGGGGTAGGAGGTGACCCGAAGGCGCTATCGAAGAGGAGGGTCTCGAGACAGGTCTTGAAGGAGGCGAGGGAGGGGTAAGGGACAATGGGACTGTGGGATGGGGCTCGGGAGGGTGGGGGCAGAGAGGCTGGGGAGGGTGGGGGATGTGGAGCAGGCAGACAGGCCCTGGGCTCAGGTGAGCCACAACAGCAACAACACCTTGCCTTTAGATAGCGCCTTCCACGTTGGGAGTGACTTACTCTAATATAATACATAAATATTTTATACACAGTAAATAGCAAGCATTTAATTTTTATTTATAAAATATTTGCGTTCACACTGACACATAAACCTATAAGATATATATATATACAGTATTCAACAATTCAACCTCCCCCCCACTGTAACCCCCCCCCACCCCCACCACCCAGGTGACAAGTTTCCTCCCTCCCCCTCTCCCTCCCTCCCACCCTCGTACACTCCCTCGTTCCTTCCCTCCCCCGCTAGTTCCAGGAAACGGCACGTCCTACATTCTGCAGAAGTTGAGCGGATATTATACTTAATGTTCAGCGTGTGTGTGCGTGCGTGTGCGTGTGTGTGCGTGCGTGTGCGTGTGCGTGTGTGTGTGGGGAGGGGGCAGAGAGAGTAGGTTCACAGCTTAGCCTGACAGAAGCCAGAGAAGACGAAAGTTTATGATTTTTACCCGAAAAAATGTAGTCCCCTTCGTTTCCCCCTCCCGCCCCCACCCCCCGCACCCTTCATCCCAATCCTCCACCACCCCACCGCATCCCTCAATGATTGTATCAGATTGTATTATTAGACATGACGGAGTTGCTTAGGAGGAACTTCTTGCAGAGAGAGAGCGAAGGGCGATTAGAGTGGTGTGGAACTCACTGCCGGAACTTGTGGTTTAAAGCAAACAGCAACAGTATTTGAGAGGAAACCCAATGCATGGCGCGTGTGAGGGAGAGAGGGGGGGACAGGAGAGGGGGACAGAGGGGATGGTGGGGGGTGGATTTGGATCGCAAGACCTGGTTGGGCTGAAGGGTCTGTTTCCAAGTCAGAGGGTTGAACCCCCCCCACACACACACTCACACTGAGCTGACATCCAGGCTGATGCTCTTACTAAGCAATGCCAGGAGGGCTCCTCTAGTTCCCAGATGTGAAGCGCTTTGAGACATCCGGAAAACGTGATAAGGCCCTATATCAAATGCAAGGATTATTATTGTTGTTTTAACAGATTGATTAGGGTTTTACTGATCAATGGAGGCAGCAAAAGTGTCTACCAGAGACGGTGGATGTTTGCCCTGTTTCGTTGTTGTCCAGGAACCTTTTGAAAGTGGGATGAGTGGAGTACAGTATCACAGATACTTCCAAACAGCCAAGTGAGAGAGAGAGAGAGAGGAGATAGAGAGAAACGAGAGGATACATATGGAGAAAGAGAGAGAAAGAGAGACGAGAGAGAGAGAAGTGGTTTAGCTCAGGCAATGAATAGCCTTTGCTCTGCATGACCACATCCTGACCAATACAGGGTCCTCTTCGCACAGGGCTGTCTATACGCAAAGCGCTGCACACATTCCGGTAAACGAGATGCTTTTCTGGACCGAGCTATTGTGAGGGGGGAAAAGATAGTGTGTGTGGTGGGTGTGGGAGTGGGCGGGGAGGGCAGATATATTATTATCCCCCTTTCAACAACAACAACAACAACAAGATTCCATTTATAGAGCGCCTTTCACGTCGGGAGGACGTCCCAAGGCGCTGTACAGTTGGGTCAGGATCCGAGCATTGGGGGGAAATGGTCAGGGTGAGGGGAGGAAAGGGAGGGAGCGAGGAGGGGGGAGAGAGTCGAGAGGGGAGCTGAAGGCATGGTCACTCTGAAAGTATTGGTAAAGAAAGCCTTCCTGGCGTCTGTCCTGGAATCATTCCCCCCCCCCCACACCTCCTAACCCTGTGTCCCCCCTTGCTGTGTCTCTGCGTGCCCCTTAAAGTATTGTTCACCAGTTTACTTTTTCAATCTCGTTCGAAATGTACAGTCATAAAAACGTAAGAATTTATAATAATAATAATAATAATAATCCTTGCATTCGCTGGTGAAAGAAGACCAAGGTCCCTCCAGTTGGCCTTCCTGGCTTGACGTCACTTGACATGTCGTGTCCCAAACTAAACACAGTATCCGTCCAGATATTTTTTTCCCCCGAGAGAAATCTATCTGATTTGTTCTCAAAACAAACGGCACTTGTTGCTTCCAACCTAGGGAAACAGTCACTACACTTTACAGCGCATCCTGTGAAGCGCTTTGAGACGTCTCAGCGGCGTGATCGGGCGCCGTATCAATGTGCGGATTGTTATTAGTTATTATTATTATAAAAAAACAGGGTGACGGTGTGTGACAGACTTTCCCCCCTCTCCACCCCCACCTCCCCCTCCGCGCCCCACTCTCTCTCTCTCTCTCTCTCCCCAGTAAATTGGCTTTGTGTCCAATCCCTGTCTCGGAGTTTGCTTTGACTCACAGCTTAAACTGTTTCCTCAGCTGTGTGTTGGGGACCCGTTTAGAGGCTTCGGAGTTTCACTCTGAACATCATCCACCTTCCCTCAGCGCTCTCAGATCCCTATTCTCTTTTGTGAGGGAGAACAGCATTGAGTGCGTGTGTGTCAGTGCGTGTGTGTGTTTGGGGGGTGGTGGTGGGTGAGAAGGTTTATCTCCCCTTTAATGCCTGTGTTTGTGACCGATCCCAGAGTCACTCTGCTTCACCAGCTCCCTCCCTCCCTCTCTCCCTCCCTCTCCCTCCCCATCTTTAAAGCCCAATGTAAGACGTATCTATTCAACCATAATTATGCTCATTATTCCCCGCCCACCCCCCACCCCCACCCCTAGGTCGGCCGCCCAGGGCTTTGAGACGCTGTCCTGACACACAAGGTGATGATAATTGTTGATGACGATTGTTGCTCATCTGGTCTGCAGTGATGTCCGAGGCTGAACATCTGAGAGGATACCGATGAGAGCTGGAAATGGCCGTTCGAGAACTCTATATATAAAATCTGCACAGCCCCTGACACCCGAGTCTCAGAGCTCAAAATAAACTCGCTAAAAGCTCAGCCCCGTGTGAAACCCAGACACGCAAGCCTAGCCTCACCCATGCTGGGGTGAGCTAGCGCTAGCTTTGACCCCCTAGCCTAGGCTGGGGAAGGGGAGAGGGGGGCGGGGGAATCAGCCATGGCCCCTGCTTCAGGCACCCCAAATTGTGGCTTCAACCTAACTATCTTGCCTTGAAGTGGAGCTGATTTGCGGAAAGAGTTGCGGAGAATTTGAGGTGCGTGGAGCAAGGGTTAGCTCACCCGTGCCCAGTGGAGGCGGAGGGAGAAAGTTGGTTTAGTTGGGGGGGGGTGGGGGGCGGGGGTTTAGGTGGCACTGGTGGGAGGGGGAAGAGATTTGAGAGTGTCAGTATGTGTAAGCCTGACTTGGATGGAGAGCAGAGAGATGATGGGTATGTGTCAGCTCTGAAGGTCACGGCTGGAATGATGGTAAATAACAATCCTTGCATCTGACACAGTGCCTTATCGCATCATCGAGATGTCTCAAAAGGTTTTACTGAGAGGTGGATTGACTGGGTGTTTTGTGGGCAGACGATTTTGATACAGCAACAGCCATGAAGTCGACGAGCGATTTTATCTGAAGCGTGGGGGCAAGGCGGGATAGGATACCGGGTCGGAGCGGGAATCTCCCTGCACTTTCGAGTAGCGTCATAGGGGGATCTTTAATGTCTGCCCGGAGAGGGCACGGACGGTGGAAATTGGGGTTAGCGTCTCCTCTGACGAGGGCAGTTGGGGCTGAGTAGGGGGCGGGAGGTGGGTGGGGTGGGGGGGGAAAGGGGGCTTGGAACCCACAACCTCCCGAGGCGAGGTATTGCCAACCAACCAACCCAGGCTGACACCTGTCATCACATCGCACCTCAACACTGCCGGCTCAGACAGACAGAGAGAAAAGGCAGCAGCAAAGATGATAATAATAATAATAATAATAATCCTTGCATTTGATACAGTGCCTCAATGCGCTTCAATCAAAAAATCAACAACAACAACAACAACGAAATGACATTTGCCTTTCACGTCAGGAGAAAACACAGTTAATAGACGGAGCGAGAGGGGAGAGGTGAAAAACTTGAGCTCACCAATGTGGTTGTCCTCCATGGTGGTGGTTGCACTGGGTGCAACTGAGCCCCTGGACTGAGCTGGTTGGCTGGATGGATGGCGTTGGATCGAGCGAGCTCGGGCGCTACGCTGCGTGTGGTTGGGGAACGCCAATCACTTCAGGCTCGAGCCGCAGCCCTAAAGGGGGTGACAGGCACCATCGTCGGTCACTGAGAGAGAGAGAGAGAGAGAGAGCGAGAGAGAGTGTCTGGGTGCCTATCGCCAGAGAGCTCAGCACTTCATCTGTAAAGTGCGGTGAGCTGCTGACAGAGATCGAGCCCTGATTAGGATCCTCCCACTTCCTCTCTCTGCAGCAGATGAAAAGCTAACCCGGGGGTGGGTGGGTTGGGGGGAGGGAGGGAAACGGGACGGGTTTCACACTGACATTCTCGCCCGCTTTACCGTAAAACCTCCAATAAGTCACTGATCGCCAAAAGTTCTGCAAAAATCACCCAGTGACCGAGCTCGAGAACAATCCCTTCTCAAGGCCCATCTGAAGACCCTCCTCTGCGATGGCGCCTTCAGTCACCCTCCCACCCCCACCCTCCCCACCTTCCCTCCACCCACTCCTGACCCAACCCCCAGCTCGGGTCCAAATCCCTGACTATCCAGCACCTTGGGACGTCCTCCCGACGTGAGAGGCGCCGTATAAATGTCATGTGTTGTTGGGCTGTGGGTTATTGTGAGTGGTTCTGGGACTCAACCCTGCACGGGGTGGGGTGGGGGCGGCACAGCATGGCATCATTGCAGGTATTAAATCAGGTTCCTCCCCCCACCCAATCTGCTCCCCATTCAGGTAACGTTAAACCGTCCCCATGGAGTCACAAAGGCACTCACACACACAGTGTGCACTCACACTCACTCACACATGTGTAAACTCCCACCCGCGCACACTCAACACACACACACACACACACTGTCATATATGCATCTACACACACACCTACACCCAGTCACATACACACACATACTTACTCGTACACAAACGCGCACACCTACAGACAGACAGCCACGTATACTCACACACACTCGCACTCGCACTCGCAAGCGGTTGTGCTAATTACCATCGGGTTGCTGACGGTTTACTCTGTGAGTTACGGTAGTTTAGCCAGACATAAGAAGAGGGAACTGGAGAGGATTTAGGAACTTGCTGATGCTAAACATGTTCCAGGCTATTTCTCTTGTGTTCCTCTGAGACTTGTTTCCCCAGAGAGAGAGAGAGAGAGAGGAGGAACATATCAATGTTCCCCTTCCCTCAGCTCAGCTCAGTCCCTCTCTCTCTCTTTCTCTCTCGCCTCCAAGTCAGAAGGTCGTGGGTCCAAACCCCCCCCACCCCACACGCACTTTGGGAACTTTGGGTTCACGGGGCGCTGCTGGGTGGTGGGTGGGTGGGGGGGAGAGCCCCTCATTGTCGGAGGCGCAGTCCATTTGGATGAGGTATTAAGCTCCGGTTTCCAAGTCCTGACGTGGGGTTCAATCTCACTTAACCCCCCCACCCCCCCCGGCTTTCTGCCTCGGGATTCCCATTACCATAGCTTGCTCCCTCTCCTTACCGACTCACCGACAGAACAGCGGAAATAATCCATCGTTATTTTCCCCGTCAATAATCCTTTTGTGATCTCAAAGACCTCGATAAGGTCCCGTTGCCCCCCCTCCCACCCCTCGCCTTCGCTCTCCCCCTCGCCCTCGCCTGCACGCTCCCCGCACGGGGGAAGGGGGAGAGAGGGAAAGGGGGGTGTGGGGGGAAGTGGGGGGGGAGAGGGAGCAGCCGGAGTGACGTATCACATCCGATATCTCTGCTGAGTCAACACTCTGTGTTTCAGTCTTACACTGAAATCTGGGTCAGAATGAATCGTGCTTCGGCAGAATTACAACCCAGTCACTCGGGAAACCTCCGTCCCTCCCTCGAGGGAAGGAGGGAGAGGGAAGGAGGGAGGGAGGGAGGGAGTCAGCGACTGACTGAGTGACTGAGTGAGGTCATTTTGCTCCACTTTAACCAGAAACACAGCTGAGGGGAAGTAACTACTTTTACACCTTAGGCAAGTTTCCTCACTCCACGCGCGCGCCTCTGTTTAACTCGCAGTAAGTAGGAACCCGCTTGCGAGCCAATTGGTAGGATCGCTTTCCGAGGAGTAAATAGTCCCTGCAAACCAAAATGTGGCCACTCAACCCACGGCTGTTTGTGGGGACGCTGCTGTGCTCAATTGGCTGCCGCGTTTCGCCCACAAAACACACAGTCGATTGACTTTACAGTGTATCCTGTGAAGCGCTTTGAGACGTCTCGAAGGCGTGATCAGGCGCTGTGTCAAATGCCGGGATTGTGATAAAGTCCTCTCGTGGTGGGTGATGCACCCACACCACTCCTCTACCCCCTAGAGTGTTGAGGGCTCGAACCCAAGACCTCCTGAACCCAGAGCGCCTTGAGCTGGGCTGACACTGGGGCTGAGGGAAAGAGGAACGAGAGCCCTGGTCTCACACAAACACAGTGAGCAAGAGAGCGAGGGAGAAAGAGAGCAAGGGAGCGAGAGAGGCAGGGGGGAGCAGAGGCGAGGGAGACGTCACAAGGGTAAAAACCCGAGCGAGCAGAGAGCAATGCTCAACCATCCCCGAGCACCACACATTTAATGTTCTGCATGACAGCATCTCTCTCTCTCTCTCTCTCCCTCCCTCTCTTTCTCTCGCTCCAAACTGACTCCCGTTAGATGCTGTCCTCGGCTCAAATCCCTTTGGTCTCAATCACCAGCCTCCCCACTCCCTCGCTGTCTCACTCTCTCTCTCTCTTTCTCTCTGGCTTCTCGGGAGTTTTCGTCTGTTTGTGAGGCTCTGGAACTCCATCCCCCAGTGCCTTCGCCGCTTCCTCCCTTTCCTCCTTCAAGGCCGGTCTCAAAACCTTTCTCTTTGACCGAGCCTTCAGCTCCCCTCTCGACTCTCTTCCCCCTCCTCGCTCCCTCCCTTCCCTCCCCTCACCCTGACCATTTCCCCCCTCCTCGCTCCCTCCCTTCCCTCACCCTGACCATCTCCCCAATGCTCGGGTCATGACCCAACTGTGCAGCACCTTGGGACGTCCTCCTGACGTGAAAGGCGCTTTATAAATGGAATCTTGTTGTTGTTGTTGAGATGAATGCCTCCATTGTGAAGGGTTCTGAGTTCGGCTGCGTAGGGAAATGAGGCCGGTGTGAGTGAGGATCATTCATCTACCAAATGGGCTGAGCGTTGGCAAAGCAAGACTGTCTAACCACGGTGAGAGGTATGGGGGGTGGTCTCAGGACGTAGCTCTTCGACCGCGCTCTCTTTACCTATTTCCCCCCATCACCCTCCCTCCCTCCCGTCCAGCTGGCAGCATCAATCACTTCAAGATGCGAAAAGGCGCTGGTATTAATAATAATAATCCTTGGATTTGGTACAGCACTTTATCGCATCGTCGAGACGTCTCAAAGCGCTTCACAGGATACACTGTAAAGTGCTGTGACTGTATATTTTGTGGGCGGAAACGCAGCAGCCAATTGTGCACAGCAGCGTCCCCACAAACAGCCGCGGATTCAGTAACCAAATTATTCAATGTATTGTTTTTGAAGGGATTATTACCTCCAGAAAAGCGATTCACCAAACGACTAACACATGAATGTAAGTTGTATTGCATTAATGTCCTCCTCACTTGAACGTCTGTCTTTCTCTCTCTCTCTGTCTCATGATCCGTGGACGCGATGTGAAAGAGATACCTGAACAAATGCGGTTAGAAAGTCTTTCTTTCCACACACTGAGCCCATTTGGTAGGTAAATGACCCCGGCAAAGGCTCATTTCCCTACGTAGCTGAACTCAGAACCCTTCACAATAGAGATATTCATCTCACAAACGAAACTCTTGAGAGGCCAGAGAGAGAGAGAGAGAGAGAGAGAAGAGAGAGAGAGAGGGAGAGGGAGTGGGGAGGTTGAATATCACTGAGTCAAAGGGGTTTGACCCGAGGACAGCCAGGCGGAGAGAGAGAGAGACCAGCGCAAGTGTCTTAACAGGAGTCAGTTTGGAGCGAGAGAGAGAGCTGCCGTAATGCAGAACATTAAATGTGTGGTGGTCGGGGATGGGTGAGTGTTCCTTTCTCCTCACTTGCACTTTTACCCTCGAGGACTCTCCCTTGGCTCTGCTACTCCTCGCTCGCTCCCTCCTTGTCTCGCTCGCATTTACATTTTCGGAAGTGCCACGCTCAGAGTAAGATATTAAACCGAGATCCCGTCTGCCTGTTCAGGTGGATGTTAAGGATCCTGAGGCACTGTTAAGAAAGAGAAGTGGTTTTCTCTTTCCTGGCGTCGTGGACGACAGATAAAATCGTTTGCTGGTTGTGTGGGACATTGCTGCGTTGACTCACGGAACATACAGTCACGACACCTGGCAGTGAAATGTGGTGATGTCTTGATGAGGCGCTGTATCAAACGCCAGGATTATTATCATTATTATTATTATTATCATTATTATTATCATTATTATTATTATCATTATTATATTTGACAGAGCTGTGGGGAAAACCTGCCTTCTCATCACCTACACAACCAATCTCTTCCCGGAGGAGTACATCCCCACCGTGTGAGTATGCTGCTCTTCCCTTGCCTCCTCCTACCCCCACACACTCCGCTCGGCTAACTCAGACTTGATAACCTTCGGTGTGACGGGGGCCATATCTTGCGCCAGGATTGTTACTGCTTGTTTCTCGTAAGCTTGACACCACTCTTCCCCTCTTGAACCCCATCCAATATAAATACACGTTCTTGTTTGACTACCAACAACAATAACCTGTATTTATATAAGGGCAGCAAGAGAGGGGAGAGGAGGGAGGGGAGAGGAGGGAGTGGAGGAGGGAGGAGAGGAGGGAGGGAGGGGAGGGAGTGGAGGGGAGGGAGTGGAGGGGAGAGGAGGGAAGGGAGAGGAGGGAAGGGAAGGGAGGAGGGAGGGGAGCTGATTTTACGATAAACCAGAAGTGAGAGGGAAAGGGAGAAGTTCGCTCTTCCTGAAGTAAAATAGAGATTGCGACAAAGTACAGAGAGAAATGAAACCGACCTGAGTTACTGAGTCAGGGCTTAAATAAACAGAGTTCAAGCAGGTGGACGGCAATGGGAATTGTTTATTCTAAAGTGGGAAATGTAATTCATAGAATTATACAGCACAGGAGGAGGCCATCCTGTCTGTGCCGACTCTTTGGAAAGACTGATCGACCCTCAGTAACCGAAAATTACTGAATTAATTTTAAATTCAAATGAATTAATTTGAATTAATTGAAAATTACTGAGGGACGATTGCTCTGTGTAATGGAATAATAATCATAATAATAATCCTTGAGACGTTAAAACCAAACTCATCCCCCACCCCCTCCCCCCGAACGCCCCCGGTCAAGAAGGGCATTAAAAGATCTCCCCACGAAAAGAAAAGGGAGTATCCCTGCCTCCCTCCTGTCTCCCCCCAGCCCTCACCCCCCACCCCCGTGCAGAACTAAGAGCCGTGGGATTTGGAGTGAATCGGAAGCTTTATTCCCTGGCGTCTGTCTCTCTCTCTCTCGCTCTTACAGGTTCGATAACTACTCTGCTACAGTGACTGTGGATGGCCACATGGTGAACCTGGGACTGTGGGACACAGCGGGGCAGGAGGACTACGACAGACTCCGACCTCTCTCCTACCCCCAGACCGTGAGCACCTTTCCTCTTAACTCTCCCCCCACCCCCCCTCCTCCCAGCCCCACAGTGCACCTGAGTTACCTCCATCGCAACCCCCGCCCCTCCTCCCCTAGAGCAAGGGGTCACTATGCTCCTCGCACAGAGAAGAGAGCCGAGGCTGATCCTGAATGTCGGGAGGTCCCAGCTGGACAAGCAGTGGGAAGTTTGCTAGCCAACGCTCTCAATGGGAAAGCTGTGTGGCTGTACTGCTTAAAGCCCAGCTGTTATCCCCTCCTCCTCCCCCCCAGCCCCAATGCACACTCTAGGGTACCCCCCCCACACACACACACCATTCCCAGAATTCGGTAAGCAATGACACGGGCGATCAATAATCCTGGTCGCTCACTCCCACGGCTGTCGTGGGGACGTCGCTGTGCGCAAATTGGCTGTCACCTTTGCTCACAAAACACACAGTCACTACACTTCACAGTGCAAAATCCTGCCAAGTGCCTTGAGGCGTCTCAGTGACATGATCAGGTGCCATCTCGAATGTGAGGCTTATAACAATAGCATTATTGATAATAATCCCGGCATTTGATACAGCGCCTGATCACGTCTTCGACACGTCTCAAAGCGCTTCACACGATTCACTGTATAGAAGATTGACTGTATATTTTGTGGGCTTGTTATTAATAATAACCTCTCTGTCTGTCTATCTGTCTGTCTGATGTCTGTCTGTCTGTCTGTGTCTCTGTATGTGTACGTGTGTCTGTGTGTGTGTGTCTGTCTGTGTCTCTGTGTGTGTATGTGTTTCCGTGTGTGTGTCTGTCTCTGTCTGTTGTGTATCTGTGTGTGTATGCGTGTCTGTGTGTGTATGCGTGTCTGTGTGCGTATGTGTGTGTGTCTGTGATGATGCCTGGAATAACCTTTGGTCTGTTAGGTGATTGGTTCTGTTTCTCCTCAGGACGTCTTTGTGATCTGCTTTTCTATGGTCAGCCCTGCCTCCTTCCAGAATGTGCGAGCCAAGGTAGGCTTCAAACACTCCCCGACACGTCAACGTCAATGGGGCTGGCGTGTGTGCGTGTGTGTGTGCATGTGTGTGTGGAAGCTCTCCATTCAAATCCAGCCCCGGCAACAACAACAACTTGCGTTTACACAGCGCCCTTCACACGAAGGACAGCGTCTCGGAGCGCTGCACAATGGCGGGGTTGGACAGTGAGAGAGAGGGGGAAAAAGGGTGGTGACCAAAGTCGCAGTCAAAGAAGCCATGTTTTCAGGTGGGATTTAAAGCCAAGGAGAGAAGGGGAGGTGGGGTGGGGGGTGGGAGAGGTAGAGACGGAGGTTAGGGGAGTAGTGGCTGAAGGCACCCCCGCGGATGATGGTACGGAGTGGTGGGGGGCTGGTGGGGTGGGGAAGAGCTGCAGGGCTCGCGCACTCTCTGTTAAGCATAAACAAAAATAATAATTCGGTCACTCAGTCCACGACTGTCTGTGGGACGCTGCTGTGCACAATTGGCTGCCGTACTTGCCCACAGAATATGGTCACTTATGTACTCTTTTCAGTGCATCCTGTGAAGCGCTTTGAGACGTCTCGAAGACATGATAAGGCGCTGTATCGTATGCTAGGATTATTATTGCTGTTGTTATTATTATTAATAATATTAGCTGAGTGCCAGGCTTTACTGTTATGTGGAGGGAAAGGTTGCGAGGCTGGAAACCCACAGGCAAATCTCACACCACACCCTGGGAGTGAGCGACATTTCCTTTCCACTGACAAGACACCAGCAGAATACCAGATGCAAATCGCAGCCGAAGGCCAGCGAGTTATGCAAAGATTTCCCCCACTCCCCGACAGTTTACGTGTCAGCCTGTTGAGGTTGTGGGATCGACCCTCCTTCAGTGGGAGTTTGGGGGGGTGGGGTCGGGGTGGAATCTGTGCTCACGGGCGAGGCTGACACTCCAGTGCAGCGCTGGGGGGGAGAGGCAGAGGGAGAGCGCGTAGTCGGACCCTCAGTTGAGATGTTAAACTGAGCGGGACCCACCCCTTCAACATGAACGCACAGTGACTGCGCTTTACAGTCAACCCCAGTGCAGCGCTCCGGGACGCTGTGTAAATGCAAGCCGTTCGTGTGGCCGTCGGCCTTTCTGTTGCGGAGGAAGTGTGCATGTGACATAGGAATTATTATCACTGATTACTGTTAACGTAATTATTATAAATAATCCACCGCAGTCGGCGTGCCGCTGCCGGGCGCAATTGGCAATCCGCCACCGCGTTTCGCCCACGAGGTGTACGGTCAATTCACTTCACACTGTGTCCTGTGAAGCGCTTTGAGACGTTGTGATAAGGCACTGTATCACATGCGAGGATTATTATTATTAATAGTAATATAACTCCCCCCTCTTCTCGGCCAGTGGTTCCCTGAGGTGAAGCGGCATTGCCCCCACTCCCCCATCATCCTGGTGGGCACTAAGCTGGATCTGCGGGAGGACAAGGAGACTCTGGACAAGCTGAAAGAGAAGAACCTGGCGCCTGTGACCTGCGAACAAGCCACTCAAGTGGCCAAGGAGATCGGTACGTCCCCTCACCCGGTCCTCTCCCTCCCTCCGTTCCGCGGGCTCTGGCCTGCTCCAACCCGCCATCGGCGTTCTCTGCCCCCACCCTCTGGAACTCCATCCCACAGTCCCTCCGTCTCGCCCCCTCCTTTGCCTCCTGCAAGACTCGTCTCAAAACCCTCCTCTTCGACAGTGCCTTCGGTCACCCTCCTAACCCTACCCTCCCAGCCTTCTACCCTCTTGATCCTTGCAGAATAATCAGGATTTCCCTCTCTCTCTCTCCCCCCCTCTCTGCGGCAGGAGCTGTGAAGTTTATTGAGAGCTCAGCGCTACTGCAGCGAGGGCTGAAAGCTGTGTTTGAGGAGGCCATTCGCTCTGTGATCTTCCGTCCCGCCCAGAAGCGAAAGCTAAAGTGTTCCTTAATGTAAAGGTAAAGGCGGGAGGGGATATCACACAACATAGCACAACACACCACACAACACACAGCACACAACACAACACACAGCACAACACACAGCACACAGCATAGCACACCACACACAGCACAACACACCACACACAGCACAACACACCACACACAGCACAACACAAAGCACACAACACAAACACAGCACAATACACAATACACCACACAGCACACAACATAGCACAACACAACACACAGCACAACACACAGCACACAGCATAGCACACCACACACAGCACAACACACCACACACAGCACAACACACCACACACAGCACAACACAAAGCACACAACACAAACACAGCACAATACACAATACACCACACAGCACACAACAAATAAGGTCCATCTCAGGGTCTAAGCACCAAGTGTTCTGAGACTCTACCCAGCAGGAAGGGCGTTATACACATGCTGCGTGTCTATCAGTGTAAATTTGTATTTGTGTTGGATTATACGTGAAAGGTGCTGTGTGTGTATGTACATCAATGTGAGCTTGTGTTGTGCTTACAGAGCGACCTTTACCTACACCAGGGAGGTGGTGTCTCAGTGCCGGGCACTGGTGGCTGGGGAGGGGAGGGGATGGGAGGGGAGGAAATATTACCCGGTCAAAATAATTGCCGTTCAAAGTGCTTGACGTGGGGGGTGGGAGGTCGGGGGCCTGAGGGTGAGGGTGAGAGCGAGGGAGACAGAGAGAGAGAGAGAGAGAGAGAAGTCCTGTCTGACTCAGAGACGAGAGCACTACCTATCTATTACCCACCTATTATTATATTATTATTTTATTATTATTTTATTATTATTATTATTATTATGACTAAACTAAAAGCATTGACACACGGGCCGAATCTTTGGTGGCAAATTTGGAATTGTTCTTCCCTTGTTTCCCATCCCAGGTTGGAAGAGGGCGCGAGAGAAGGTTCGGCCTCAAGCCAGCACCTCGTCTCTGGGATAAGAAGACTCTTGGTGGAGGGGGTGGGGTGGGGGGTGATGGGGAGGGTGAGGCTATCATTCCATTCCTTTCTCCTCTTACACATCCCCTACGCCAGCCCTACTCTGATGGCCCCCACAGTGGCTTCTGAAGACAACATTGTGTGTTAAACCAACATTCTCGTTCCTCTTCGACCGCGCCCTCTGCTCCTACCCCCACCGTGTAAATATGGCGCTGTGCAAATAGAATGCGTTGCTGTTGTTGTTGTTGTTGCCGAGCGGAGGGGCGGCGGCGGCGGCGGCGGCGGTGGCGGGAGATTGTCGGCCAGAGAGAGAGAGCGAAAGAAATGATGATACAAAGATAAATACAAAGATAAATACAAACTAAAATTTACAGTGAGGGAGGGAGGGAGGGAATAAAGGGAGGGAGGGAGGGAGGGAATAAAGGGAGGGAGGGAATAAAGGGAGGGAATAAAGGGAGGGAGGGAGGGAATAAAGAAGTGAAAGTTTAGATGAAATCTAGCCACTGGCAGGTGTCGGTGAGGCTGACGGTGTCCTGTGAGTTGGTGGGTTGGTGGACTCGCTTCCTACGTACTGTGTCGCCCTCTTATGTTACTTACCAGGACCTACAATCCCTGACGTCTCGGGCAAATCTTCCTCGGTACCCTAACGGGGAGGGGTGGGGGGGGGGGGGGGGGGTCCCAGCTGGACAAGCAGCGGGAAAGCTTAGCCAGACAGCGCTCTCCACGGCCACGCTGTGTGCGGGTTTAGCTGGTTAGACACCCGCAGTTACCCCAACGCACACTCTGGGCTCCCCCCCCCTCCCACCCCCACCAGCCCCCAGCCTTGGCTCTCGCCCAACCTTATTATTATTATTAAATAATATTATTATTATTATTACTTTCCGGAATTAGGTGAGCAGGAAGCTTCCCTCCAGAGAGGGAGAGAGAGAGAGAGAGAGAGCGCATTCCATTCCAACAATCCGTGTCTGGGATTTCCGTGTGTCGGCGGTGGGACGGGTGGAAAGCTCAGCTTGGTTCGGAGACCCTTAAGCCACGGTGATGGGTTTCCGCGTGTGTCGGACCCCCACCCCACCGGCTGTCCCACCCCACCAAAAAAAAAATTCCGATGAGCTGTTGCAAACAGAGAAGGGAAGGGAGTTTTCCTTTCTCTGCCGGTCCCCTGCGGTGTTTGCGGGACGTCGCGCTGAACAAAAGAGTTCCCGGGTAAACCCCCCTCCCCGACATGAGAGGGGCTGAGTCACACGTGAGGATTGCTGTTATTGTTGTTGTTTATTGATTATGTCGTGATTTTCAAAAAGTGCCTGAAATCTACACCTCGAGATCAATAACCCGATCAGATTGAAATCCGGGCGTTCAGATTCCCAAACTTACAGGATTCCCCCTTCAGTTACACACTGTGCGGCACATGGGCACTGGCAGACTACATGTAACGAGTAACACACACACTACACACTACACGCACACACTACACACACACACAAACACACCACACACACACTACACACACACACAAACACACTACACACACACTCTACACACCACACACACACTACGCGCACACACACAAACACACTAGACACACACACGCACCACACGCACACACACGCACAAACACACCACACACACACTACACACACACACAAACTACACACACACACCTCACACACATCTCAACGGCACCACCTCTTTGGTTCGATGTGAGTTTTATCATTTTCATGTTTTACTAAATAAAACCTGTTGGGCCTCCGTGTGTCTGGAGTACTGGAGCCTTGTTGGCAGATTGTTATGGTTGGGTGGGATGTCTGACACCCCACCCCGAGTCAGTGATTTTATCTGTGGGGGGGGGTGGGGGGCAATGTGGGCCATATAGTCCGTGCTGACACTCGATGCAGTTGTCGAGGCACTTGTCCTTCGTTGGTGACGTTAAGCCGAGCTCCCCATCTGCCTTTCCAGGCGGACGTTAAAGATTCCCCATTTGCAGTAAAGAGGAGGGAGATGACCCGACCGACAATTCCCCCCCACCCCCGACCCCCACCACCAGATACAATCAATCGTTCACCGCGTGGCTGTGTGCGAGGACATTGCCGTGTGTAACTTGGCTGCCACGTTCACCCACAAAACACACGTGCGCACTCGCGCGCCCGCGCACAGCCACACTGCTTTACAGTGTTGCCTGTGAAGGGCCTCGAGATATCGCGATGATGCGATAAGGTCGGCGCTAAATAATGATTCGGTCACTCCAATCCACGACATGTTTGTGGGACACTGCCACGTTTCGCCCACAAAACACACAGCCAATTCACGTCTCGAAGACGCGATAAGGCGCTGTATTAAACGAAAGGGTTATTATTATTATTATTATTATTATTATTCTGTCAAAGGCAGGGTTTGTTGTCGTGATTCTAAGCTTTACTGACCGTCTCCCACCCGATGCTCTGCCTTCACACCAGTCAGAAATGAAATCAAAAAACGTGCTGCTGTTGAGTGACGGAGGAGTTAGCCCAGTCACGAAGGCCAAGCTCTCAGGCAAGTGGGAGGAGAGACACCGAGGAGGAGAAAGGTTTGCTAAGTAGGAAGCGCTGTGTGTGTGGGGTGACGTTTGCTGTCAGTGAACCTGAAACAAGAAACGGGGCAAAAGGCAGATTCTCTATCTCTCTCTCTCTCTCGTGGCCCGTCAAGATCTAAGTCACCTTTTTGTTTTATTTTGGGGGAGCGCGAGCAGTGTGTTTTTTTTTATTCTCCCTCTCTCTATTATTTTACTCTGGTTACTAATTCGCAGGATGCAAGCCATCAAGTGTGTGGTCGTCGGTGACGGGTGAGTCCAAGCCTTCCGTTTCTTTTCAAACTCCCTTTTTTTTTTCTTTTCTTCGTTACCGACAGCGTTTGTTTTAATTTTGAATTTTAACTCCGGGCGTCGTGTTGCCTTGCGGTGTGTTGTCTGGTTTGGTGCTCCCTCATCTCTCTCTCTCTCTCTCTCTGTCACCCCCCCCCCCCCCCCCCCATAAATACACAGTCGGTTCACTTTACGGTATATTCTATGAAGCGCTTTGAGACGTCTCGAAGACGTGATAAGGAGCTGCATCAAATGCCAGGAGAGAGAGAGAGAGATCTCTTTGCTGCTCTTAAGTGTCTCGGACAAGCAGGGAATTCTACTGGGGAGAGAGAGAGAGAGAGAGAGGGAGGGAGAGGGAAAAAGGATGGATTGATGGAGACCCTCTTTCTCTCCCCCACCCCCCCCTCACACACACAAATTACGAGCTTTAAACAGTTGCTCAGTTTTCCTGCCATTTCAACCTCCCTTCCTGTTGTCAAATGTATACATGTGTTTTCAATAAGAGAATTCGTACCTGTTTTACTAAAAAAAAATGTCCACTTCGAGCTAAAACGTTTTGAGGTTTCCCCCCCCCCCGATTCCAGGGACGCGAGTTAATAAAAGCCGATAAACTTTTTTTTTTGTTCGAAGAGTAACTTTCGAATCATTTTGGTTTCATCCGAAATGGGATTTTTCGTTGCGTTTTTAACGTATCGTCAGATTGAAAGGTTGGAATTTGTAATGTGAATCAAACCCCTTGTTCCACCCCACCCCCCCCCCCCATTCTCCCCCACTCCCCCCCCACCCCCATTCTCCCCCACACCCCCATTTCCCCCCCCTCCCCCAGAGAGTATGTGTGTGTGTGTGTGGGGTGGGGGCCTGGAGAGAATATATGTGTGTGTGTGGGGGGGGGGGGGAAGAGTGGGGACAGCTTTGATGCTTAAGCTTTCATATTTGCCGAGAAATCTGGAATCTTCTGAAAATGTGACATAAATAGCCAACATTAGATGTTAATGGGATTTCTGACCATTTCTAACCCGTTAACCGGAGTTAAAAGCAGGAAGTGATGGTATCATTTTGACTCTCGCTCTGACTCTGAAAGCCACGCTCCTTGTCTCTCTCTCTCTCTGTCGCTGTCTCTCTCTGCCTCTCTCAGAGCGATGGTGTGGTTAGTAATAATAATAATAATAATAATCCTTGCATTTGATATAAGCGCTTTTCACGTCTTCTCGACGTCTCAAAGCGCTTCACAGAATAGACTGTACCGTGAATTGACCGTGGTGGGGGTTGCAGCCCAACAACAGGTTGGGTTATTGAGCAATGGAGATTGTGATCTGAGGACGAGCGGAATTGGTGGCGCAAGATCTTAGCCAACACTTAGCCAGGGGCCTCGTCGAGAGGACGTTATTAGGTAATCACCTCCCAGTGATGTGTTCAGCAGCGTCCCCTCAACCCCGCCTTGTTAAGGGGGAAAACGGGGGAATAAGGTGGAACGTTGGGTCGAGGGAGAGGAAGGTTGAGGGGTGACCTGGTCGGGGGCTTTAATGTGATGAAGGATAGCGCCTCCCACAGTGCCGTGCTGCCCCCCCCCCCCACTCTTCCCCCACCAGCAACCCCCACTTCATCCCATCGCAACCCATCCCATTCCGCCCTGTAAATGCAAGTTGTTGTTGTTGGAGGTCAGTCTCGACTGTGAGCTTAAAGTCCCCTCCACCGCCTGTTATTGGGGTTGAAATTGGTTGGTTCCCCTCTCAGGTTGGGGTTCTGTGGTTCGTTGTGAGCTTCCCGGGAAAGCCGGGGGATAAACCTTTCGTAACCGACCTTTCCTCATTAGCACACGGATGGACAGTTGCTACATTTTTGAAGTGTCGACGAATTATGAAACTCAGCGATTTATGCCGTTTCCTGTACACCTCCTCTCCTTCCCCTTCCCCCCCACAAATACAAACCCAACCCGACAACTGCGCTGTCTGACTGGACTGCGCTGACACCCGAAGCCTAGGAATCGCTTCGTACATCTTCACGTCTCTCTGCGCGGACCTTGGGCCTTGTCGCGTCTTCGAGATGGTTCACACAACACACTGCAAAGTGTGGTGACTGTGTGTTCGGCGGGTGAAACGCGGCAGCCCATTGCTCGGTGCGACTTTGAACCAAAGCGAAGTGGAGAGAGGCTCACTGGGGCGGGGTCGGGGTTGGGGTCGGGGTTGGGGGGTGGATGATGTCTCAGTTCACTGTTATTCTCACAGGAAGCAGCTCTCTCGCCCTCAGATCGCTTTGCGATAAGTGTAGGTTCGTGTGCAGTGAGGAAAACAGAGAAGAAAGAGAAGCGTAGAGAATGGCTCTCGTTTCCTGGGCCCTCAGCCTCACAGCTCCCTTTCTGCCCCGGATCCTGGCCAAACCTCGCCATTTTACAGCCCGCCCTCGCCCCCCATCACCCCCAGAGCTCCCCCCGCCCCACCCCACCCCACCCCACCCGGGTCAGGAGTGAGTCAGAGAAGCCGTGTTTGCTCTCGCTCTGTTGGGTTTACAGGACTGGAGGGAAAGGTCAACCTCTGCCATTGGACAGAGACAAGAGACAGTTTCTGCCACGGGATGGGGGCAGGAGGGAGTCCACCATAGATTGTGTGTGTGTATATGCATGTGTTTGTGTGTGTGTGTATATGTGCGTGTGCCCCTCACCCTGTAGTTACAGACATTCCCCCCTGGTTTCCTGTTGACCCTTCCTGTCCCTCAGCTCTAGTCCTGTCCTCGCTCTGACAGATCTGTTCTGGACAGATTGCCACAAACAAAAAGATTTCTTTCCTCTGTTGTGTTTTGGTGGCAGTGTCTCCCCTTAAGTGACTTCAAATCCTTCCACCCACCAAAGCTTCTATATACTGTGTGTGTGTGTGTGCGTATATATATATATATATATATAAACATATAAATGGGGAAGTAAAACCAAATAAGGGAAGTAGCTGCGTTTTCTAAGCCTAAGTAAAGGGAAATAGCGTCTGGCAAAACAGCAGCACTGCACGTCAGTAAGTGTGTGTGTGTGTGTGTGTGTGTCAGGTTGGCTCAGTCACCTCTCATTCCGAAGCTTATGGGTTCAAGCTCCCACTTTGGGCCTTGACCCCACACAGTTTAGGCTGAAGCTCCACTGCAGTACATTGTCGAAGGCGCTGTCCTTTGGATGAGACGTTAAACCGAGCTCTCTCTGTCTGGGGGCTGTCCACGGCTGACATTAAAGAGAAGGGGAGTTTCTCTTCCCCCAGTGTCCAGGTAAACAATCCTCCGATAAAATCCCGCATCCACTACACGGCTGTTTGTGGGGACATTGCTGCGCGCGAATCAGCTGCCGCCTTTGTCCACGAAACACACAGTCACTACACTTCACGGTGAAATCCTGTGAAGCGCTTTGAGGCGTCTTGACGATGTCACAAAGCGCTGTGTCGAATGGACAGATTATTAAAAGATTCCCATCGCACTGGCCTTAACCAACCATCCCGGTTACACCATTCACCGCTGATCGCCTGATGTTATTAATGATAATAATAATCTTTGCATTTGACACAGCGCCTCATCACGTCTTCGAGACGTCTCAAAGCGCTTCACAGGATACACTGTAAAGTGAATTGACTGTATATTTTGGGGAGCGTTCCACACACAGTCGTGGATTGAGTGACCAAATTATTATTATTATTATTATTATTATGGTAACCCCTCAGATTCGCCCCGACAGGCTGACGAGTGTCTCGCTCGCTCTCTCTGTCTCTCCTATGCCGGTAACCTGTGTTCTTTTCTCTTCTATTCCAGAGCTGTGGGTAAAACCTGCCTCCTGATCAGCTACACAACCAATGCCTTTCCCGGAGAGTACATCCCAACTGTGTAAGTAGCTCTTATCCACACGAGTGGCAGTGTCTCTGTGTGTTAGTGACCGGCAGAGAACGAGAGAGCTCCCCTCTCTAAGCCCTGACCACCCCTCACACCGTCACTAGATCGTGCCACTGTTCATCGGAGCCTGTGACTCTCGCTCTCTCTCTCTCTGTCTGTCTGGCTGTGTGCGTCTGTGTGTGTGGCTCTGTCTCGTCTCTCTGTCTGTCTCTCTCTCTCTATCTTTCTCTCTCTCTTTGTGCCTGTCTGCCTGTCTCTCTCTCTCCCTTTGTGTCTGCCTGACTGTCTGTCTGTCTCTCTCTCTGTGTCTATGTCTGTGTGTGTCTCTCTCTCTCTCTCTCTCTCTCGTCTTGTGCCTCTTTGTTCTGTCAATCCTCCAGACAACTCAATCACCCACTAAAGATCTGGTAATTGGAGTTGTGATACAGATCAGCTATGATCTTCTAGAATAGGGGAACAGACTTGAGGGGTTGAATGGCCTCCTCCTGTTCCTATGTTCCTATGTTTGGTCCTAGCTGTGGCTGGGGAAGTTTGGTAATTTTGGGAGGGAGTTTTCAGGGTTACAAAGTTCAAGTCCAAAGAGGTCATCGCAAACCAGGAAATTAAATAGGAAGTTGAGAAGAGAGAGAGAGAGAGGGGTGGGGCAGATTTAGTGAATTGGTGATGGATGTGTGGAACAAGATACCAGGACAAACAAAGGAACCAGGAATGCCTGGGGTGTGAGAGGAACCTGGCAACTTCCTGGAAACACAAACGTTTTGTTGGGTAAGGAAATGGGGCTTTCAGCCACTACACCCCCCAAACCTCTGCCTCTCTCCCCCCCTCCCCGCCCCCCCCAGCTCGTCCCTCTCAAGTTGTCTTCTCTGATCCAGAACAGTAGAACCAGAAGACAGGGCCTGCGATTGAAGGTGTGTAAATTCTAAACCAATCGGCAGGTACACTATTTCAGTGAGGGAATGGCAGTCGTATGGAACGGGCCCCCAAGGGAGACGGAGGGAGCAGAAAGCGTTTATTCTTCCAAAAGCAAATGAGATAGATTGGGACACGACATGTCAAGTGACGCCCAGGGTGGTGGAAGGCGACCTGGATGGACCTTGGTCTTCTTTCTTCTCGCAAATTCTTATGTTCTCACTTTATATTTAAATCCTACCTTTAAGACTTCCCTCTCTCCCTCCTGCCACTGTGCAGAGCTCCAGACACTGTCCTGTGGGAAGGAGGCGGCGTAAACGCAATTTGTTGTTGACGTTACAGATTTGACAACTACTCCGCCAATGTGATGGTGGACGGGAAGCCGGTGAACCTGGGGCTGTGGGATACTGCGGGGCAGGAGGACTACGACAGACTGCGACCACTCTCCTACCCCCAGACTGTACGTGGCCTCTCTTCTCTCTGGGGGAAATTTCTAGTCACGTCGCCAGCCTCTACCAAACCTCAGGAACTCCCTCCGTCTCGCTCCCCTCCCCTCCCCACCCTTCCTCTCTATCTCACTCCAATTCCTTCCCGACGAACCTAATTGTTACCCTGCTTATTGGATCGGGAAGATTCCTAGGTCTTTAAGGCTGTTGTAGCGTCTCGAAGCTCTTAACGGTGGCATAAATTGGTGCCAAATATGGTTGTAGCTACGTCTGTGGGATCGGGGTTCCAGTGCTATGTTACAAGACAGGTTGGGAGTTGGGGTGACGTGCGACAGTTGGGTGTGTGTCCGGGCTGTGGAGGAGAGGAGTGGACCGTGGAAGGTGTTAAAAATTCCTTCTCTTGTTCCAGGATGTCTTCCTGATCTGTTTCTCCCTGGTCAGCCCAGCGTCGTTTGAGAACGTTCGTGCCAAGGTATGTGCTGGTGGTGTCCTCCGAGCAGACATTGAGCCCAGCTCCACCCCCTCCACCTCCCCTTCCCGCTTTTCTGGGGGTAATAATCCCTTTAAAATAACTAAATAATAATAATTTGGTCACTCAAACCACGACTCAATTGTTGTTGTTGTTGTTGTTGTTGCCCACAGTGGTACCCTGAGGTGAGGCACCATTGCCCCAGCACCCCCATCATCCTGGTGGGCACCAAACTGGATCTGAGGGACGATCGCGACACCATCGAGAAGCTGAAGGACAAGAAGCTTTCCCCCATCACCTACCCCCAGGGCCTCGCCATGGCCAAGGAGATAGGTACTGGCTCCCTCTCACTCTCTCTCTGCCGGTCTCACTCTCTCCTTGCATCAGTCTCTCTCTCTCTCTCTGTCCCTCTCTATCTCTCTGCGTCAGTCTCTCTCTCTCTCTCTCTCTCTCTCTCTGTCCCTCTCTATCTCTCTGCGTCAAGTCTCTCTCTTTCTCTCTGTCCCTCTCTATCTGTGTGGCTCTCTGTCTCTCCCTGTGTCAGTCTCTCTTTCTCTCTCTCTCTGTCGCTCTCTGTCTCTCTCGCTCTCACACTTTTTCTCTCTCTCTATTTTTGTCAGTCTCTCTCTGTCAGTCTCACTCTCTCTCTCTCTCTCAGTTTGCCTCTTTATCTCTGTCAGTCTCTCTCTCTGTCAGTCTCACTCTCTGTCACTCTGTCTGTCTCTATCTGTCAGTCTCGCACTGTGTCGCTCTCTGTCTCTGTCTTTCTGTGTCCATCTCTGTCATTCTCTCTCTGTCTCTTTCTCACTATTTCAGTCCGTCTCGCTCTCTCTCTTTCTCGCTCTCTCTCTTTCTCGCTCTCTCTCTTTCTCGCTCTCTCTCTTTCTCGCTCTCTCTCTTTCTCGCTCTCTCTCTTTCTCGCTCTCTCTCTTTCTCGCTCTCTCTCTTTCTCGCTCTCTCTCTTGCACTCTTACTTCCTCTCTGATCCTGTCGCTCTCTGCCTCCCTCTCTTTTGCTCTCGGTCTCTCTGGCACTATCTCTCTCTGTCTCACTCCCTTTGTTACTCTCTCTGTTTCGGTCTCTCTCTCTCTCTCGTCTCACTTTCTTTGTCGGAGGACGGGGGTGACGGGCTCTCTCTTTTTCCAGCCCCACTCCCCCTCCCCCCTCCCCGCCCCCCGCCCCCACCCCCCACAGCACTCATGCGAGCCTGTTGTGCCAGCGATCTATAATGAGATCCGGACGTGGGCAGAGGTGCCTGTTGGAGGTGGAGCAGATAGTGTGGTCGGCAGTTAGGCTTCTGTGTTTCCTGCCGCTGTCACTGCGCACTCATTGGCCTGTGTGTGTGCGTGTGTGTGTTTATGTATATACGTATGTGCGTGCGTGTGTGTGTGTGTGTGTTTATGTGTATGTGTGAGTGTGTGCGTGTGTGCACGTGTGTGCATGTGCATGTGTGTGAGTGTGTGTAAGTGTGCGTGTGTGTGTACGTGTGTGTGGGCGCGTGTGTGTGCGCGTGTGCGTGTGTGTGCACCCTTGTTCCCCTTGTGAAAGCTAATGGGGCTGCAGAGCCTGGAGAGGATAGGGGTGATGGGCTCTCTCCCTCCCTCCCTCCCTCTCACTCCCTCTCTCACTCACTCCCTCTCTCACTCACTCACTCACTCACTCACTCCCCACCACCTCCTCTCTCACTCCCTCTCTCACTCACTCCCTCTCTCACTCACTCACTCACTCACTCACTCCCCACCACCTCCTCTCTCACTCCCTCTCTCACTCACTCCCCTCCCCAATCTCTCTTCCTACCTCCCTCTCATGCCCTCTCACTCCCTCTCTCTTTCTCCCCTCCCACCCTCTCTCTCCTCACTCTCTCTCCCTCACTCTCACACTCTCCCCCTCTCTTCGTCAGGGTCAGTGAAGTATCTGGAATGTTCCGCACTGACGCAGCGAGGCTTGAAAACTGTCTTCGACGAAGCCATTCGGGCAGTGCTGTGCCCCCCCATCACAGACAAGAAGCAAAAGATTTGCAGACTTGTTTAACGGTGAGCACCACACCCCACTATCCCCCCCTCCCACACCCCACTATCCCCCCCTCCCACACCTCTCTTCCCCCCTCCCACACCCCTCTTACCCCCTCCCACACCCCTCTTACCCCCTCCCACACCCCTCTTCCCCCCTCCCACACCCCACTATCCCCCCTCCCACACCCCACTATCCCCCTCTCCCACACCCCTCTATCCCCCCCTCCCACACCCCTCTATCCCCCCCTCCCACACCCCTCTATCCCCCCTCCCACACCCCTCTATCCCCCCTCCCATACCCCTCTACCCCCCCCTCCCACACCCCTCTATTCCCCACTGTTTCCCTAGCAGTAAGTAGTATCCCGGCTGTTACTCGATTGGTGGATCACTTTTCCGGGAATAATAATCCTTTTTAAAAATGTTTTAAATTGAGATAATAACAATGTGGTCACTCAACCCACGGCTGTTTGTGGGGACATCGCTGGGCGCGTTTCACCCACAAAATACAGTCACTACACTTTGCAGCACATCCCGTGAAGTTCTTTGCAACGTCTCGAAGGCGCGATCCGGTGCAAGGATTATTGTTATTATTGTTATTGATTATGTGAGCCGCCGTAACACCATCACTTGGTCTCCTCCCCAGAGCCAACCACCTTCACCGTGTCCAGAGCAGAGGAATGTGTCGCTTCAGAAAGAGAAGAAAAAAGAAAGAAAGAGAGAGAGAGAGAGAGAGAGAGAATTCATCCAACCTGTCCATGCCATCAACCTGTTATAAACGCTTCAATCCTGGGACACCCCCCCCCCCCCCCACCCCCCACAAACCCACAGCCTTGTGACTTTCCCAAATCCCGATGTGGGGAGGCATTCCCGATTCCGGGATTGAACCCTTCATTCCCGAACATGACCGGAATCACCTGTTTTTTCCCCGTTTAGTGACGATTATTAATAATAATAATAAAAAAAGCTTCTTTTACATTCAATTTTACAAAGGCAGTAAGTTTTTTAAAAAAAAAACTTAACGCCTTTGGAGAGACGTCGTGAAAACCGGGGAGAGAGAGAGAGAGAGAGAGAGAGCGGGGACCAGCTCTACTCTCACCCCATTCCCTGCTCTCTCTCTCTCTCTCTCCATCGTGTCTGTGCTGGGGCTCGCTCCCCCACTGGAGCTCTCTCACCCCATTCCCTGCTCTCTCTCTCTCTCTCTCCATCGTGTCTGTGCTGGGGCTCGCTCCCCCACTGGAGCTCTCTCACCCCATTCCCTGCTCTGTGTGTGTGTGTCTGAGTGTGTGTGTGTGTGAGCGTGTGCGTGTGTATCTGCGAGAGTGTGTGTGTTTGTGAGTGTGCGCGTGTGTGTCTGTGTGTGAGTGTGTCTGTGTGAGTGTGTCTGTGTGAGTGTGTCTGTGAGTGTGTGTGAGTGTGTCTGTGTGAGTGTGTTTGTGAGTGTGTGCGTGTGTGTGTCTGTGTGAGTGTGTCTGTGTGAGTGTGTGCGTGTGTGTGTGTGTGTGTGAGTGTGTCTGTGTGAGTGTGCGCGTGTGTGTGTGTGTCTGTGTGAGTGAGTGTGTGTGTGTGTCTGTGTGCGTGTGTGTGTCTGTGTGCGTGTGTGTGTCTGTGTGTGTGTGTGTGTGTCTGTGTGCGTGTGTGTCTGTGTGTGTGTGTCTGTGTGAGTGAGTGTGTGTGTGTGTGTGTGTGTGTGTGCCTGTCTATCAATACCTTTTATTACCTTATAAACCTTCCTCCCACAGAAACTGTCAGCAGTATAAATATCGTATGTCATGTCCCTCGGAGTCTGAGCCAAGAAGACGTGATGGGACTCTATATCAAACATACGGATTATTAATATGATATGTGTCGCAGTCGCGGGAGGTTCAGTACACTCACCGCACTCACACCAGGTGGCACTGTGCCTCGGTGGCGTTTTGGACCCAAATACACACGCGCTCTGATTTATCAATCGTCCAAACCACCGAGACCCCTCCCCCCCCCCCCAAAGCCCTTCACAAGCTTCACCCACAAAATATACAGTCACTTCGCTTTACATTCGAACCTGTGACGCGCTTTGAGACGTCCGGAAGACCCGATCAGGCGCAGTATCAAATGCAAAGATTATAATTAGTATTAATGTTACTAAGTGTAGTGACTGTATTATCGCTCTCTGTCTCTCTATCTGCTCCCTCTCTCTCTCTCTCTCGCTCTTATATAGTGCCTTTCACGTGGGCCGTGTCTCGCGGCGTTTAAACACTCGCACATCAGCGACGCGGACACCCAGAAAGATGTTTTTTTCTTTAAACGCTTATTTTTTATTTTTATTTTATTTTTGCTTCGAACTGAGAGATTTCTTTACACATTTAAAAGCCAATGTGGCTTCTCTTATTAACAAAACGCTGACACTTCACAGGGTGAGTAAACAAAAATTACCTTTCCCCCCCCCCAAAAAAAAACACACCGAGAGCGAGACACTTAGTGGGTTAGTGAGTGAGCTGTGGGGAGCCTCAGGGCTGGGGTGGGGGGTCAGGGCTGGGGTGGGGGGGGGTCAGGGCTGGAGTGGGGAGGTCAGGGCTGGGGTGGGGGGGGTCAGGGCTGGAGTGGGGGAGTCAGGGCTGGGGTGTGGGTCAGGGCTGAGGTGGGGGGGGTCAGGGCTAGAGTGGGGGGGTGGTCAGGGCTGGGTTGGGGGGTCAGGGCCGGGGTGGGGGGGTCAGGGCTGGGGGAGGAGGCAGGTTGCAGAGGGGTTCGGGGTTGTGGATCGGTTGGTGGGGGGGGTGGGGGGGGTCAGTTGTTGGGAACTTTGACCAGTAACCATTGAAGGTGATACAGGTGGGAGGTTGGGGTGGGTTTGGTTGGGGTTGGGGGTGGGTGGGTATTGCGGTTGGGGGAGTTGGGGGTGATCAGGGCTTGGGTTGACGGGTTGGGGGGTAGGGTTGGGGTGGAGGGGAGGGGAGGGGGGGGGTTGCGGCGGTCGATGGTCAGTCATCGTCGGCCTTGACCAGGTAACCGTTGAAGGTGATGTAAGTGTCCACGTCGTCGCTGTACACGGCGTTCTCTCGCTCGCGCTTGTACAGACGGACCCAGACCTGGTCCCCCGGGGCCAGGGCCAACATGACGCTCTGGCTCTGCATGACGCTGCGCTCGCTGGGCTGCGCGTAACAGATGGCCACCTCCTGCTCGTTCCTCATCAGGTGCAGGTACGTCTCCTTGAAGTTCCAGGTGTGGACGTTCAGGTTGAAGAAGTAGACCCCGGGCACCGAGCAGTAGAAACGGCCCTTGAACATGTTGAAGTCCTGGCGCAGGTTGACGAAGACGGTGTCGAAGACGAGAGCCCGGTAATAGTCGCTGCTGTGCAGCCCCTTCCTGCGGCCCACCGAGAACGCCGAGTGCTGCTGTTTGCAGGGGCTGCCCGTGGCCCCCACCTGCCCCCTGCTCCCCTTCAGCCCTGGGGGGCCTCGCAACCCCACCGCCCCCGCCTTCCCCAGCTTCCCGTAGCTCCCCCGCTCGCCGCGGTCTCCCTTCTCTCCTGCCAGGGCGACAGCAACGACAACAACAGCTGGAGTCAGGCAAACGGCAGCTTGTGCTCGAGGGGTGGGGGGGGAAGGGGGAGACGGGGGTGGGGAGAGGGGAGGGGAGAGAGGAGGGGGGAGAGGGGGGGAGGGGAGAGACAGAGGAAGGGGAGAGGAGGCTTTACCTTTCAGGATGGTGATGTTGATGTGGGGGTGGATGTGTGGCCGGGGGTAAGCGGGGTAGGTGCCCACGGCCGGGCTGGGTGGGGGGCTGGAGGCTGCAGAGGGGGGCCCTGGGTAGGGGTCACAGCAGCGCACACAGCGTTGGGGACCCCCCTCACTCGGCACAGCTACACCCCACGGCCTCAACACAACCAGCAACAGCAACTGGCTCAGAAAGCCTCCAGCCACCATCACTAGGGCAGAGAGAGACACACAGTCACTACACCGGGCAGAGAGAGACACACAGTCACTACACCGGGCAGAGAGAGACACACAGTCACTACACCAGAGAGACACACAGTCACTACACCAGGGAGAGAGAGACACACAGTCACTACAGCAGGAAGAGAGTGTGTGTGTGTGAGTGTCTGTGTGTGTGAGAGTGTGTGTGTGTGTGTGTGTGTGAGTGTCTGTGTGTGTGTCTGTGTGAGTGTCTGTGTGTGTGTGTGTGTGTCTGTGTGTGTGAGAGTGTGTGAGTGTTTAACTGTACTCCTGAGGCCGCCACGTTCCCACTGTTGGTTTCTGGCAACACAGACCCCCCCCAACCCCCACCCCCACCCCCCGCGATGAGAAACAGCTGGTAATCCAGGAATGGCACAGAGCCCAGTGTGTGTGTGTGTGTGTGTTAATGGGGGGGGGGGGGCGGTGCTGTGAATGAGCCACGAGCAACAATTAGACCAACGACTGTAAAGTGTAGTGACTGTGTTATTTTGTGGGCGAACGCGACAGCCAATTTACGTCCCCCCCCAAACAGCCGTGAAGCGAGTGACTTTATTTGGGCCGGTGGTGGGGTGGGGGTGTGGGGGGTATGTGGGTGTGGGGGGGGGGGTGGGGGGGGGATTGCTGGACAGGACACCGGGACAGAGAAACCCCCTTCGCTTTTCCCCGACAGCGTCGCGGGAGATGTTTAACAGAGGGTGAGTGAGTGAGGTTTAACGTCTCATCTGAAGGGACAAAGCGGCATCTCCTCCTCTCTCTCTCTCTCACACATTCTCTCTCTCTCTCTCTCTCACACACACACACACACACACACACACACGAGGGAGAAACAGAAGGAAACAAAAGAAAACACAGAGAGAGAGACAGAAAGAAAGAGAAAGAGAGGGGCCTGGGGTGCAAGAGAGAGAGAGAGAGAGAGAGGAAGAATTATTGAGTGAGGTCCCAGGATGGTTTGTCTTGGCCACAGTACAGTGAAGCAGTCAATGTGAGACTCATAAACTCAGTGTTACCCTGTGCCGACCCAGAGAGAGAGAGGGAGCGAGAGAGACAGCGAGAGAAAGAGAGAGACAGCGAGAGAGACAACGAGAGAGACAGAGAGAAAGAGCGAGAGAGACAGAGAGAGACAGAGAGAGAAAGAGTGAGAGAGAGAAAGAGACAGAGAGAGAAAGAGAGTGCGAGAGAGCGAGAGAGAGAAAAAGACACACACTCAGATATAAAGAGAGACACAGACGCACAGAGAGAGAGACTCGGACCGATAGAGTCCGAGACACAAAGAGAGAGAGAATGAAATCACTCACTGATATAAATATAACTAAGGAGAGCGGCGGTGGTGGGAGGGGTGAATTGTTTGGTGCCACGTTTATATTTAGCGGCTGTCATCTGTGTCTCATTTGGCCGTGTTGTGTTGTGTGTTGTATTGTGTGTTGTGTTGTGTGTTGTATTGTGTGTTGTGTTGTGTGTTGTATTGTGTGTTGTGTTGTGTGTTGTATTGCGTGTTGTGTTGTGTGTTGTATTGTGTGTTGTGTTGTGTGTTGTATTGTGTGTTGTGTTGTGTGTTGTATTGCGTGTTGTGTGTCGTGTTGTATTGTGTGTGTTGTGTGTTTTGTTGTGTGTTGTGCGTCCCACTCACAGGGAATTAGGAACAGGGTAAGGCCATTCAGCCCATCCAGCCCGTTCCCCCGACGTTTCCCTTCACGGCTGTTTGCGGGGACGTTGCTGTGTGTATCGATGGGCTGCCGTGTTGGCCCACACTGCGCACAGTCACTACACCTCGCAGTGAATCCTGTGAAACACTTTGAGACGTCCTCCCGATGAAAGGTGTGGGTCAGTTTAGCCCAAAGAGATTGTGTTTCTCCCCCCCCCCCATCTCTCTCCTGCCCCCCCACACCCCCGCACACGCAGAAAACACACAGACACACACAGCGCACACAGACACACACGCATACACACACAGACACACACACATACACACAGCAAACACACACAGACACACGCATACACACAGCGAACACACACATACACACAGTAAACACATACACAGAGACACACAGAGCAAACAGAAGAGGAGAGGGTGGAGGTGGATATGTAGACATTCCCTCCCCCCCAAACAACAACAACTTATATTTACACAGCGCCCTTCACTCAGGGCAGTGTCTCAGAGCAGGAAAGTTCAATCGAGTCGGCGCTTAATGTCCCCTCCTCCCCAGACACATCACCCCCTTTCCCCTCGTCACCCCACCTCAACAACCCCAGACCCCCCCCCCCCAAAAAAAAACCCGTCAGCGTTGAGCTTCGAGTCACTGCGAGTCGGTGTGTCAAAGGCTGAGAAGGGATGGAAGGGATGGATGTGTGTGTGAGTGTGTGGGGGGTGGTGGGGGGAGTGGGGGGGGGGGCAGGAGAGATATGGAGACGGAGTGCACGTGAAACAACCGAAACAGTAAAGACTTCTCTGCTGAGAAGTCACTCACCTTCTGATACAGTCAGACGGCTTTAACAGGCGAGTGCTGGACCGATCGGCATATGGTTGTGATTAAGGCTCTGCTCATTAACAGCAGACTCCGGGCTCCGAGTGTGTACAGTTGCTCAGCCACTGGCTCACAAGGTATATATCATATGAGAACATTCACAGACGGGCAGTTTTTTTTTCCATAAGTCAAACAGATTTTTAACTCCTTACGGGCAGGGCTGTGTGGGGCCGGGAGCTCACCGGCCGACCGATCGATCGATCCATCAATTGATTTATCGATAACAATCAATACGCAATCGATTGTCGGATCACTTTCAGGGGGTAATAATCCTTTTTTGGTCACTTAATTGAGGGGCACTGCCGTGTGCGATTGGCAGCCGTGTTTTGCTCACAAAATATACAGTCACTACACTTGGATTCTGCACACGGCAACATCCCCGCAAACAGCCGTGAAGCAAATGGACGATTTTATCGGGTGGGGGGGTGGTGGGGTGGGGGGGGATTGTCGGCCAGGACACCGGGAGGGAGGGAGAGAATTAAAACTTTTCTCTTTTTTCAAATAGCCCCACGAGAGATCTTTAACATCCACCAAAACAAAGGCAGACCCCAGGGAGTGAGGACTAACATCTCAGCCGGAGGTTAGTGCCTTGATTTGTGTTGCTCTCCCCCACACCCCCAACCCCCACACACACACAGACGCACACAACACACACACCCACACAACACACACACCCACACATACCCACCCCACACACACACATATCCACACAAACACAGACACACACACACACACCACATAGACACCAGACACCACCCCCCTCCCCCATACAGATACACCCCCCCCCACCCCCCACACAGACCCCTCACACACACAGACACCGGACAATGCAGAGAGGGGTGTGTTTGTTTGTTTGATAATCCTGAAACAAATCCTGAGGACAGTTTCGGGGAGGAATGGGTTCCAGATGTTTCTCTTCCCTCTCTCTCTCTCTCTCTGTATCTCGGGATTATGACGGGATGTGGTGTATGTTTCTCTCTGCGGTTGACAATGGCGCTGTGTTTAGCTCAGGCTATTTGGAGTCTTTCCCGCCCGCTCTCAGCACAGACGTTGATCCCTGGTTTCTCTTTGCTGTAAGAAAGATCCCGTCAGCCACACGGCATTTACACGGACCAACACGAGACTCTCGCGATGGCGCAGAGACGCGAGGGTGGCTGATAACGGAGACTCATTCCTCCTCCCCCCCCCACCCCACCACCCCAGAGTCTGCCCGTCTCTGTCTAATAATAATCCTTGCACTTTATACAGCGCCTGGTCACGTCTTCGAGACGTCTCAAAGCGCTTCACAGGATACACTGTAGAGCGGAGTGACTGTGTGCTTTGTGGGCGAAACGTGGCCGCCAATTGCGCACAGCGACGTCCCCACAAACAGCCGTGGGTTGAGCGACCACATTTTATTTATTAATTATTATTTATTTATTATTTGTTTATTATTATTTTTTATTTATTATCTTTTTATTTATTTATTTATTTGGAGGGATTATGGCCCCCAGAGGGTGAGCACTCTGACCACTAAACTACAGGGCCCCAGTGTCCACCCTTCATGGACTCTCGCCAAACTCGTCCCACAGAGTGAACGCGCAAAAAAAAGCCAATGGTGACGATTTAATATGTTTTTAAATACAAATAGTTGCTGTTCTGGGCGGAGTTGAGAACATACAGATAATAATATAATAATATAATAATAATAATAATGTGTTGCATTTGAAGCAGCGCCTCATCATATTGTCGAGACGTCTCAAAGCGCTTCACGGGATCCACTGTAAAGTGGGTGAAACAGGGAGGGTGTGGGTGTATTTTGGCCGGGGACGGGAGGGTGGGGGGGTGGGGCGTGTGACTATCGCGTGACGATAGCATGACGTGGCGGGGGAGTGGGTCACGGCTGGGTGTTGTAGAGGGACAGGTCGGTGTGACTGGTCACGTGGAGTTGCCAGGGGAAGTAGTCCTGGCCCAGCGAGTGGCCCTGGGCCTCCTCCACCATCAGCTCCACGTCCATGTCGTCCGTCATCCTCACCAGGTCACCCTCCGCGTCGCGGTAATTCACCGCCAGATCCTGGTGCCCGAACTCCGCACTGAGACAGGACACGGCAAAGGGACAGTCAAACCTTCACCACGAGGGCAAGTGTTCACCACAACGTCAATCAACGTCAATAACAATAATAATAATAATGTCTCGCATTCGATACAGCGCCTTATCACGTCTCACAGACATCCCAAAGGATTCACTGCAAAGCGTAGTGACTGTGTGTTTTGTGGGCGAAACTCTTCCCCCCCCCCCCAGCCACACCCCTGGTGACAAGCTCAGAGCTGATGAGCACCCTGAGAGCCCTCGCGCTGTTATGAATTAATTAATTAATGCTTATTAAATTTACTGTGAACCAACCCGGGACTCCCCCCCCCCCACCACCTCCCAGCCCCCACCCACCAGCTCCAGTCACTCCCCCACCTCCCCGCCATTGGCTGTACTTTCCCATCAGCAAAGGAACAGTCACTACACTTGGTGTAAACTGATAAACGTTCCCCGCCCCGAGCACGTACCAGACCAGGGAGCTGAGGTCCTTGTAGGTTGGTTTCACGGACAGTCGTTCATTCACAGCGATGTCCCTGTGTGTGTGCGTGAGGGAGAGAGTCAACAACAACAACAACACAGGACATCTACACGGCGACTTTCCCGTCAGGAGGAACGTCCCAAGACACTGGACAGTCCAGGATTTGGACCCGAGATGGGGGTTGGGATCAGGAGGGGGTGGAGGGAGGGTGGGGTTAGGAGTGGGGGGACTGAGGGTGCGGTTGGTCGAAGAAGAGGGTCTTGAGACGGGACTTGAAGGGAGGGAGCGAGGCGGAGGGAGTGGGGGTGAATCCTCACGTCTCCCCCTGCGTCCTCCCACTCCTTCACCGGAATGGGTCGTCACGGTAACGTACCTGATGGTAACGCCCTCGGGAGAGTGGTACACACAGCGCAGGTAATTGACTGTGTGATCACCGTCAGCACTGCCATACGGCAGATCCTTCACCATCTTCACGAACGATCTGGGGAAAATCCCCGTCTCATCCCGCACACTTCCCTGGGGGTGGCGGGGGGGGGGAGAGAGAGTGAGAGAGGGTGTGTGAGAGAGAGGGCGGAATGAAAGGGGGAGACAGAGAGAGGGAGGTGGGGAGAGAGAGAGAGAGTGTGAGACAGACGGTTGGTGTTGGTGTTGAAGAATTGTGCTGTCGTGTTTCGCCTACAAAATACACAGTCACTACGCTTCACAGTGTGCAGCGCTTTGGGACGTCCTCCTGACGTGAGCAGCGCTGAGTAATGTGATCAGTTCTTGTCGCTGTGGTTGTGGTTATTGTTGTCGTTGATTTTGTTGTTGTGGTTATTGTTGTTGATGTTGCTGTTGTTGTACACACACACACACACCCCCACCACACCCCCCCCACCCCCCCCCCCACACCCCCCCCCCCCCCTCACCCCCGTTGTCCCACCTCCAGCCAATCGGCATTGACTCTGCGCAGCAGGAAAATCAGGTCTCCAGTCACAAAGCACAGGTCCAGCACATTGTCCCCGGAGAAGTCATACAGAGCCTGGAAACAGATACAGCGTGAGGGGCAACAGGCACCAGGCAACGGCAACGGGCAACGGCAACGGGCAACGGCAACGGGCAATGGCAACGGCAACGGCAACAGGCAAAAAGGTAACTTCTCAAGAGATTAGAGAGAGGCACTCACTCGCTCACTCACTCGCCCACTCTCACCCTCACTCACTCGACTCCTGCTACAATGCAATCCCCCCCACCCCACCCCGAGCACTGGCGGCTGACTCTCTCTCTCTCTCTCTCCCCCCACCCCCCCCACCAACCCCCTCCCGGCATATGCAGCCTGACTGACCTCGGCTCGGGGGCCTTGGCTCCTGTCGGTCACCACCAGCTTTGGCTTTGTGATTCTGAGGAGAAGAGTCACAGCAATGAGAGCGATCTTCACAGTGTCACCGTACAACAAAGAGCTCCGTGTCCGACCCGAGCGATTACAGGTACTATAAGTGTGTTATCATTTATTGTTAATAATAACGATGATGTATTATCGTTACTGTCTGCGTTAATACGGTGATCGTTCACGGTTTTAGTAACGGATCAGCGCGAAAGCTCGTGGTAAAGTGTCGTGTTGTCGCTCGATGGTGACCGGCGGTTCGTTAGGTCGAAACGCTGGAAATCTGAAACCTTGGAACCCTCACCAGGTCGGGCAGCGTCTATGGAGAGAGGAAAGTTCTGACGAAGGGTCGCGGGACCCGAAACCTTGTCCCACTTTCCTTTCTCTCTCTCCCGAGACGCTGCTCCTCATCTGCCGAGCGTTCCCGGCAACGCCTGTTTTTGTTGTTGGCGATTAATTAGTGAGTGGTCCATCAGTGACGATGGTTCGGGGGAATGGTGTGGGTGACGCCAGGAGGACTCACACTTTCCGTGTCGCTGGCCTCAGTCTGCGCAGCGAGCGAGGAACCTGCTCACTGTCGTATTTGGTTTGATAGAAAAACATTCGGATATATTCATGGAGGACAATCCAGGAGGGAAGACAGAGGAGCCTCTGTAAACCAGGAACAGCAGACAGTCAATGCATCCTGTGGACAAATAACACCTAACCCTTACCCTCCAACATCCCCGGCCTAGACAACACATAGCCCCCACCGCCCGCCCCACCAAACCCCTCCAACATCCCCAGCCCAAACACATAGCCCCCACCGCCCCCCCACCAAACCCCTCCACATCCCCAGCCCAAACACATAGCCCCCACCGCCCGCCCCACCAACCCCCTCCAACATCCCCAGCCTAGACAACACATAGCCCCCCCCACCAACCCCCTCCAACATAATAATAATAATCCTCGCATTTGATATAGCGCTTTTCACGTCGGGAGGACGTCCCAAAGCGCTTCACAGAACACACTGTAAAGTGAATTAACTGTGTATTTGTGGGCGAACGCGGCAGCCAATTGCGCACAGCAATGTCCCACAAACAGTCGTGGATTGAAAATGACCAATTTATTATTGTTTTGGTTTTGGAGGATTATTATTAGGCTCTGTGTGGAGTAAGGAAACTTGCCCGAGGTTTGGCCCTGACTGACCCCCCGGGGATTGAACTCAGGTCTCTCACTTGCAAAGCGAGTGCTCTAACACTGAGCTACAGCACTGATTGCAATACCACAAGTGATACCAATACAACACAGTGTCACAGCTCAAATAGGTGGTTCCTATCTGTGACCGAGACTTCACGTAGAAACACGAGTATAGGATAGTGACAACACATAGCCCCCCCCCCCCCCTCCAACATCCCCAGCCCAGACCACACATAGCTCCAACATCCCAGCCCAGACCACACATAGCCCCCACCAACCCCCTCCAACATCCCCAGCCCAGACAACACATAGCCCCCCCCCACCACCCCCTCCAACATCCCCAGCCCAGACAACACATAGCCCCCCACCAACCCCCTCCAACATCCCCAGCCCAGACAACACATAGCCCCCCCCCACCACCCCCTCCAACATCCCAGCCCAGACAACACATAGCCCCCCCCACCAACCCCTCCAACATCCCCAGCCCAGACAACACATAGCCCCCCCCCACCAACCCCCTCCAACATCCCCAGCCCAGACAACACATAGCCCCCCCCCCACCAACCCCCTCCAACATCCCCAGCCCAGACAACACATAGCCCCCCCCCACCACCCCTCCAACTCCCAGCCCAGACAACACATAGCCCCCCACCAGCCCCCTCCAACATCCCCAGCCCAGACAACACATAGCCCCCCCACCAACCCCCTCCAACATCCCCAGCCCAGACAACACATAGCCCCCCCACACCAACCCCCTCCAACATCCCCAGCCCAGACAACACATAGCCCCCCCCCCCCCACCAGCCCCCTCCAACATCCCCAGCCCAGACAACACATAGCCCCCCCCCAACCCCTCCAACATCCCCCCCAGACAACACATAGCCCCCCCACCAGCCCCCTCCAACATCCCCAGCCCAGACAACACATAGCCCCCCCCACCAACGCCCTCCAACATCCCCAGCCCAGACAACACATAGCCCCCCCCCACCAACCCCTCCAACATCCCCAGCCCAGACAACACATAGCTCCCCCCCCCACCAGCCCCTCCAACATCCCCAGCCCAGACAACACATAGCCCCCCCCACCAACCCCCCTCCAACATCCCCAGCCCAGACAACACATAGCCCCCCCACCACCCCCTCCAACATCTCCAGCCCAGACAACACATAGCCCCCCCCACCAACCCCTCCAACATCCCCAGCCCAGACAACACATAGCCCCCCCCCCCACCAGCCCCCTCCAACATCCCCAGCCCAGACAACACATAGCCGCCCCCCCCACCACCCCCTCCAACATCCCCAGCCCAGACAACACATAGCCCCCCCCCCCCCACCAGCCCCCTCCAACATCTCCAGCCCAGACAACACATAGCCCCCCCCCACCAACCCCCTCCAACATCCCCAGCCCAGACAACACATAGCCCCCCCCCACCAACCCCCTCCAACATCCCCAGCCCAGACAACACATAGCACCCCCCCCACCAGCCCCCTCCAACATCCCCAGCCCAGACAACACATAGCCCCCCCCCCACCAACCCCCTCCAACATCCCCAGCCCAGACAACACATAGCCCCCACCGTCCACCCCCACCAACCCCCTGCAACATCCCCGGCCTAGACAACACATACCCCCCCCACCAACCCCCTCCAATATAATAATAATAATCCTTGCATTTGATATAGCGCTTTTCACGTCGGGAGGACGTCCCAAAGCGCTTCACAGAACACACTGTAAAGTGAATTGACTGTATATTTGTGGGCGAACGCGGCAGCCAATTGCGCACAGCAATGTCCCACAAACAGTCGTGGATTGAAAATGACCAATTTATTATTGTTTTGGTTTTGGAGGGAATATTATTAGGCTCTGTGTGGAGTAAGGAAACTTGCCCGAGGTTTGGCCCTGACTGACCCTCCGGGGATTGAGCTCAGGTCTCTCACTTGCAAAGCGAGTGCTCTAACACTGAGCTACAGCACTGATTGCAATACCACAAGTGACACCAATACAACACAGTGTCACAGCTCAAATAGGTGGTTCCTATCTGTGACCGAGACTTCACGTAGAAACACGAGTATAGGATAGTGACAACACATAGCCCCCCCACCAACCCCCTCCAACATCCCCAGCCCAGACCACACATAGCCCCCCCACCAGCCCCCTCCAACATCCCCAGCCCAGACAACACATAGCCCCCACCAGCCCCCTCCAACATCCCCAGCCCAGACAACACATAGCCCCCCCCACCACCCCCTCCAACATCCCCAGCCCAGACCACACATAGCCCCCCCACCACCAACCCCCTCCAACATCCCCAGCCCAGACAACACATAGCCCCCCCCCACCAGCCCCCTCCAACATCCCCAGCCCAGACAACACATAGCCCCCCCCACCAGCCCCCTCCAACATCCCCAGCCCAGACAACACATAGCCCCCCCCACCAGCCCCCTCCAACATCCCCAGCCCAGACAACACACAGCCCCCACCGCTCCCCCCCCACCAACCCCCTCCAACATCCCCAGCCCAAACACATAGCCCCCACTGTCCACCCCCACCAACCCCCTCCAACATCCCCAGCCCAGACAACACATAGCCCCCCCCACCAACCCCCTCCAACATCCCCAGCCCAAACACATAGCCCCACTGTCCACCCCCACCAACCCCCTCCAACATCCCCAGCCCAGACAACACATAGCCCCCCCACCAACCCCCTCCAATATAATAATAATAATCCTTGCATTTGATATAGCGCTTTTCACGTCGGGAGGACGTCCCAAAGCGCTTCACAGAACACACTGTAAAGTGAATTGACTGTATATTTGTGGGCGAACGCGGCAGCCAATTGCGCACAGCAATGTCCCACAAACAGTCGTGGATTGAAAATGACCAATTTATTATTGTTTTGGGTTTTGGAGGATTATTATTAGGCTCTGTGTGGGGTAAGGAAACTTGCCCGAGGTTTGGCCCTGACTGACCCCCGGGGATTGAACTCAGGTCTCTCACTCGCAAAGCGAGTGCTCTAACACTGAGCTACAGCACTGATTGCAATACCACAAGTGACACCAATACAACACAGTGTCACAGCTCAAATAGGTGGTTCCTATCTGTGACCGAGACTTCACGTAGAAACACGAGTATAGGATAGTGACAACACATAGCCCCCCCCACCAGCCCCCTCCATCATCCCCAGCCCAGACAACACATAGCCCCCCCCCCAGCAACCCCCTCCAACATCCCCAGCCCAGACAACACATAGCCCCCACCACCAACCCCTCCACCAACCCCCTCCAACATCCCCAGCCCAGACAACACATAGCCCCCACCACCAACCCCCTCCACCAACCCCCTCCAACATCCCCAGCCCAGACAACACATAGCCCCCCCCACCAACCCCCTCCAACATCCCCAGCCCAGACAACACATAGCCCCCCCCCCACCAACCCCTCCAACATCCCCAGCCCAGACAACACATAGCCCCCACCGCTCCCCCCTCCACCAACCCCCTCCAACATCCCCAGCCCAGGCAACACATAGCCCCCCTCGGGATGTAAGTGGGGTGTGTTTGGGGCTGGGGGCTTAGCTATCGTGCGATGTGTTGACACGGGATTCTCACCTTCATGTACAGGTTGAGTTCTGGGATTCGTTTCTCCGCAATTTCCTGTTTGTTTCCAACAATTATTTTCCCTGAAACGGCAAAGTGTTTGGTGCTGCCGTGAACGGAGGGCGGAGGGTCGGGAAGACTGGAGCATCGCAACGGCCTCACCAACGCAACACCTCCTCTACGCGATCTCAGCCGGACCTCCCCAGGGGCGAGCCCGACTCCGCGATGAATGAACCTCCCAACAACGAAACATGCGAATCGCGGCTCGCGTGTGCGTATTATTGCGGGCGAAACGCGGAGCGGTGTGTCCCACACACAGTCCGGGATGTGTGTACGTGAGGTTTTTTTTAAACAATGGGTACAAGAAGAAAAATAATCGAATGCTTTTGAACGTTGTACTCTTCGAAAAATCCCAGTTGGACATAACCATGGCCGGGAGATGCCAGCCCGGCCCGGCCCGGCCCAGGACATGTTCCTCCTCCACTGAGCGGCCATTTTAAGGCCAGGCAGCCCGGCCTGCGGATGGGGAGGAGAGACGGGAAGATGGGTGCAGGGCCAGGCGGGAGAGTGGGGGCAGGGCCGGGCGGGAGAGTGGGGGCAGGGCCGGGCGGGAGAGTGGGGGCAGGGCCGGGCGGGAGAGTGGGGCAGGGCCGGGCGGGAGAGTGGGGGCAGGGCCGGGCGGGAGAGTGGGGGCAGGGCCGGGCGGGAGAGTGGGGGCAGGGCCGGGCGGGAGAGTGGGGGCAGGGCCGGGCGTTGGGCAAACAGTAACCAACATTGGGAAATGGTTGGATTTTAGGAAGTTGGTTGCGAAACAGACAGCCACGAGCGTTACATAATACCTCAGGGCTGGAATGTGTGTGCGTGTGCGTGTGCGTGCGCATGCGTGTGTGTGGCTCCCTCCACAAACCTCCCCCCTCACTGCCCAGCCTAGTGTGAGCACCTCCTCTCTCGGAGGGTTTGTGGTTTGAGTACACACCTCGGGGGGGGGGGGGGAGAGGGGGCTTTGAGCTCGCAGTCCAAGCTATTGCTCCAGCACGGTGCCAGGGGGAGGGCAGTCAGGGATGGGAGGGCAGTCAGTAGCCGGGGATGGCAGTAGACAGGGCGGGGATGGCAGTACCTGGCAGGGTTGGCAAGAGCTGTCTCTGGCCGTCGGGGAAGGTGTCCATGAGGCTGAGCTGCAGGTTGTGAAATTCCCGGTAACGACGGAAAATCAAATGTCGGCTTCCACCCTTCAGCTTCACCTGGATCACAAACAGCTACCGGGGGGGCACAGAGTCACCGTCTGTGTCTGTCTGTCTGTCTGTCTGTCTGTCTGTCTGTCTGTCTGTCTGTGTGTGTTCGTGTGTGACTCTACGTGTGTGTGTGTGTAAGTGTGAATGTGTCTGAGTATGTGCGTGTGAGTGTGAGTATGTGCGTAACTATGTGTGTGTGACTGTGTGTGAGTATGTGTGTGACCATGTGAGTATTTGTGTGTGGGTTTAGGTGTATGTGAGTATGTGTATGACTGTGAGTGTGACTGTATATGTGTGTGTGTGTGTGTACTATATTATATTATACTATACTCACAAAGTGCCTGGAGAAACCTTTATGTTCCTCTGCATCTGCGATGTGGGCCGAGATTGGCACATTGTCCGGCAGCTGATCATAGTCACTGTAACACACACAGACAGAACAGACACACGCGCACAGACACACACAGACACACACACACACACACACAGACAAACACAGGCACACACACACAGACAAACACACACACAGACACACACAGACACACACAGACAAACACACACACAGACACGCAGACACACAGACACACACAGACACACACACACAGACAAACACACACACACACACACGCAGGGTAACTCCAACACAACAGCTTGCATTTACACAGCGCCTCTCACACAGGGCAGTGTCCCAGAGCGCTTAATAGTGGCGGAGCACAACACCGAGCCGGGGGGAGGTGACTGTAGGAACGGTCCGTCGAAGAGGAAGGTCTTCAGGCACGACCCGAAGATGGGGAAGGAGATGGGGTGAGGCGGAGGGACTGAAAACAAGTGAGAGGATCTTGAAATCGGTCCATTTGGCGATTCGGTGACACACACAGACATGGAGAGAGGGAGGGAGCGAGGAATTGATCAAATAGGTGTCCATACACAGGCAACGAGAGAGAGAAAGTGAAAGGGAAAACAAGAGAGAAAGAAAGGGAACGAGTGAAGCCAGAGAGAGAGAGAGAGAGAGGAAACAAGGTTTCAGGAGAAGGTAAAGAAATGCCAGAACGGGGACAGCCGGTCGGGGATGGGCCGCTCACCTCTCCACTCGCAGTTGTCGTTGCATCGTACAGTGTTACGCCCTCTCACCCCCTCTCACCCTCTCTCACCCTCTCTCGCAGCTTCACTGTGCGAATACACTGAGAGATTAGAGAAGAGCATATTTCAGGAAGTGGGTGGGGAAAAACTGCAGTGAGAGGGTGGGGGGTGGAGGGGGGAACTGTAGAACCTTTGATCCTTCTCGAAAACATCTTCACTGGGGTGTGAGACAGAGACGGGCTATAGCTCTGACCTGTCACACAGCGAGAGCGGGTTTTAATAATAATAATAACAATAATAATAATAATTCTGGCATTTGATATCGCGCTTTTCACATCCTCTCGACGTCTCAAAGCGCTTCACAGAATATACTGTAATAGGTTTGGGCGATTCCACACACACACACACACTGAGCGCACACACACACACACACACACACACTGAGCGCACACACACACTGAGCGCACACACACACAGTGCACACACGCACACTGAGCGCACACACACACACACTGAGCGCGCGCACACACACACACAGTGCACACACACACACACACACACACTGAGCCTCCCAGCGCTTATCAAGTCTAGAGACTACGCTTCTCAAGCCCTAAGTAAAATCTCCCTCTCGCTCGTCTTACGGCAGTGTGTGGGGCGTCACTGTGCATTAAATTGGATACTGCGTTCGCCTACAAAACACACAGTCACTACACTTTACACTGAAATCCTGAGAAGTGCTTTGAGACGTCCTCCACCACAATGTGAAAGGCGTTTGGATGAAATGTAAGGATTATTGTCTGTTAGTTACAGATCCACCTTCTGTCGGCAGAGGGCAGCCCTCCCACAGTGAGAAGGGGGGGGGTGGGGGGGATAGGTGATGGGGTGGGGGGGGAGCCAGTCACTCCATCTACTGAAGCTGGAAAGACTCTCTTCTCCCCCACACACCCACCCCACCACCATCACCCTGACCCCCAGCACCGCCTGAACTGGCAGCTCAACCCCCCCCACCCACCTGGAGAGGGAGGGGGGGGCCGAGCTCCAGTGACTGAGCCAGGAAGGGGGTGGGTGGGGGGGGGGAGACAGATCTCATTGAGAAGGGTTCAGAGTGAAATTGTCTATTTCAAAAGGGGTAAAGGGGAAAAAAGAGAGAGAGAGAGAGCAAAAGAGAGAGGGAGCGTGATGGGGGAGAGAGAGAGAGAGAAGCACGAGAGCGCAGGAAAAATAGAGGCAGACAGAGAAAGAGTGTGAGAGGGAGAGAGAGGGAGGAAAGAGAAGGAGATAGAGAGAGAGAGAAAGAGAGAGAGAAACTCCCTCTATAAATAGGCTGTTGGCAACAGAATACCCGCCTGTCATCAAGATCATCAACCAGATCCCAGACGACACTAAACATGGGTGTGCGGGGGGGTGGGGGGGGAGGGGGGGGGGGGGTGCCTGTGGGCAAGGGGCTGACCGTGGGGTGGCGAGCGGAGGGAAAACTTTGAGGGCTAAAGGGCGACTCCATTTGCTCAGTTAAACATGAAGCTGGAGCTGGGGAGTTGGCGCGTGTGTGTGTGTCTGTGCGTGGTGGGTATGTGTGCACCTGTGTGTGTGTGTGTGTGTGTGTGTGTGTGCACCTGTGTGTGTGTGCGCGTCTGTGTGTGTGTGTGTGTGTGCACCTGTGTGTGTGCGTCTGTGTGTCTGTAAGGGTGTGTACGAGGGTGTGCCTGTGTGTGTGAGGGTGAGGTTGTGTGTGAGGGTGTGTGTGTGAGGGTGTGTGGGAGGGGTTCAGTTGCCCTGAGGCACCTGTTGCTAATATTCACACCACATCTGGTTTGGCCATCAGCGGTGGTCCCCCCCCGGCCCCCCGCCCCCCCCCCCCCCCCCCCGGCCCTGCTGAGCAGCCGTAATTCAATCACCGGCCAAAGACACGTCAGGTCAGGCCAACAACAGAGAGAGACAGGGAGGGCAGAGAGCCAGGGACTCTCTCTCCCTCTCTCTGTCCCTCTCCGTCTCTCCCTCTCTCTCTCACCCTCCTTCCCTCTCCCGCCTCCCTTTCTCTCCCTCCCTCCCTCCCTCCCTCCCTCCCTCTGGTTCCGTCTCTCCCCGCTTCCCTCGCTTGAGGAAGTTCTGTGAACCGGGAACCTCCATGTCGGTGTCTCAAGCTGATCTGGAGACTCTTAAGCAAATTTGATGGGTTTTCCCGTGTGTCAGACCCCCCGACCCCCACCCCTCACCCCCAGGGCTGCCCCAAACAAACAACCCTGCGAAGTCTAGTGACTGTATTTCATAGACAAATCCTCCTTTTCCCCTCCTCTCCCCCAGGAATCAATTCCCCTCCTTTGGGAAAGGGAGGGCGAGGGCGAGGGAGGGGGTGTGTGAGGTGGCACACCTGAGACAGACACAACTCTTCCCCCTGACTCCACACCCTCACCCCCTCCCTCCCCCCCCCCCCGCCGCAAGGGACCCCCCACCCGCCACACACTCCACAACTCAAATCCCCCACACTCACCGCCCCCCATCATACAAACCCCCTTAAAGGCCACACAGCGGCTACAACAACAACAAGTGACCTTTACCCGGGGCCTCTCATGTTGGGAGGGCATCCGAAGGCGCTGGACAGTCAGGGGTTTGGCCCCGAGCTGTGGGTTGGGATCAGGAGGGGGTGGAGGGCTGGGAGGGTGGGGGTAGGAGGGTGACCGAAGGCGCGGTCGAAGCAGAGAGTCTTGAGATGTGCCTTGACGGAGGCGAGGGATTGGGGAGGGAGGTGGGGAGGCGGAGGGACTGTGGGATGGAGATCGAGAGGTTGGGGGCAGAGAGGCTGAAGGCTTGACCGCTGATGGTGGGGGTGGGGGTGGGCCGGGCGGGGGACGTGGAGCAGAGGGAACAGACGGGTCGATATGAGACAGAGGGTTAACACACAGAGCAGAAGTGCTGATTGTGAGGATCTGATAGTTGTCTCTGGGCTATAAATACTTATGCAGGAAATCTGAGCCAGAAGTTTTACCATTGGTGCCCCTACCACCTCGCCCCCCCCCCCCCCCCCCCACCCGCCCACTCTCTCCCACGAGGGGGCTGCGGGGGCCAAGGAGTGGGGGGTACCATCCTTCTCTGTTAAGCCCACGTCACCCCCCAGCCCTCCCAGCGGGTAAAAAATAATAATAATTTGGCCACTCAATCCGCGACTGTTTGTGGGGATGTCGCTGGGCTCAATTGGCTGCTGTGTTTCGCCCACAAAAATATAGTCACTACACTTTACAGTGTATCCTGGGAAGCGCTTTGAGACGTCTCGAAGATGTGATCAGGCGCTGTATCAAATGCGAGGATGATTATTATTATTACTACCCTCTTGGTTAAAAAAAAACTCTCCCGTTTCTGTCCTGAACATAACTTGTGTTCCTGCACATCTCTCTCCCCCCCACCCCCCCCCCCACCCACCCCGCCCCCAACCCCACCCCCCACGGCAAACATCTCCCATCTCCGCCCTGAGATACGAATCTCCCAATCCCCCTCCCAGACCTCGCTCAGGGTCTCGCGTTTATGACATGTTAACACAACAAAAAGATCACTGCATCATTAAACCCTGCCTTGTCATCACAGCGAGCCAGACATGTTTGGCTGGTAATAAATACATCTAATTTATCCCTCTGCCTCCTGCACACCTCCTGCCTGTCACACACACACACATCTCTGCGTGTACCTGCGTGCTCCACGCACGCTAAAGACACACACACGCACACACACACACACACACCTCCGTGTGTACCTGTGTGCTCCACACACACACTAACCCACTTACAGACACACACACACACAAACTGGCACAGACACAGTCACTTACAGTCACACGCATTTAGACACACGCCCACCAACATACACTTGCAGACACCCACACACCCACACACCCACTCCGTCTCTCTCCCGTTCCTGGTCTCCCCTCGTTCTCCTTTTCCCTGCCTTCGTCCTCCCTCCCTCCCTCCCTCCCTCTCTCTCTCTCTCCCTCACACAGCCCCTCTGGCTGACCCACACAGACACAGGCAGCTGCAGTTCTGCTGACGTGAAGGAGAGAGAGAGTGAGCGAAGGTTTGTTTGACTCCACAAGACTTTGCTGAGTGAGCTGCGAGCGGCAGCTTCAGTGACACACTTTCCCAGGACACCCACTGCCCCACGTCTCGCTCCCCTATTAAGGTCCCAAGACCCAAGGTGGCAGCAGCTTTCCTCAGCAGTGAGTTTAAACCCAACGCTCCAGCCAAGCAAGTCTCTGATTATGTCACCCACATCTCCAGTACCTCACAGACATGGTGATAATCCCGTACAGACAGACACAGGGCCTTATCAAGTCAGAAGCACGTCTCAAAGTGCTTCACAGGATTTCACTGTCAAGTACAGTGACTGTGTGTTTTGACCCATTCCCCATCCCGCATACACATACACACACGCATGCACGCAGACACACACACACGCATGCACGCACACACGCCTACAAAGGTAAGACGGTCTTACCCAGTATCTGTGAGGTGGACGTGTGCAGAGCCATGTCCCCGAATCTCCCCACAGCGACAAAGTAGGAGTTGGCTGCCTTCATGAGAACTGAAAACAGGCGACCGAGAGGGAGAGAGAGAGAGAGAGAGTGTAAGAGAGACAGAGAGAGACAGAGCGAGTGTTTCAACCAGTCACGTTTTCCAGCCTGAGGTGGAGAGATGTTCGTCAGGTCGGGGGATCGAGGGATTTGGGGCAATGGCGGGTAATTGGGGTTGAGGTACAGATCAACCGTGGTCTACAACAACAACTTTTGTTTATATAGCGCCTTCACCCGGGGTAGCGTCCCAGATCTAATAGAATGGCGGAACAGGTTAGAATGTCCTCCTCCTGTTCCTATGTTCCCAGCATTGCGCTGGAAAGTCAGCCTGGACCGCGAGCTCAGAGTCCCCCACGTGGGGCTTGAACCCTCACATTTCTGACGTTCTGACCCGGAGGCGAGCGAGCTGTTGAGTTTGAGTCCCGGGTCCTCATAAGAACAAAGTGTCGGTTCTTTCGATTCTCAGATCGATTTCTGTTAGGAAATAATATCATAGAATTATACAGCGCAGAAGGAGGCCATTCGGCCCTTGGTGTCTGTGCGGGATATCTGGGGAAACGGTGTATAGTTTGGGACATGACATGACAAGCGGCAGCCAGGATGGTGGCAGACACACCAGTGTTAATTCTTAATGTTCTTACCTTTCCCTGAAGGACGGCACCGCTGTTAATGGATGTCGTTGGGGCTAATTGATTGCCGTGTTCACCTAAACAATACACCAACCCGTTTTACACAGCGTCCTTCACACGGCTAGCGTGTGGGAGCGTGTGGGTGCGATCTGATGCCGAGCTGGGGAAGGGGAGGGAAGGGAGGGGGCCAGAGGTGCCGTAGAAGGGGAAAGTCCTCCACACACACAGTCACTACACTTTACAGTATATTTTGTGAAGCACTCTGGGACATCTTTCCAACGTGATAAGGTGCTGTATTCAAAGCAAGGATTATTATCACAATAATAGTCTTAAGACAGGGGTGTGGGGGGGGGTTTGGGGGGAATAGCTGAAAGCTCGGCAGAGATGGGGGCTTGTGTGGGTGGGGGGTGGGGGCAGGAGGGTGAGCGTAAGGGTATGTGTGAAGCGGTGTGAGGGTGTGTGTGTGTCTGTGAGGGAGTGTGTGAGTGGGTGTGGGGCGGTGAGGATTGTGAGGGGGTGAGGAGTGTGAGAGGGGGTGTGAGGGGAGAGGGGGTGTGAGGGGAGAGGGGGTGTGAGGGGAGAGGGGGTGTGAGGGGAGAGGGGTTGTGAGGGGAGAGGGGTTGTGAGGGCGGGGAGAGGGGTTGTGAGGGGAGAGGGGGTGTGAGGGCAGAGGGGGTGTGAGGGGAGAGGGGTGTGAGGGGGGGAGAGGGGGTGTGAGGGGAGAGGGGGTGTGAGGGGAGAGGGGGTGTGAGGGGGAGGGGGTGTGAGGGGGAGAGGGGTGTGAGGGGAGAGGGGGTGTGAGGGGAGAGGGGGTGTGAGGGCGGGGAGAGGGGGTGTGAGGGTGGGGAGGATGTGAAGCAATGATGAGCTGCTCGCTGGCCGCCGAGGTCGCTGATAGCTTCCACAGGAGCTGTTAGTCCCGAAAGATATTTAATCCTAAATTTATCAATGTTCATCACAGACAAATTAAATCTAAGGTAATCTTTCCCGTGCGGATCCCATGTCAGAGAGTGTTAAAAACAACACCCAACATTCCCCCCACCCCCACCCACACACAGCCCCCCGCGGACACACACACCTTACACAGACAGCCGCTCCCCCCACACTCCCACCCTCAAAACACAGACCCCCCACCCCACACAGACACTCCCACTCCCCATCTTACACGTACACACACAGCCATTCAGCCCCTCGAGCCTGTTCCGCCATTCCACTAAATCGTGGCCGATCTGCATCGCGACTCCGATTAACAATTGGGAGGGAAGTTTGAGAGGGAGGGGAGGGGAGGGGAGGGGAGGGGGTCCGTGCCCCAGTGTGACACACATTACTGGTGGACAGCACAGCATGAGGCTGGGAAGGCAGGAGGGAGGGGGAAAGGTGAAGGAGGGGAGAGGGTGAGGGAGGGTTGAAGGAGAGGGGGAGGGAGGGGGAGAGGGTGAGGGAGGGTTGAAGGAGAGGGGAGGAGGGAGGGGGAGAGGGTGAGGGAGGGTTGAAGGAGAGGGGGAGGGAGGGGGAGAGGGCGAGGGAGGGGCTACCCTCTTGGTTAAAAAAAACTCTCCCGTTTCTGTCCTGAACATAACTTGTGTTCCTGCACATCTCTCTCCCCCCCACCCCCCCCCCACCCACCCCGCCCCAACCCCACCCCCCACGGCAAACATCTCCCATCTCCGCCCTGAGATACGAATCTCCCAATCCCCCTCCCAGACCTCGCTCAGGGTCTCGCGTTTATGACATGTTAACACAACAAAAAGATCACTGCATCATTAAACCCTGCCTTGTCATCACAGCGAGCCAGACATGTTTGGCTGGTAATAAATACATCTAATTTATCCCTCTGCCTCCTGCACACCTCCTGCCTGTCACACACACACACATCTCTGCGTGTACCTGCGTGCTCCACGCACGCTAAAGACACACACACGCACACACACACACACACCTCCGTGTGTACCTGTGTGCTCCACACACACACTAACCCACTTACAGACACACACACACACAAACTGGCACAGACACAGTCACTTACAGTCACACGCATTTAGACACACGCCCACCAACATACACTTGCAGACACCCACACACCCACACACCCACTCCGTCTCTCTCCCGTTCCTGGTCTCCCCTCGTTCTCCTTTTCCCTGCCTTCGTCCTCCCTCCCTCCCTCTCTCTCTCTCTCTCTCCCTCACACAGCCCCTCTGGCTGACCCACACAGACACAGGCAGCTGCAGTTCTGCTGACGTGAAGGAGAGAGAGAGTGAGCGAAGGTTTGTTTGACTCCACAAGACTTTGCTGAGTGAGCTGCGAGCGGCAGCTTCAGTGACACACTTTCCCAGGACACCCACTGCCCCACGTCTCGCTCCCCTATTAAGGTCCAAGACCCAAGGTGGCAGCAGCTTTCCTCAGCAGTGAGTTTAAACCCAACGCTCTCGAAGATGTGATAAGGCGCTGTATCAAATACGAGTGTTATTATTATTATATATAAACGTAAACTGCTGTTGATGTTGTAGTAAGAGCGAGAGACAAGAGCTGTGGTGGATGGAGGGATGGTTAGAGACGATGGGGTGGGTGGGTGGGGGTGGGGGGGGGGGGGGCGGTTGACTCACTTGGGTTTGGTGACGTCAGACATTTTGGTGTTTTCCCCAAACTCCTTCTTGAGGAAGTCCTCGAGGGGGGAGGAGGAGTAGGGCCGTGAGCCCTGGAAAACCTGATCCTTCATCCGGAAATACAGGCAGCGGAGATAGTGCATGGGTTTCCCTGTGTGTGACACAGCGCAGACTGTCAGCGCAGACTCTCCTCACCGGCAGCTTCCCACAGACCATCCACTCCACACACACACACGCACCGTCTCACACCCTCACATGCCCCGGGGTGTGTGTGGGGGGTTTGTGGGTATGGGGGGTGTGTGTGGGTGTGTGTGGGTGGGTGTGTGTGGGGGGGTGTGTGTATGGGTGTGTGTGTGTGGGGAGGGGGGTGAGCGGGTGTATGTGTGTGTGGGTGTGTGGGTGTAGGTGAGAGGGGTGTGTGTGTGTGTGGGTGTGCGTGAGGGGGATGTGTGTGTGTGGGGAGGGGGGGTGAGCGGGTGTGTGTGTGTGTGGGTGTGTGTGTGTGGGTGGGGGGGTGTGTGTGTATGGGGGGGGGTGTGGATGTGGGGGTGGGTGTGTGGGGGGTGTGTATGTGTGGGGGGGTGTGTGTGTATGGGGGGGTGGGCTGGCGCAGGGCTGAGCGGTGGAGGGGATCAGGCTGAGCCAGGCTCACCGTGTACGATAGCCAGGGCGAGGATGCCCCCGGTGCTGGTTCCCGAGACCCAGTCAAACAGCTCCCTGACTGGCCTCCCCGCGGCCTGCTCGATGGCGATCAGTAACTGGATCAGCACCAGCCCCCGAATCCCTCCCCCGTCCAGGCACAGCAGCCGGTCACAGCTGAGGGGGGTGGGGGGCAGAGAGAGGATGGAGAGAGAGGAGAGGGGGAAAGAATGGAGCAATAGAGAGAGAGAGGTTACAGCAACTAGAATCAATGCATTTTAAAGAGAAAACTTGATGCGTACTTGGGGGAGAGGGGAGCAGTGGGAGAGGGGAACAGGGGTTGTGGGGGGGAGAGGGGACAGGGGGTGTGGGGGGAGAGGGGACAGGGGGTGTGGGGGGAGAGGGGAACAGGGGGTGTGGGGGGGAGAGGGGAACAGGGGGTGTGAGGGGGAGAGGGGAACAGGGGGTGTGGGGCTCGTGTGGAGTATAAACCCCCCTCCCCCGGTATTCCCCGCCTCCTCTCACCTTCGCGGTTGGTGACTGGGAGTATCTGGGATGTCGAAGCCTTTGGTTAAGGAGGCGAACAGTGTGGCCGCCCCCAGTACATCGTCAAACCCTGGAACACAGGCCCCGCGGTCACTGCAGGCAAACTCTCCCCTCCGCCCTCTATAGCCCCACCTCTCCCCTCCGCCCTCTATAGCCCTCCCATTCTCCCCACACCCTACTCCCAACCCCCATCCACCTCCCCAGACCCCACTCCCAACCCCAATCCACCTCCCCACACCCCACTCCCAACCCCCATCCACCTCCCCTCTCTTTATATCCCACTCGCACCAACCCCTCTCTCTTTCTCACTCTTTATCTCGGTCTCTCTACCTCTCTTTCTCCCCAATCTCTCTCTACAGTCTGCTCTCTCTCCAACACCCCCCCCCCCTCTCTCTCTGTCTCTCTCTGTCTCTCCAATCGCCCCTTTCCCCTCACCCGCCCTCTACCCTTTCTCTCTCCCACCCTCCCCACCGCAGAGCAGAGTCTCAGAACAGGACAGAAGCAGAAGCTCGGAGTGACAGAAGGCGAGAGGGTTGCAGTCAGCTCACTTACACGGTGACGGTCACATATAGAAATAATAGTCTGAGAGGCAAATGGAGAAACAAAAAGAACAGAAGTGTTATTGAGTGTGGGGGGAAAAAAAAGGAGAAATCCTGGTTTCAGGAGAAACGTGAGGATTAGGGAAAGGAAGAAGGGGTGTGTGTGTGTGTGTGTGTGCGGTTACCTAATTCCCGGCTGGTGATGGGGGGGGGTCTCGCTGGAGCTGGGGCTCTGGTTGGCGAGGTGGGGGTGTCGGAGGACGGTGGGTAACACTGCTCGGCACCTATACTGTGCAGCAAGTTCAGCATCACCTTCCGGTTACTGCCTTTGTGGTGGGGGGGAGTGGGGGCATCAAACAAGGTTAGTCTCCAGGTCCCCAACGGTGTGGTCTGCGTCCCCTTATAACAGGGGTCATTAACATCACACCTCGCTTTATAACAGGGAGCCGGTAAAAACACAGGCCACCGCCGACGTCACTTCCTGTGTGCGCGCGCTACGTTAAGGGGGTCCACTGATGTCACTTCCTGCGTGTGCGCGCTATACGCAACAACGCCTTGCCTAGCCGGGCTGTCAGCCACGGGCGCGATAAACACAACCCACACTACGCTGTGACATGTTATCATAGGATTTGACTATTATTAACAAGACAGACAGACAGACGCCCACACACTCACCCACACAGACAGACACCCACACACTCACCCACACAGACAGACACCCACACACTCACCCACACAGACATGCTCATTCAACACACAGACAGACAGACAGACAGACAGACAGACAGACAGACAGACAGACAGACAGACAGACAGACAGACAGACAGNAACAGACAGACAGACAGACAGACAGACAGACAGACAGACAGACAGACAGACAGACAGACAGACAGACAGACAGACAGACAGACAGACAGACAGACAGACAGACAGACAGACAAACAGACAGACAGACAGACAGACAGACAGACAGACAGACAGACAGACAGACAGACAGACAGACAGACAGACACGCACTCACACACACACACAGACCACAGGCAGACACACAAACACACCTTTACTGTGCCGGGCAGCGATCAAGCCAGCGCTCTCCCCAAAATCATTGTGACATTTCACGTCGGCTCCGAACACGATCAGCGCCTTAATCAGGTCCAGGTTGTCCAACTGTAACAGCAAAACACACTGTAGGTAATACGGTGGGACTTAAAGACAGACAGAGAGACAGACAGACGAGGAGTGAGCGAGGCGAGGGCTTGAGGTTTACCGTGTGAATGACTGACCTTCATGGCGAGGTGCAGAGGGGTGTTGCCGTGCTCCCCTTTACAGTTGGGGTCGGCCCCGTGTGTGAGCAGCACCATGGCGCAGGGGAAGCGAGCTCTCCTCACCATGATGTGCAGTGCTGTCTCCCCGCTCTTGCTCAGGTAATTCACATTACACCCCCGCTCCAGCAGCAGCATGCTCATCTGTAACCCGTCAAGCAAACACATCACAGAGCCCTCACACTACACATCACCTCCCTTCCCCCCGCGAACCTCTGTCCCCCCAACCTTCTCTGCCCCCCCCCCCCACCCCTCACTAACCTCTGAGACAGATCTTGAACCTGTTGGGGGAGTGGGGGGTTTCCGTGATGGAGCTCCAGAAAGCGGGGGCAGAATGGCTGAAAGCTAAACCTGTCGATCGTGGGGCCAGATATGTTCTCTTTATGCCCGACTGTGGTATAAACACTTCTTAAACCACAGCAATTACTCTCCCTCTCTCCGTCCTTCTCCCTCTCGCTCCCTCCCTCTCTGCCTCTTCCTCCCTCCCCCTCCGTCCTCTCAGCACAACACCAGGTGACCAGTAGAGACAGCTTTACCTCTCTGTTCTTGGCCCAGTGAAGTGGTGTCCCCCCATAGCGAGGGTCCTCAGTGTGCATCTGGCTCAGGTCTGCCTCCAACAGGGCCTCAGCACATCTGGGGGGAGAGAGAGAGCAAGGAGCGGAGTGAGAGAGAGAGCAAGAGAGAGAGCGAGAGTGAGAGAGAGCTCGAGAGAGCGAGAGAGCGCGCACTACCACCGTGCCAGGCCAAGAAGAGGTGATAATAAAAGACAGACTGGCTTACCCGGCCTTGGTAAACTTCATGGCGGTGTGGATGGGATAGCCGTGTGTGCCCACCACATGGCCACTGGCCTGGCATCGCAGCAGAGCACGGACCACCTCCGCGTTCCCCAGCCGGCAGGCCACGTGGAGAGGCGTCTCCCCTCCGCTGCTCACGTGGTTGATCCCGATGGACGCGTGTTTGCTCAGCAGCTGGGGAGGGAAACACGGTGGGGGGGGGGGCAGGCCAGAGGGTCAAACCTTTGAGAAAAAACGTGGCGTTGCTGCGATGGGGCGGACGGTAAAGCGAGACTCGCTGCAGGATGAGGCGCTGGGTGGGGCTTCTTCACCCAAACGTGTTGGAAACGTTAACGCCTTCGCTGGTGTGCGCTGGAGTTCACACAGCGAGACAGCACAGAAACAGGCCACTCGGCCCAACTGCTTACAAACCCTCCCAAAACCCCTCTCTTTTACCCCCTCTCCCCCCACCCCCACCCCCTTCCACTCCCTCCTCCCTCAGCGTTCTGTAGTAAAGACACCCAGAGGCCGAGAGCGGATCTACGGCGCTTTGTGTCGACGTAGGTCAGTCTTACACAATGCCTTGGGTTCTTGGAAGAAACACGGTCAGAGATGGGGGAGCAGAACACCAGCACCAGAAGCTACAGAAGCAACACAGCCTGAACCCCAGAGTGTGCGTGCGCCCATCCTCTGTGACCAGCGTCTCCAGCGAGGAGGGAAACCGTGACCAGGTAAGGACAGGGCGATCGCACACTCGGCCAGCGTGAGAGTAGCCGAGGGTGTAGACGGGTTGTGATAAAAGTTGGGGGGATTGATTGATGGCGGGGTGAGGGCGGGTACATTGCTCTTCTCTGGATCTAGTCCGTGCTGTACCTGAGGTGAGAGGATGATCTGGAGTCAACGGTGTACACGCACCTCAGCCACAAACACACCCTCACCCCACCTCACCCCCCCAACCCCACCCCACACACACACACACCCCACACAGAGGTTATACGTTCCTTTGCCCAGCACTGGCACCTCTCACCTTGAGGAACAAAAAGAAACATTCATGACACTCATGTCATGCCATTAACTTTCATCCATCAGTTTGTCTTCCGTGCAGACGCTTCCCTCTTTTTCTTACTGTTTCTTTCACTCTTCCCTCTCTCGCATTCACAGTTCCCTTTTTCTTACGAGCGGTTAGCGCTGGGAGTTTTCATCCAAAAAAAACAAACTGTGCGTGTATATATATATATAAGTAATATATATATGTGTGGCTTTGTTGGCCCAGAGCGCTGTATGTGTGTATATGATAATACGAGTCCTTGCATTTGATACAGCGCCTCATCACGTCTTCAAGGCGTCTCAAAGCAAAGTGAATTGACTGTGTATTCTGTGGGCGAAATATAATATATATATATGTGGCTTTGTTGGAAGAGCGCTGTGTATGTGCCTATAATATATATGTGTGTGTGTGTGTTTTGTTGGACAGAGCACTATGTGTGTACAGTCCGTGGCCCCTGACCCTCACCTCGATGACCTGGCAGTTGGCTTGCTGAGCAGCGTAGTGGAAGACGGTTTCCTGGTTGTTGTCGGCGATGTCCAGCCGCACCCCACAGCCCTCCACCAGCTCCCGCACACAGTCCAGGTTCTCCTTCCTGCAGGCCAGGTGCAGGGGAGTGAAGCCCTCCACAGCCTCCCTGCTGTTGATGCAACTGCGAACAACAGTTCTGTCCATTAGAAACTCTTAGTGGTGACTCGTGTGTGCGTGTATGTGTGTGTGCGTGCGTATGAGCGTGTGTATGTGTTCAAATCCCTTCGCTCCCCTGACACCTCCCTCCCTCTACAATCCACCACCCGGCCCCTCTGCTCGACTGGCACCAGCTTCTTACCCCTCCCTCGCACCCTCCGCCCCACCATCGGGGGGGAAGCAGTGTAGTGTAGTAGTTAGAGGACTCGCCTCGCAAGCGAGAGGTCGTGGGTTCGATTTCTGGGCAAGGTTAAACCATAGGCAAGTTTCCTTGCTCCACACACACGCCTCTTATTTACCGGGAATAAGTAGGAACCCGGTCGTTAGTCAACTGGTGGATTGTTTTCCGAGGGTAATAATCCCTTCAAATAAAAACTGGGTCTCTCAATCCACGACCGTTCAGTGGGACTCTGCTGTGCGCAGTTGGCTGCTGCGTTTGACCCCCAAAACACACAGTCAATCCACTTTACAGTGAAGCACTTTTGAGACGTCTCGACGACGTGATAAGGTGCTGCGTCAAATTAGGGAGGAGGATTATTATGTTAGTGGCTGAAAGCTCGGCCCCTGCGCCCTGCCAGACCAGCCTGGAGCCGTTACCTCATGATGTGGTTGTGGCGGAAGCTGTCCTTCAGCCCCATCTCCACGGCCACGTGAGCCAGGCTCCACTGAGGGTGGCTCCGCAGACAGTCGGTCAACTTCTGGACACTGTCCACCCCCAGCAATGCCGGGGAGATCTCATAGAACGGCCTCAGCTTCTTCCCAAACTCCACAAACATGGGCCTGGCTTCCACCTCCAAGCTCAGCTGGAACAGCCTGCAGAGGGGCACCACATCATCAACAACTTACATTACATCCTCACAGCAAAAGGCAAAAGACTGCAGTGCTGGAAATCTGCAATAAAAACACATGTGGCCGGGAACGGTCAGCCGGTCAGGCAGCATCCATGGAGAGAGGGAAGTGGGTTGAGGTTTCGGGTCGATTGCGGAGTTCTGACGAAAGGTCATCGACCTGAAAGGTTAACCCCCTCTCCCCACCCCCCATCCCCCCCACCAACCCCACCTTTTCGTCTCTCTCTGTTCTATACATCGCCCACAAAATATAGTCAATTGACTTGACAGTGTATCCTGTGAAGCGCTTTGAGGCGTCTCGAAGACGTGATCAGGCGCTGCAACAAATGCGAGAATTATTATTATTATTATTATTATTTACTTCCAGTCACCTGAAAGCACTGTGAGGCAGGTTGGGGTTGATGAGCAGACAGTCCCAGGAATTCATTGTGCGGTACAGCACCACTCTGCCGTCCTCCATCACCCGGGAGGAGCCGGTGTACTCGGCCAGCGTCACCTCTCGCACGCGGTAAGGGTTGGTGAACAGGTTGGTCACCGTGGTGTTCAGCGAATCCACCAAACGCCCGAAGAACTGCATTTCTGCACTGACCTGCGGCCATTAAAATAACCTGGTTACAACAACAGCAGCAGCAGCAACAACAGCAACAACAGTGTGCACTTACACAGCGCTCTTCACACACGACGGAGTCTCGCAACGCTAACGGTGACCATGGGCGCGGTCGAAGAGGAAGGTCTTCAGGTGCGAGGAGCGGGAGAGTGGGACGGAGGGATTTAGGCAGGGAGTTCCAGGCAGGTTCCAGGGTAATAATCCCTTTAAGAAAAAATAATAATAAATGGTTCACTCACCCACGGCTGTTTGTGGGGACGCTGCTGGGCGCAATTGGCTGCCGTGTTTCGCCCACAAAATGCACAGTCACTTCACTTTACAGTATTTCCTGTGAAGCGCGTTGAGACGACCCAACGATGTGATAAGGCGCTGTACCAAATGCAAGGATTATTATTATTATTATTATGAATGGCTGAAAGCACGGCCTCCAATGGCGGAGCAGAGTGCGGCGGGGAATAAACCGAAGGCGAAAATACATTCCAACAGTTAATGCCACTTAAAATAATCCTAGATATTTTATTTTGAAACTTACTTTGATTTGTATCGCAACGAAAAAAGTATCTGATGCAAGGATTATTTTAAGATGATTTCCAGCTCGTCACGTGAAGTATAAAATCCCGGTTGAATTGACTAAATGGTTTCCCGGCATTGCTTCTCCTGCAGACAGACTTCCTTCCTGTTTTTATATAAATATATATATCTAAATAAAACAAAAGCTGAGTTAAATACCGTAGGTACGTGTTTAATTCCTCCTTCTCTTTTCTTGTGGTCCGTGCCCCCAAACCATACAACCATCTGCAACCAGGCTGTGTGGCATTTTAACAGCCTTTCCAACCCCCACTCTGATCCCGACTAGCGATAGGGCTGAGATCAAGGTTAGAATTACATACATACATATTCGCTACACACACATATATATATATACACCCAATAAAATAATGTCACACCACAGAGCCTGTGATGAGGTTTAATAATGATATTTTCGCCCACAAAATACACAGCCAATTCACTTGACAGTGAAGCGCTTTGAGACGTCTCGAAGACGTGATCAGGCGCTGTGTCAAACGCCCGGATTATTATTATTATTATTATTGATATAATAATCCTTGCATTTGAATTAGGTGCCCATCGCGCCTCAATCCACCACTGTTTGCGGGACGCTGCTGCGAGCAACTGCCTGCCGCGCTTCGCCCACAAGTGCACAGTCACTGCACTTTATAATAATAATATAACAACAATCCTGGCATCTGATACAGAGCTTTTCACGTCTTCTCGACGTCTCAAAGCGCTTCACAGAATAGGCTGTAAAGCGAATCGACTGTGCGTTTTGTGGGCGAAAGGCGGCAGCCAATTGCGCACATAGCAGCGCCTGTCCCGCAAACAGCCGTGGGTCGAAAATGACCAATTTTTGTTGTTGTTTTGTTTTGGAGGGATTGTCATGAGGAGGTGTGGAGTAAGGAAACTCGCCCGAGGTCTCGCCCTGACCCGCCCGGAATCGAACCCGGGTGTGTCGCTCTCACCACAGAGCTGCAGGACTCCACTACTTTACTGCACTGTATATTCTCGAAGCCGCGATAAGGCGATAAATCTATAATGCAAAGATTATTATAAGATGATCTGCGGGGACAGCGCTGCCGGAGTGATCCTATACAAAGAGGTTAATGGCATTACTCTCAGGATTAGACGGAAGATTACCGACGCTAATCTCCGAAGACTCCCTCGCGAATAAGAATAAGATCGCGGCTCTCCGCAGGGGCCCCGGCGCTCGCGCGCAAACGTGTCCGGGGGCCGTTCACGCCCCCCCCCAAAAAAACACGGCCGGAGACCACTTGTCCCGGGGGACTGAGCGCGGGGGCCGCGTCTGTGTCTGTGTCTGTGTCTGGCGGCCGCGGCTCCATTCCACCGTCAGGACCATCCCGGCTCAGGCCCGTATCCCTGACCGTCCAGCGCCCCCCACCCCCCCCCCACCCCCCCGAGAGACGCCGAGTAACTGTCACGTGTTGTTGTTGTTGTTGTTGTTGTCGATGTTACCTGGGAGCAGAGGTTGGGGGGGGGGGATCGGGGGGAATTATACCCCCCACGAGGGGAGGTTGGGGGGGGGGGGGGGGTGGAGGGGACGGTGTGGGGGAGAATATGTTTGTTCCCTCCCGGGCAGTCAGATCGCTGACCCTCCAGTGCAAAGCTGAGGGGGGGGGGGGCACAACATGGCTATCGCCCCCTCCCTCCCCCAACACCCCCTCCTCCCCCATTGCCCCCTCCCCCATCGCCCCCTCTCCCCCCATCGCCCCCTCCCCCCCCTCCCCCCCATGACACTAATAACCCACAGTGACACCCCCTCCCCCCACTCCCTGGGGGGGAAGATGATGAAATAAACCGCCCCCCCACCCCGACCCCTGGGGGTGGGGGTGGGGGGGGCTGTGACCATGGCAACACCCCCCCTCCCCCATCACTGACACCCCTCCCCCCCCCCCTTCCCGGGCTGTGACCATGGCAACACCTCCGCCATCATTACCCCCCAACAAGACCCGCGCTCCCCCTCCCGGGGGCTGTAACCGTGGCAACACCTCCCCCCCCACACACACACACGTACCTCACGGCCCCCCAACCCCCCGGAGCCTCGCTCCTCACCGCCCGCCGCCGCCTGACTGTCCGCCCCACTGATTGACAGGTCCCGCCGCCCAATCACACGCCGCCACGCCCACTCCCGCCCCCGCCCCCACTGCCTGATTGACAGGTCCCCGCCGCCCAATCACACACCGCCAACCCGCCCCCGCCCACACTGCCTGATTGACAGGCCCCCGCCGCCCAATCACACACCGCTTCCACGTTTCTTCCCGCCTCCTCCCCCCCACTCGGCCAATCACAGGCTCAACCCTCTCTCCGCCCCGCCCCCCCCGCCGCCATGTTTGATGCTGGCAACTTGCTCCAGGCAAACTCTGATCAGGGGCTAATGGGATAATTAATTACACATTTATATTAAGTCTAAACGTACAAATAAAACTATGAAGAAACATCTAAATAAATACATCACTGCATCATATGGAAATACAATATAGACACAATATATAACAAACGAATGCCTGGAGTCATGTAGCTAATAATAATAATAATAATCCTTGCATTTGATAGCGCCCGCGCCTCGCAAGCGAGAGGACCCGGGTCAGGGTGAAACCTTGGGCAAGTTTCCTTCCTCCACACGCCTGATAATAATCCCCCCGAGGAACAAAAAACATGAATAAATTGGTCATTTCAATCCACGACTGTCTGTGGGACACTGCTGCGCGCAATTGGCTGCCGCGTTTCACCCGCAAATATACAGTCTATTCTGTGAAGCGCTTTGAGACGTCTGGAAGGCGTGAAAAGCGCTGTATCAAATTATTATTATTAGGCAAGTCTCCTCGCCACACGCGCGCGCGCGCGCACACACATGCCTCTGTTTACCTTGGAGCTTAACTGGGCGGATCACTTTTCGGGGGGTAGTAATCCCTACCCCCAACAAATTTGATCACTCAATCCACGACTGTTGGTGGGTTACGTCGCTGTGCGCAATTGGCTGCCGCGTTTCGCCCACAAAACGCACAGTCACTGCACTTCACAGCATATCCTGTGAAGCGCTTTGAGACGTCTCGAAGATGTATGTGATAAGGCAAGGATCATTATTGTTATTGGCGGCGTGGGGGGGGGGGGGGGGAGGGGGGTTGAGTAGGGCTATGGGGAGACTGCGGGGGGGGGGGAGGGGGAGTGGGGTTGATCGGGGCTATGGGGAGAGTGCGGGGGGGGGGGCAGGAGTGGGGTTGATCAGGGCTATGGGGAGGGGGAGGGGAGCGAGAGCACGGCCTCCCTCCCTGCGCTGTATAATTCTAAGTGGTAGTGGTCGTTGTTGTGGTGGTGTGTATGTGTGTGTGTGTGTGGGGGGGGGGGGGGGAGAGGGCGTGGCCTGTTGGAAGGGTTACGTCACCCCTCACCGGATTGGCTGACGTCAGGGTAACACCATGTAGGGACACAAAGTCTGGTGACGTCAGCGGCGGTGTGTGTTTTTATGAATGAAAGGCATCTCTGAGAGTATCATCTGACCCAGAACTGGGAGCCCTCCCTCCCTCCCTGTCTGTCTGTGTCTCTGTCTGTCTCCCTCCTTCCTTCCTTCCTTCCTTCCTTCCCCGAAAAACAACAGCCCCCCTCCCACCGCCCCCCACCCACCCCCACCCCCACACACACCGACACCCGCTTCCAGACAACTGCAGGTCTCACCCCCAAAGCCTTTGTGTGGAGCGGAGAGAGAGAAAAAGAGAAGAGAAAGAGAAAACGAAAATGAACAGTGAGTAGAGAGAGAGAGGGGGAGAGAGGGGGGGAGAGGGAGAGAGAGAGGGGGGGGAGAGAGAGAGAGGGGGGGGAGAGAAAGGGGGGGAAGAGGGAGAGAGAGGGAGGGGAGAGAGAGGGGGAGAGGGGGGGAGAGAGAGGGGGAGAGAGAGGGGAGGTGAGAGAGAAGGGAGGGGAGAGAGGGGGGGAGAGGGGGAGAGGGGGAGAGAGAGGGAGAGGGGGAGAGGGGAGGAGGTCGTTTCCAGAGAACCGCCTCTCCCTTATTTTATTTGTGTTTGGCTGAGGTGGGGGTGGGGGGGGAAGGAGGAGGGGGGGAAGGGGGAGGAGCAGAAAAAAGGGGTGTTGGGGGGGGGGTGTGGGGGAGGGATATATTATTTAAAATAAAAGTCCGTCGTGTGTGCACCGTACGGATGTAGATAATGGTGTGTTTTCGGTGTGTTTTGAGGGCGGGTTTCCCCCCATTCGCTTTTTTTTTAAAAAAAATATAACATAAAATATTAATAATAATAATAATAATAATATAAAAGGGACCGAACGAGAGAGGCGGTCAGTGCGCCCCCACAGCACAGCACAGCACAGCCCCGGGGGGGGGGATGTTGTTGAGTTGCTGAATCACTCTGACTGGTCGCTCTGTGACTGTCAGACATTTGGTGGAGCGGTTTCTTTTTTTTTCTTTCTTTTTATTTTTATTATTTGGCCCAAAAAAAAACACTGGGTTTTTCCTGCGTTTATTTAGTTGGTTTTTTTTTGTTGTTGTTTTGGGGCATTTTTTTTTTTTTCTTTTTTTTTCTCTCTGTGTTTTTGGATTTGGGGTTTCGTTCAATCTCTCTCTCTCTCTCTCTCTCCACACTCCCCCCTTCCTCCCTCCCTCCCTCCTTCCTTCCTTCCTTCCCCCTCTCTCTCTCTCTCTCTCACTCTCACTCCCTCCCCCTTTTTTTTAAAAAAAAAGAAAATTAATAAACTTTTAAGCCAAAACTCCCCTCCAGTGTGTGTGTGTGTGTGTGTGTGTGTCTGAGGGGGAAACGTTTTTTTTCTTGTCCGGAGGGAGGTTGGTGGCAATTTTTTTTTTTGACAAGTGATCTCAAGGAGTAGGCGAAGAAATAAGGAAGAGGGGGTGAGGGGGTGGGGTGGGATTTTTTTTTAATAAAAAAAGGTGTTCTGTTTTGGGGGAGAGAGAGAGAGAGAGAGAAGGGGAAAGGACTCGAGAAGAACAAGAAGGAGGAAAAAAAAATATATATATAATCAGGAGAGGAGAGGAGAGGAACATCTTAGAGGTAAGTGTAAATATTGTGAACCGAGAACAAGGAAGTTGGGGGCGACTCCAGAGGGGAGGGGGAGAGGATTCAAATGGGGGGGTTGTGGGGTGTGGGGGGGGGTTGTGGGGGGCAAACTGGGGATGTGTGTGAGAGATTGTTTGTGTATGTGAGTCCCGTAGCTCAGTGGTGAGAGCGATCGCCTTCGCGGGCGAAGGGGTTCGATCCCCGGGCAGGTCGGGGTGAGCCGTGTCTACCGAGCGGGATGTAGGAATCCACCGCTCCCGAAGGCGATTGGCGGATCGTTTTTCCGGGGGTAATGATCCCCCTCCCCCCAAAAAAAAATCCACGGCTGTTTGTGTGGGAGACGCCGCTGTGCGCAAGTGGCTGCCGCGTTTCGCCCACAAAATACACAGTCGCTGCGCTTTACAGTATGTTCTGTGAAGCGCTTTGAGACGTCTGTATCACATGCAAGGATTATTATTATTATTATTATTAGAAGAGCTTAAGAAATGTTGGACAAAAGAAGACGGAGGTCCATCTAGTTCACCTTCCACCTTCCTGGCGGGTCACATGCGCATAGGTCCCAAAACTACCCGTTTACTATATCCATTGATGTTATTCCCTAAAAGAAAACAGAGAGGAGTCGGCGGCGTTGAGAGCAAAAGTTGCCACAAGCAACATGTTTGAGCCACAAGTTATTACTGTTCCGCCATCTGCTTAATATTTAACTTGTGTGTGTGTGTGTGTGTGTTTTTTTACACACAAACGCACACACCAGTTGCCTGGAATCCATTTGCAGACTTAATAATAATCCTTACGTTTGATATAGCGCCTTATCACGTTGTTGAGGCGTATATTTTGTGGATTTAAGGGATTTAACTGACTCTTTTCTCTCACCCTCTCTCTCTCTCTCTCCCCCCCCCCCCCCCCCCCCCCCCTCACACACACACACACACAGTGCTGTGGTGCCATCTTTTAAATTATTTTTGAATAAATAATCTGTTCATTCGCTCATTTGACACAGCGCCTTTCGCACTTGCCCCGGGAGAAGTCTCAAAGTCTCTTTAATGTAGTGCTTGTGGGTTTTGCGGGTGAACGCGGCAGCCGATGTGTGCCCAACGACGTCCCCGGGAAGTGAACGACAGATTTTTGTCTTCAGGATTGTCAGGAGAGAGAAACTCCCTTCTGTTTTCCAACAGCGTCGCGGGAGATCTTTAACGTCCACCTGAACAGGGCCTGGACTGGGGAGTGAGATTTAACGTCTGATCCGAAGGACATCCTCGTGCTCTCCCTCCCCCCGACTTGCTCACTGGGTGAGGGCACTGCCAGCAGAGAGAATAGCAAAGGTTAATATTAGGGGGAGATGGTGGCACATTCTCTCTCTCTCTCTCTCCACTAACTTGTCTCCTCTCCACAGCCCAGGCTCCGGTTCTGGCAAATCTCTCCCCGCGGACATGATGAACACCAACCGAACAAGCAAAGCCCTGAGGGTAAGAGAGACGAGCTCCCCACTGTCTGTGGGCCATCAAACAGTCTCTAACCCTCCACACTGCGCCTGATTTCACAGAACGGGACAATATTTACTCACTCTGGGACACTCCCCAGCGTAAAGAGGTGCTATATAATGGAAGTGCTTGTTGTTGTTTATACTTACTGGCTGCGCAGAGGTGCCGCCGGCCTTTCGATGAGAGGCTAAACCGAGCGCTGACCTGTTCAGACGTGCGTTAAAAGCTCCCTGTGGCTATCGGGAAAATAGAAGAGAGTCTCCCTCTCTCTCTCTCCCCGGTCTTATGTCCTTTCCCGACAATCCCCCCGGATTAAACAAGAACAACAAATTACGTTTGTACAGCGCCTTTCACGTTGGGTGGACGTCCCAAATCTCCGATCGGCTGTTTGTTTGAGTGCGCAAAATCGGCTGCCTGGTTTGCCCTCGAACTCAGTCACTACACTTGACGGTGAAGCGTGCTGAGCTGTGGAAGGCGCAGGGAGCTTTGGTACATCTGCTATAATGAGGTGTCCTCCCTAACTCTGACCTGCTAACTCTATACTGACCGATCCACTCCCTCAGCTCAGTGGCTCTGGTCTGCTCCACGTCCCCTCCTGTCCTGGTCTGTCAGCACCTTGGGATGTCCACCCGATGTCAAAGGCCCTGAGTAAAAAAAGCCAAAAGGTTGTGGATGCTGAATCCATTCAAATTTTCCAGCCTGAGGTGGAGAGAGGTTTGTGAGGTCGGGGGATCAAGGGATCCGGGGCAAAGGCGGGTAATTGGAGTTGAGATACAGATCAACCATGATCTAATAGAATGGCGGAACAGGCTCGAGAGGCTGAATGGTCTCCTCCTGTCCCTACGTCAATGTAATTGGTTGCTGTGCGTTGTTTTCTGTGTGCAGGTGAAGAGGGAATCGGGAGAGATCTCCCAGGCCCTGACTGACCAGGAGTTGGTGTCTCTGTCGGTGAGAGAGCTGAACCACCACTTGCGGGGGCTGAGCAAGGAGCAGGTGGTGGACCTGAAGCAGAGACGCCGGACGCTAAAGAACCGCGGTTACGCTGCGAGCTGCCGTGTGAAGCGCGTGACGCAGAGAGAGGAGCTGGAGCAGCAGCGAGCGGAGCTGCAGGACGAGGTGGAGAAGCTGGCGGAGGAGAACGAGAGCATGAGGGGCGAGCTGGACAACCTGCGCGCCAAGTACCAGGCCCTGCAGAGCTTCGCCCGCACCGTGTCAGCCGCCAGAGCCAATACGGCCAGCGTCATCACCAGCGTCAAGTCTGCTGACCCGGCTCGCCGCTAGCACTCGCACTCACTGCCCCCCCGCCCCGTCCTCCCCACTGCCCATTAACCCTCTCCTCTCCCCTTCCCCATTTCCCCCTGCTCTCTCTCCCCTCCCGCTCCCCATTGCCCCCACCCCCTCCCAGTGTCCCCCGCCCTCAAGCGCTCTGGGAAGCTACCCTGCGTGAGGGGCACTTGGTGGTGTTGCTCTCCCCTCCACCACTCGCTTCCCTGCTCATTGTCAGAGGGTGGGAATCAGTAACATTGGGTGGGGGGGGATTTGGTTTCAAGGACAGCACACGACTAATTTACCTTCACATACGGTCCCGTGTCCCATCGGCAGGACGTCCCAAACTGGGGGGAGCTGGGGGAGGGGAAGAGGCGAGAGGGAGGGAGGGAGGGAGGGGGGAGATAACTGAAGACGTGGTCAAAGAGGAAGGTCTTGAGAGGAACATGAAAGGAAAAGGCAAGTTGAGAAATGGTGCGTGTTGGTTTGGGGGTTTGATAAAGAGCGAGGGGGTGGGGGGGTAACCCAGGTTTCTCAGGGGAGAATCCGCAGCTGGAATGAAAGGCGTGAGCAGAGGATTCAGCACAAACTGACCCAGTGATGATAGCTTCAGTGGGCGAAGAACAGGGACCCTGACGGAGCGAGCGGTTTGATAACAATTATGTTTACACAGGACCTTCCACGTCGGGAGAACTTCTCAAAGAGCTTGGCAATGCCCGAGCTGGGAGCGGGGTCATGGAGTGGAGAGGATTGGGGTAAAGAGACACAAAGTGAGTCGGATGGGGGCAGGAATAGGGACAAGTGAGGGTAGAGTGTGGTTGGGGAGTGATTTTTCAGGCTCTATCTCTGTACATAGAAATATTAGGTTTTTTTTATCTCTGTATTTAATAATTAAACGGTATTTCGCTAGACTGTGGGACACTTCACACTGTCCTTGCTCGGGGTGGGGGGAGCGGTGGGGGCGCTTAGGGTGGGGGGGAGGGAGCTACAGAAGGGGCAAAGCGCTGGAGGGGGGTGGGGGGGGGGGGGAGGTGAGAAGGAAGGAGGAAGCAAACCGAGCAACAGATTCCATTAATTTATTGCGTAAATTATTCAATGTTCCTCGTCACCCCCCCCCACTCCCCTCCTACCAGCCGTGTGTGGATTGTAGATACCCAAGATGTATCTTTTATATAAAGAGATTATATTATATATATTATATATAAAAAAAAAGTTTGTCACCTTTTATGACTATTCCATGTATTTATTGCTGTGTCCGATTGTGTGCGGGACACACACACACACACACACACACAGGCGTGAATTAGCAGTGAAGTGAGCGAACTGGTGATTTTATCGGGGAGGGAAATTGTTGGCCAGGACACAGAGAGAGGTTCCCTTCTCTTTTTAACTTTAACGTCCGCCTGAACAGGGCACAGACGGGTAGAGAGCTCGGTTCACAGTCTTGTTCTGCCCCAGCTTCCCACCCACCCCAACTCCCTCAGTTGCGGGGGCAAAGAGAGCTGTGACACTGTGAAGCCGCAATCGCTATCAGATCTTTATTGAACTTTCTCTCGGGAGGAGAAACGAGATTGAACCGTGAGGGAAAATAGAAGCAGCTTCTGTGACACACACATAAAACAACTCTAGATACAAAACTAGGCGTTTGTCATCTCGGACACCTTTATATCTTACAGTATATCTATATATATATATTATATGTACAATATGCCACCTGGGAACGACATTGTTCTCACACTGTGTCAGAGATCAACTTGGACTGTGAGCTCAAATCCCCAACGTGTGTGTGTGTGGCAGAGGCTCGAACCCACAGCCTTCTGACTCAGAGGCAAGAGTGCGACCGACCGAGCCGGGCTGACACACACACACACACACACACAGCACCGAGCCGGGCTGACACACACACACACACACACAGCACCGAGCCGGGCTGACACACACACACACAGCACCGAGCCGGGCTGACACACACACACAGCACCGAGCCGGGCTGACACACACACACACAGCACCGAGCCGGGCTGACACACACACACACAGCACCGAGCCGGGCTGACACACACACACACAGCACCGAGCCGGGCTGACACACACACACACAGCACCGAGCCGGGCTGACACACACACACACACAGCACCGAGCCGGGCTGACACACACACACACAGCACCGAGCCGGGCTGACACACACACACACACAGCACCGAGCCGGGCTGACACACACACACACAGCACCGAGCCGGGCTGACACACACACACAGCACCGAGCCGGGCTGACACACACACACACACACACACACAGCACTGAGTCGGGCTGACACACACACACACACACACAGCCCTGAGTCGGGCTGACACACACACACACACACACACAGCACTGAGTCGGGCTGACACACACACACACACACACACACAGCACCGAGCCGGGCTGACACACACACACACACACACACACAGCACTGAGTCGGGCTGACACACACACACACAGCACCGAGCCGGGCTGACACACACACACACACACACACAGCACTGAGTCGGGCTGACACACACACACACACACACACAGCCCCTGAGTCGGGCTGACACACACACACACACACACACACACAGCACTGAGCCGGGCTGACACACAGCCTAAATGCGGATATTCACAAAGGTCGCAAAACATTAGAAAGAAAAAATATCATCCAAGACACAGAGGGTTTCTGTCCGTCTCTCCTTTCGCGCCCCTGTACAGACACACACACACTGGGCGGGGGAGTGGGGGGCAATTCTGGATTATATTTGTCCGTCCACATGTTGGAATTATTTCTCACCATTATTGATAACAATCCTCGCATTTAAATACGACACCTTTCACATCAGAAGCAAATGCGTCTCAAAGCGCTTCCTGGGGTTTTACTGTGAAATGTAGTAACCAATTTTATACGCACACACACACACAGAATTGGGAGGGGGGAGAGGGGGGTTTAACATCCACCAGAAACTGGGATTAACGTCAAGGTTAATGTATTCCCTCCCCCCCCACCACACAGAATGGTTGGGCGGCCATCGATGGAAAAATTAAATCAACCATTTTGGCTACAAACGGTCTGAAAAAAGGTGACATTAATAACTACGAGTTCGTTATAAACACAAAACAAAACCCCACTATTTCGGCAAAATGTGTAAGAAAAAGTCAAATCGTTGATAGTGTGTCATACACTGCAAATCAGCGCACACACGCACACACCCTGTAACAGAGAGCACACACACAGGCCAGCGCGCGCACACACACACACACCCTGTAACAGACAGCACACCACACAGTCCAGCGCACGCACACACACACCGTGTAACAGACAGCACACACACACAGCCTGTAACAGACAGCACACACGCAGGCCAGCGTGTGCACACACACACAGCCTGTAACAGACAGCACACAGACACCGCCCAGCACGCACACTCACAGCCTGTGACAGACAGCACACACACGCACACACACCCACACAACCTATAAGACAGCACACACACACGCGCACAGAAACACATACCCTGTGACAGATAGCACACTCACACATGCAACTTGACCGAAGTGGTGCTGGAACATGGGAGCGGTTGGTTGTTGGTTAGGGTCAGTTTCTCACCCTGCCACACCCGCCCCCACCCACCCCCTTACCCCCCGGGAGAAAGGCACAGGACTGAGGGACACAGAACCCAAATGAACCCTTCGTTTAGTTCTTATACTGGTCACTGCCCACACGTACCCCGACATCAGAGCCTGAGCCACGGCTAGAACTCATCGTCAGAGCTGAGTAGGAGGGTTTTCTCGGTGTCGCGGTGGGCACGGCTGCGGGGTGGTGGTGGGGGGTAGCCGGCCTGGGGGTGGGAGGGCTCGTGTTCCAGGGTGCACTGCTGTGTGTACTGCTGATAGGCTGGGGAGAAGTTATGGATGGCGTCTTGCACAATGTCCTGAGGGTTCATCGTCTCCTTCAGGCTGCTCGAGATGCTCTTCATAGGGGCTCGGCGGCCTGGAGATGGGGGGGGGGGGGGGGAGAGAGGTAGGGGTGGGGTGGGGGGGAGTGAGAGGAGAAGAGACGCAGACAATTAGAGAGAGGAAGAGGGATTAATGGCAGCCCACACACACACACACGCTGTGTGAAGATGATGGTGGAGTCAGTGCAGTAACCAGAGACTGTGACAATCAGTAACTCATTGTGAAGGGAGAAACCACTCGCATTTTTCTCGTGCCTTTCCAAGTCAAAACATTTCAGAGATTCCCAGCAAATACAGCCACAGCAGTGGGCCTGTATATATATATATATATATATACACACACACACACACAGAATCTTACTGGCAAACCTCACACACGCACAGAGGCGCACGCGCACACAGGAACATACATGCACGCACACACAGAGGCGCACACGCATGCACACACAGAGGCGCACGCAGTAAATGACTGGAGGAGGGGAGGTGCTGGCAGTGAAGCGGTGAGGAAGGTGCCTACCATAGGGGCTGTACGCGGTGGCTGGTCCCCGGCCAGTGACAGGCAGCGAGAGAGAGAGAGAGAGAAGAAAAGCAAGAGAGAGAGAGAGAGAGAGACTGAGCACTGGCAGTCTGCACGTTACACATAAGAAATACAAGCAAAAGGCAAAACTGTGCAACAACAGCAAGTGATATTACCCCCCACACACACCGACACCCCCCCACACACACACACCGACACCCCCCCACACACACCCACACAGAGGCTGGTTTAATACCTTATCTGAAGGGCGTGACGTGCTTAAGAAAATGTGGTGCTTTGCCCCTCTCCCCCCCCCATTAACCCCAGCGTGAGCTCAGTCCCTGACATGAGGTGTGCGGGCGGGGGGGGGGGGGTTGGGAGTCAGAGGTCAGGAAGTGAGGGGGAGCGGGTTAGGGAGGGGTGGGGCGCGGCCCGGGTGAGGTGGGGCGCTGGCCCGGGTGAGGGGGCAGTACCTTGGCAGTCCAGCCTCTTGTCCATGTACACAGTGTAGGTGAAGGCATGGCGCAGAGCGATGGCAGCAAAGAACATCTCGATGCAGGTGATGAAGTTCTGGTAGCCAGCGGCCACCGTGCCCTCCCCCACGGACACCTCGGCCGACTCGATCTTGGGGATGGCACCGCACTTCTCCAGGATGGCCAGCAGCATTCCTGGCCAACCGAGGGAGAGAGAGAGAGCGAGAGCATCAGACACTCGGCAAACAACAGCCCCCGTCCCTGTGCGTCTGTGTCTCTCTGTCTGTGTATGTGTGAGTGTTTCTGTCTGCGTGTGTGTTTTTATCTCCTGTGTCTCTCGCTCGCTTGTGTGTGTGTGTGTGTCTCACTCCTCCCTCTGTGTGTGTGTCTCACACTCTCCCTCTGTGTGTGTGTGTGTCTCACTCTCCCTGTGTGTGCGTGTGTGTCTCACACTCCCCGTGTGTTTGTGTGTGTGTCTCACACTCTCCCTCTGTGTGTGTGTGTGTGTCTCACACTCTCCCTGTGTGTGTGTGTGTGTGTCTCACTCTCCCTCTGTGTGTGTGTGTGTGTCTCACTCTCCCTGTGTGTTTGTGTGTGTGTGTGTCTCACACTCTCTCCCTCTGTGTGTATGTGTGTCTCACACTCTCTCCCTCTCTATGTATGTGTGTCTCACACTCTCTCCCTCTGTGCGAGTGTGTCTCACATTCTCTCTCTGTGCCTCTCTCACTCTCTCCCGCCCCTACTCAGACAAACACACAAACAGGACAGCTCAGGACACCTCAACGTGCCTCACACACACAGTTTTACTGTTCAGTGTAGTGACTGTGTAGTGTTTGAGATGGAATATACAGTAGACTGTTCCTGTACAAATAATCACCTCAGGCTTTGGGTTACATTTTGGGGTGCAGGTTTGCGGAGGTGGGGGCAGAGCAAGAGACAGTTCTCCCCCTCCTCCTCTCTTCCCCCATCCCCTGTGTCTGGTGTAACAAGGCCTCTCTGACATGACGGCCACAAAGTAAATCCAAAATGGAGCCCTGGCCTCTCTGGTCATGTTGGCATCTGCCAACGGAGGGCGCTCTCAACACATCCTTCACCCATAGCGCTCACTGTGATTCAACAGGGATTCGACGCACACACACTTACCCACTTACACACACACTCAGACACACACACACACACACAGGAAGAGAGACACACACACAGATACACATACAGAGAGAGAGACACACATACAGACAGACGGAGACAGACCCCACCCCCGTCCCCCGACCCCACACACACACACACTGACCTTGCCAGAAGGAGAGGAAGATGACAGACTTGACCATGAAGAACTTGAGGAGAGGGCTGTAGGGGCTGAGCAGGTCCCTGGTGGCGAAGTAGAAGAGGAAGAGAGCGTAGAGGGCCAGGCTGACCGACACGTTGTAGATGATGACGGCGTAGAGATAGCCGCTGGCCACACTGGGGGGGGGGGGGGGGGGGGAATGAGAGGCCATCAGTGCAGCCAATGGCTGTCTACCCCCCAATAACAGCAACAATAATAATAATCACAAACTGATCTACATTCTCGGTACAGTTAGTGTCATCCAATCATCGAGGTCAAAGTTGACAGAATACCCAAATACAATCTGTTCCTCGATTCCCCCCAACCCCCCCCCCCCCACCCCCCTCCCCAACCCTGAGACAGGAAAGAGAGGAGGCTGATGGAGACTTGGGGGGCAAGGGTGGGGGGGAGAGGAAGAGGATGGAGACTCGGTGGGGGGGTGGGGGGGAGGAGGAGGAGACTTAGGGGACAGGGAGGGGTGGGGGGGAGGAATTCTTACTTGAAGTCACCGTCCCGGTATTTGCCAAAAGCCTGGAGGATGACGGTGATGACAGCCATGATCGGCTTCACTACACAAAACTGCAGCGTGGCCTGGGGGGCGGGGGGGGGAGAGAGAGAGAGAGAGAGAGTGTGTGAGTGAGAGAGAGAGAGAGTGTGTGAGTGAGAGAGAGAGAGAGAGAGAGAGGGTAAGATGGTCAGAATGAGACAGAGACAGAAAGAGAGAGCATGAGAGAGAGAGAAAGACAGGGAGAGATGGTGAGAATGAGATGCAGAGAGAGAGAGATGGTGAGAGTTTGACGCATAGAGAGGAGAGGTAGACAGAGAGAGAGAGATGGTGAGAGTGACACAGAGAGAGAGGTGTGACGTTACCTGTTTACAGAAGCGCAGGAAGCCGATGGAATAAGTCTTTCCCCAGAGACAGCAGGTGCCGTACACACAGCTGGACCTGTTTTACACACACACCAAGTTACAGGGCTCCGCACATCGACACACACACACACACACACACTCTCTCACACACTCTCACAGGGCTCGCACATCAACACACGCAGCGACACACACTCGCACAGCGACACACACTCGCACAGCGACACACACTCGCACAGCGACACACGTACAAGCACGCGCACAGTGACACACACACACACACAGGCTACAGAGCTCCACACAGGGAGCCCCTCACTCTCTTAGCACATCAGCCCCACCTCTTCCCCCTGACACTCACTCGATGGGTTTCCCGCGGATCTCGGCCATAATGGTGCTCTCCCCTCCCAGGTACTCGTAACACAGGCTGAGGAAGTTATAGATCACAAACGCTGTGAGAGAAAGAGAAACTACAGGTCAGTATGACTTGTACATCTCACGCGTTCACTGCCCCTGCTCCCAAACTGAGCAGGAGACCAGAGCGTGTATCACCCTGATACCCAGCTCCCCAACACACACAACGATACACAGAGAGAGAGAGAGAGAGAGAGACATACACACTTCAAAACAGAGAGACACAGAGAGAGGGAGAGAGAGAGAGACACACACACACACACCCTGATACACAGAGAGAGAGAGACACACACACACACCCAGATACAGAGAGAGAGAGAGACACACACACCCTGATACACAGAGAGAGAGAGACACACACACACACCCAGATACAGAGAGAGAGAGAGACACACACACCCTGATACAGAGAGAGAGAGAGACACACACACCCTGATACACAGAGAGAGAGACACACACACACCCTGATACAGAGAGACACACACACCCTGATACGGAGAGACACACACACACCCTGATACAGAGAGAGAGAGAGAGAGAGACACACACACAGTGCAGAGCTTTTCATTCATAAAATAGTCAATTTACTTTACAGTACATTCTGTGAAGCCCTTTGAGACGTCTCGAAGAGGTAATGAGACGCTACATCAAATGCCAGGATTATTTTTTATTTTAGAGCTAAGCACAAAGTTTGAGGCTGTAATAAATAATTGAAGAGAACCTTTGCGTACACAATAATTATCGTGTGTGTGTGTGTGTGTGTGTGTGCGAGTGTGTTCGTGTGCGTGTTTGTGCATGTTCGTGCGTGTGAGGTGAGAGGTCAATAATTAATAAGAAGACGTTTAGATAATGGTTCCAAGCCTGAGTCACTCAGTGACATGGAAACACTGGGACACTGAGCCCTGGGGGTAATTACAGTTTAGGTGCAGGAAACAGGGACAGGAGCTGAGAAAACATCCTCTGTCACATTGGACATACAACAAGCTGGACACACGCGTGTATGAGTGTGTTCTGTGCGTGTGTGTTTCTATGTATATGCGTGTTCTGCACACCCATCGTTCCCTTACCCTCGTCGGGCTCCACTGGCTCGCAGTCACTTGACTTCCAAGATCCTCGTCCTGTTATTAAAACTGCTTCCCCCCCACATCCCACCCCCACCGCCTCCCCCAGCAACCCCTCACCACCCCCATGTCTCTGGCTGCTTAGCAAACCCCCCACCCCACCCAGTCTCCCCTGGTCTGTCTTTGTGTGGAGCTGTCAGACTGGTTGGATGTGAAAGGCGCTGTGTAAAAAAGGTTAAAATGTCAAAAGGCTATGGATTATGGTCGGACCCATTCAAATTTTCCTGACTGAGGTGGATAGACGTTTGTTAGGGGATCGAGGGATATGGGGCAAAGGGCAGGTAAATGGAGTTGAGCTACAAATAATAATGATAAACCTTGGATTTGACGCAGCGCCTTATCGGGTCTTCGAGACGTCTCAAAGCGCTTTACAGTCTGTACTGTAAAGAGCAGTGACTATGTTGTGGGCGAAACGCAGCAGCCGATTGTGCACAGCAGCGTCCCCACAAACAGCCGTGGGTCGACGCAATCTCAACACAACACTCACACACATACTCCCAACACACTGACCACCTCCCACTATAGTATTGTTAACCCCCCTCTCGACAGACCCCCCCACTCCACGCTCACCCTCGTAGCAGTCCCTGATGGTGTCGAAGTAGACATAGTACTGATCGTTGGTGAAGAAGAGAAGGCTGAGCCAGGAGTCAGAGGCGTAGATGGGGACGATGAACAAGATCCTCACGATGTAGCGCTGCTCGTTAGGGGAGCTGTAATGGCGCAGGTGCATGTAGATCTGTCACGAGAAACACACGCTGAAGACACACGCAGTGGCTCACACACTAAAGTGACACCCAGAGCTAAACACGCTAGACACATACAGAGGCTCACACGCTAAAGACACGCAGTGGCTCACACGCTAAAGTGACACGCAGAGCTAAACATGCTAAAGACACACGCAGAGCTAAACACGCTAGAGACATGCAGAGGCTCAGATGCTAAAGAGACACACACAGAGATAAACGCGCTAAAGACACACGCAGTGGCTCACACACTAAGCACGTCACTAAGCCTGGACCTTACGGTCCACCTGTTGCCATTGAGGCAGTTTCTAAGCAACAAACTCTCTGGTGCTCACGTCAGCTCCGCAGAGCACCTCAGCACAGCACAGCACACAGAGAGAGAGAGAGACAGAGACACAGAGAGAGAGAGAGAGAGAGAACAGAGAGAGAGAGAGAGAGACGAGAGAGACAGAGAGAGAGAGAGAGAGAGAGAGACACAGAGAGAGAGAGAGAGAGAGAGACACAGAGAGAGAGAGAGAGACACAGAGAGAGAGAGAGAGACACAGAGAGAGAGACAGAGACACAGAGAGAGAGAGAGAGACACAGAGAGAGAGAGAGAGAGACAGAGACACAGAGAGAGAGACAGAGACACAGAGAGAGAGAGAGAGAGACAGAGACACAGAGAGAGAGAGGAGAGAGAGAAAGAGAGAGAGAGAGAGAGACAGAGACACACAGACAGAGACAGAGAGAGAAAGACAGAGACACACAGAGAGACACACCAGAGCGAGAGACAGAGACACAGAGAGAGAGAGAGACAGAGACACAGAGAGAGAGAGAGACAGAGACACAGAGAGAGAGAGAGAGAGAGAGAGAGAGAGACAGAGACACACAGAGAGACAGAGAGAGACGGAACTTTGGGGGGAATACAGACCTTTAGCACAGAGGGAGACCATGCGGCGCACATTATTTACCTCCCCCCCCCACCCCCACCCCTCACCCGTTTCCATCTCGTCGGTTAAGTGTGTACCTGGTGACAGGTGATGAGCAGAGCCGCCCACACAAACAGGCCAGAGACGCCCTGAGCAGCTGTGGTCATCAGGAAGATGGGCTCCTGCACCGCGGTGGGGGGGTCTGGCAGCCATGACACGTTGGCCCCCCCTCCCGCTGTGGGGGTGCTGATGGTGGGGCCCGGCTCTGGGGCTGACATCACCCCAGACAACACGTGTAACCTCGAACCTGAGGGCACACTCGCCTCAGTCATCTGGGGGAGAGAGAGAGAGATGTGTAAGAGTGTGAGAAAGGGAGTGTGAGCGAAGGGTGGGGGTGTGGGAGAGAGAAAGTGAGAGTGAGGGGGTGTGTGAGAGGGAGAGAGAACAGAGAGTAAGTGAGATAATAATAATAATAATCCTTGCATTTGTTAAAGCGCCTCATCACGTCTTCGAGACTTCTCAAAGCGCTTCACAGGAAGTCACTGTAAAGCGAAGTGACTGTACTTTGTGGGCGAAATACAGAACAGAAAGAGAGAAAGAGGGAGAGAGAGAGAGAGAGAGAGAGAGGAGAGAAAGTAAAGGGGGGAACGTGTGAGTGATAGAAAGAGTGTGTGAGAGAAAATGAGAATGTAAGCACAAGTGAGAGAGGAAAAGTGAGCGAGAGCGGGCGAGCGAGCTCCCGGCTGATGAGGAAAAGCTGACGTGGGGAATCTCACCGCCCAGATACCAGGCTCCGTGGCTCCCGGCCAAATCCTGGAAACTTTCCCAACTCAGCCTCACAATGGGGAATGTTACAGCAGCCTGAACCCCCCCCCCCCCCCCACCCCACACCTCCCCTCAGCGTGTGGTGGGGCATAAACCCCGGCACAGACTGGACATAACAGCCCTGACTTGATCTAACACACCGCCTCTCCCTTCAGCAGGATGTCTCAACGACACAGGGTAGGGGTCCCAGAGCGCTTCACAGTGCCAGAGCTCGACACTGAGCCGAAGTGTGTTTGGGGCTGACAGTATGTGTACAGACAGCCCCCTCCCCACACACTGGGCCGGGCAGAGAAAGAGAGACTCCAGTGTGTTCTCAGAGGGAGGGGGGGGCATGGGGGAGATGGAGAGAGAGAGGCGGAGGGGGGGAGAGAGGTGGATGTTATGCTGAGGAGAGTGAGAGAGATCACGTGGAGGGGTTGGGGGGGCAGGGGGGAGAGGAGGGGGCGACTAACGTAAAGATTGTTGACTGTGTCGGAGGGTGTAAAACGTCAGTAGACAGTAATGTGGGGGGAGCTGTTTATTTTGCCCCCAGTTCAGTTTGCTGTGTGTCCGGGAAGCGAGGGCGGGGGGGGGGGCGGGGGGGGGGGGGGGGGGGGGGGGGGGAGGTCACAGGCAGATTCATTCACTGTGTCAAGGCCGTCTGTTATACACAGAGAGAGAGACAGAGACATTCCTCCACGTCAGCAATTGATGCTGAGCCAAGCGGTCTCTACAGGAGGAGACAGAGATAGGGAGAGGGGAGAGAGAGGAGACGGGGAGAGGGGAGAGAGAGAGAGAGAGAGAGAGAGAGTACAACAATAACTTGCACTTATTTAACTCCCTCCAAACAGGGTGGCATCTGAGAAGCGCTTACAGTAGAGAGAGAGGGGTGGGGGGGGGGGGGGAAGAGTGAGCGCATATCCAATGATGGTCTTTGAGGCAAAGACCCTAAGGCCTTTCCCTGTGTCCGCCTACAGACGCACAGACACTACACTTTACAAAAAAAATCCAGTCACTCCACTTTACGGTACGTTCCGTGAAGGACTGTGAGGCGTCTCAGCGCCGTGACGGTGCCGAACGCATCCCGCAAAAAAAATCCAGGATTATTAACCACCGGACTGGACTGGTCTGGGCTGAACGGTCCGTTTCTGTGCCGTGACGAGAGCCAGAGCCGGGAACACCGAGACTCCGAACACAAACAGCGGAAAAGATTGAATTCCCAGGACAATGCTGTTCATCTTCACCCACAGAGCAGTAAATAACACACAGACTCCACTCACTCAGTCAGTCACCTGTGTGCGTGTCCGCTCCACCTACACACAGCCACCGCTGCGCCTGCAAACACCTGCTCTATCGGAGGGGGAGGGATTGCCAGCCAGGATACCGTGGGGGGGTGGGGAACTCCCCTCTTCCCCCTCCCTCCCCCGCACGGTGGCTTGAACCCACAACTTTCTGCCACGGCACAAGCGTTAATGGGGGGGGGGGGGGGGACATTGCTGTGTGCAAATTGACTGTTGTGTTCGCTCGCAAAACAGTCACTACACTGTAAGCAAACGTTCCATGTTCTTGCTGTGCTGTGTGTTGTGTGTGATGGAGAAACTGATAAACTCTCCGCTAACTCCTCGAGACAGAGGTGTGCAAACTATAAATTTTACAATGATGGGTGACAGAACGACAATAATACAGCATAAAAATGATTCATGCAGCACACACGCACACAGAGCCAGCACACGCACACACACAGTACACGCACACAGAGCCAGCACACGCACACACACAGTACACGCACACAGAGCCAGCACACGCACACACACAGTACACGCACACAGTGCCAGCACACACGCACACACACAGTGCAAACACACACACAGTGCCAGCACACACGCACACACAGTGCCAGCACACACGCACAGTGCCAGCACACACGCACATACAGTGCCAGCACACACGCACACACACAGTGCCAGCACACACGCACACATACAGTGCAAGCACACACACACAGTGCAAGCACACACACAGTGCCAGCACACACACAGTGCGAGCACACACGCACACACACAGTGCCAGCACACACGCACACACACAGTGCAAGCACACACACAGTGCCAGCACACACACAGTGCGAGCACACACGCACACACACAGTGCCAGCACACACGCACACACACAGTGCAAGCACACACACAGTGCCAGCACACACACAGTGCGAGCACACACGCACACACACAGTGCCAGCACACACACAGTGCGAGCACACACGCACACACACAGTGCCAGCACACACGCACACACAGTGCAAGCACACACGCACACACAGTGCCAGCACACACGCACACACAGTGCCAGCACACACGCACACACAGTGCGAGCACACGCGCACACACAGTGCGAGCACACGCGCACACACAGTGCGAGCACACACGCACACACAGTGCCAGCACACACACAGTGCCAGCACACACGCACACACAGAAACATGCAGGAAAAAGCACAAACACACACACAGATGTATAAATCGTTCTCTCTCTCTGTCTCTCCCCTAAATTAGGTTACTAAACACCGACTGGATTTGCACTGCAGCAGAACCTCACACACAGCCTGTGGGGTGGGGGGAAGGCCACGAACCCTCACACACAACCCCACACTGTCTGAAACATTCCCCCCACTCTCTCTCTCTCTCTCCCCCATCCCTCTCCCTCCCTCCTGTTTTAAACAGTGTAAACCTCAGCACTGTGAGATATATAGATATATAAATAGTGCCGTAAATCAATTTTCTTTCTTATATATACACAAAACCAAAAACTCCCAACCTCTGTATTTCTAACCTGGAAGAGAGTGAGAGACAAGTTTATACACACACACAGACACACACACAGACACACAGAGACACACACACACACACACACAGACACACACACACAGACACACACACAGACACACACACACACACACAGACACACACACAGACACACACACAGACATACACACACACACACAGACACACACAGACAGACACAGACACACAGACACACACAGACACAGACACACACACACACACACACACAGACACACACACACACAGACACACACACACTCACACACAGACACACAGACACACACACAGAGACACACACACAGAGACACACACACACAGAGACACACACACAGAGACTAAAATTCAATCTGCAAAAAAAAACACTACTAAAAATGGTGAACCGTACAAGTCAAAGGCAGTGAGGAAATTCTCTGCAAAGCCTTTCGATTTTTTTTCGGGGGGAGTGGGGGGGAGTGGGGGGGAATGGGGGGGGAGTGGGGGGCAGTGGGGGGGGGGGAGTGGGGGGGGGGGACAGGAGCAGCAATAAAACAGAGTGCCTTTTTATTCATTCGTGCAAAACAGTTTATACACAAACGATCTCTTTCCTATTGTATTTTCTTGCATTAAAACAATCTTTTTTGGGGGAAAAAACATTTGCACACATACAATTCCAAGTAAAAGTTGTGGCTCTGCTTACCTCGGCATGTCCTCTCCCTCTCTCCCTCCTCTCTCTCCTCTCTCACACTCTGCCCCTCACTGCCAGAAGCCTCTTGTGTGTGTGTGTGTGTGTATATATATATATATATCTGTGTGTGAGAGAGTCTCTCTCTCTCCTCTCTGTCTCCAAATCAAACTGTCCTGGAAAACAATGAGGAAAGCCTGAGGGGGAGGAGAGGAGAGGAGGAGAGGAGAGGAGGAGAGAGAGAGAGAGAGAGAGAAAGGCACAAACAACAGCTAAAGAGAGAAATGCACAGTACAAATAAATAAATACGGTTTTTTTTTTAAAAAAAAGGCATTGGGGATCAAAGGGGTTTTTGAACAGAGATATAAATCACTGCGGAGTCTGAGCTCTGAGCTGCGAACTCGGTGTTAAAGGGACACACACACACCCCCCACACCCCCCCCACACTGACCACACATGCGCACCCAGGAGGGTGATGTCATGGCTCCAACTGGACATGCTTCTTAAAGGCACATTGCCCCCCTCCCCTCCCTCCACCCCCACCCCCCCCACAAAACTGACCTCCTTCTTAGCTTCCCAGGGCCCTTAACAATGGCCGAGGCCGAGCCGGCGGAGGGGGGGAGGGCGCGGGGGGGAAGGTGACCGTAGGTCAAAGAGGAAGGTCTTCAGGCGCGACCTGAAGATGGAGAAGGAGGGGTCTAGTGGTTGAGGGAAGGGCTCCTTCACCTTGGGGTCCCTCACACACAGCCTGTGGCTGCGATCACCCCTCTGCTCCCTGTCCCCCGCCTGGACCACTCCATCATTGGTGGTCGAACCTTCACCCTTTCTGCCCGGACCCTGTGGCACTCCATCCCAACGCCCCGTCCCTCACCTCCTTCAAGACCCTCCTCTTCAGTCGCTCCTCCAGTCACCCTCCTTGCCCCACCCTACCTCCCTCCTGATCCCAACCCCCATGACTATCCAGCGCCTTGGGATGTCTTCCTGACATGACACATAATAAATGTCATTTGTTGTTGTTGTTTCCCTCTCCCTCATTCTTTAGTTAAATCACCTCCCTCTCTCTGGTTAAACCCCGCCCGCAAGTGTATTACTCAGTCGCCCATTCTCACCACCACTGACTTATCCACTGAACCAACACTCCTCATCTCAGTTCGCTGCACTTACCTGGATTTTCCCCGAGGAGTTTACTTGACTAATCTGATTGTCTTTCTAACACACGTAGTGTTGGGGGAAGCGATGCAGTCGGAGGTGCTGTCTTCGGACGAGATGTTAAACCGTTACTCCCCAACTGTGCCCGGCTCAGGTGGACATTAAAAGCTCTTCGAACAAAGACGGTTTCTCTCTCCTGGCTGGTGTCCTGACTGCCAATCCTCCAGATATCACTGGAGTTTACTTCCCACTGTCTGTGAGGCTGTTGCTGGGTTGAGAACTGGCGGCTAATATGCACTACCGATTACAAATGTACTCGACAGTTAAATCCTGTGAAGAGCTGTGAGGTTCTCAACGACGTGATAAGGCTCCGGATCAAACGTAAGAAACACATCGTTGCCATCTTAACAGTGGGTTCCAATTCCAGTTACAGATGTTCCAGTCGCTGTAAAACACACATCAGCTCCTGATGTGTCCTCTTCTCAGATGTCCATCACTTTACAAGTCTGAATACTCAAAATCCTTACAAGTCCAAGTGACTTAGAGGACGGGAGTGAGAAGAGAAAGAGTGGGAGAGAGGTAGAGAGATGGAAAGGGAGAGATAGAGAGGGCGGTGAAGAGAAAAAGGTATTTCTCCCCCCCAACCCCCAAAAAACCTACACACACATTTTTTTCCCCGTCCCTTTATTTATAAGCTTTTAAAATGTACACAAATAACAACCATATTAAATTGTATTGTAAATAACATTAAATAGTGTCAGGAATAAAGAACTGTACATTAGACATCGAGACAGAATAGGTCAGAGAATATTCCCAAAGGGAGGGAAGGGCAGCGTCAAACTGCACCAGTAAGGGTGACATTGGGAGTTTCCCCCATTGGGGTGTGTATGTGTTGTGTGTGTGTTGGGGGGGGGGGGGTGGTCTCACCCTCTTTGTTGCGGACTCTGTTGGCTCAGTGACAGACGTCCTGTTTTGGGGGTTCACTTTGCCCCCCCCCCCCCCCCACCCCCCAAGGCGACTGGTTATACAGCACTCACACGCTCGCTCACACCCAATGGACACGACTGGGGACCTGATCAGGCGCCAATCCTGATCCCGGGCAACGGCAAAACAGCGAACGTCTTCCAGTCTCTCCTCACTGGGCGAAGCCTGTGTGTGACCGGGTCAAACACCGGGCCCAGATTTACCTCCCCACCCCCTCCCCCTCCCCACCCCACCCCTCCCCGCCTGCTCCCTCCATCGCTGTCTTGTTCACTCGCTCTCCGTGCTATAAGCTACATCAGGAGAGTCCAATGTTGTTGTAACTCCCACAATCAAGTCATGAGAATCCCCCGTTCCCCCCGTCCCGTCCCCCCCCCCACACACACACACACACACAGGGTGAGCAAAGGCTGAATTGATGGTAGCAATGCTCCACCCCTGGGTACAGTCAGCCTATAAACCCCCACCTCTCCACATGGGTGGGGGGGGGGGAGAGCTCCCCCACACACAAGCTGACGGTTCGATCCCTACCCCACCCCGTCACCACACTTTGGGTCAGAAATGAAAAACTATGTTACATTGTTCAACATCAGTACTAAGAAGCCACAGTTCTTCCACTTTACAATCCAAAAAAAAAAACCTCCGCTATTTACACAAATACAAAATAATCTCAAAAAAGGTGATTTTGAGGAAATACCAATGTTAACAAAACAGGGAGAAAAATAACTTAATTAGGAATATTTAGTGGATTAAATACAGAACCCATAAACTGTTTGGCAGGGAGGGAGGGAGGAAGAGGGCGAGAGAGAGGGAGGGAGGGAGGGAGGGAGGGAGGAAGAGGGCGAGAGAGAGGGAGGGAGGGAGGGAGGGAGGGAGGGAGGGAGGGGGCTATTAGTACACTTAAGATTTTAAAAGAAAAGTGACATTCGTGTTTACGTTACAGAACAAGAAAATGTTTTTCGGGTTCATACAATTTCTACTTCAGAAACTGCTACAAACTGAACGTCAGTCGGACTGCAAGACTCAACAGCAGACACTGGGAGACCGGACACCCCCTCCCCTCTCCTCCGAGCTCTGTACCCGAGCAACTGACCCCCATCCACTCCCCCCCACCCCCACCCCCAACTCCAGCCCACCACCACCACCACCACAAAGCGTGGCTCAATCTGACATCTCCCACCATCTCCATCGTCACACCCTCCTCTCCTCCTCTTTCTCCCTCCCTCCCCGCAACCCCAACACTACATCACAGAACATGGTCCAGTGGTCGGGAGCATTTTGCTACATGTGCTAATAAAAGGGGTGGGGGGCGGACACTGCACCGTGACCACGGTGGCAAACTCTCACACACTCGCACACGACAACTCACACACAAGACCACTCTGCGTTGCGTTGCAGACGGACGGGCGTGGCAAAGGCTCGTCTAAGGTTGCCTTACTGCCCATTCCGTAAACTCTCCCTCCTACATCAATTGTTATACCACTGAACGCAGCGAGGGGCGAGGTCTGGTGAGGTGTGCGTACGGGGGTGGGGGGGTGGAAGAGAGGGAGGGCAGTCGGGGGTGGGGGGGGGGGGGGGGGGAAGAGACTTGAGACTGCGACAGATGCGTTGCCACTTGACACAGTGCGAGGCAAGTCAGCTAATGCACGCTCTCGCCCCACCCCGAAACTAGGACAGTCACAGGGTCACACACACGCACACACACACACACACACACACACACAGACCCCCCACCCCCACCTCCTGCTACTTTGGCTGCTGAGCTGAATTGGTACGAATTTCACAACACACACACACACACATAGTGAGACTGACTGGACACCACGACGCCCAGTTCCCTCTCACGCTCCACAGTTGTCCCGAATCCCAGCGCCTTTTTTGCAAAAAAAAAAAAAGGATACGGGAGAAAGAAACATTCATCCCAAGTTTTTTTTTTTTTGGGGTGGGGTGGGGTGGGGGGGGGTAGAAGAGAACACTAGTGATTCTATTCCCTGTCTGTCTGCCTGAGTCTCCTCAGCGAACACTGCAACAAGAAGCCAATTCCACTGGAAATCATGAAGCCCACTCACGACCGCTGAGAGGTCAGTATCAGGACTGCAGTGACCTACAGCAGGAATGGAGTCGTTTTGGGAGGGAGGGGAGTGGTATTGAACACACACACACACACACACGTGCGCACACACAGTTACTTACTGTCACACAGAGCAGTGTGTAACAGACACCTGGAAACGGAGCCTGGAGAAAGACAGGGGAGAGGTGGGGGGGGGGGGGGGGGGGGGGGAGGGATGGGGGTAAAAATAAAACGAGCTGGACAGATTTTTTTAAAAAATATATAAAATAAATGAGCTGAATTCTTTGCCAGGATTCTGCACGTGCACTCACACACAGACACTCACACACAGACACTCACACACAGACAGACAGACACAGACACACACACAGACACTCACACACAGACACTCACACACAGACACTCACACACAGACACACACACAGACACTCACACACAGACACTCACACACAGACACACACACAGACACTCACACACAGACACTCACACACAGACACACACACAGACACTCACACACAGACACTCACACACAGACACTCACACACAGACACCCACACACAGACACCCACACACAGACACCCACACACAGACACCCACACACAGACACTCACACACAGACACACACACAGACACCACACACACTCACACACAGACACTCACACCACACACCCACACACAGACACTCACACACAGACACTCACACACAGACACCCACACACAGACACCCACACACAGACACCCACACACAGACACCCACACACAGACAGACACACACAGACACTCACACACAGACACACACACAGACACACACACAGACACACACACAGACACTCACACACAGACACCCACACACAGACACTCACACACAGACAGACACACACACTCACACAGACACTCACACACAGACACTCACACACAGACAGACACACACAGACACACACACACAGACACTCACACACAGACACTCACACACACACACACACAGACACACACACACAGACACTCACACACAGACAGACACACACAGACACACACACACACACAGACACTCACACACAGACAGACACAGACACTCACACACAGACACTCACACACAGACACTCACACACAGACAGACAGACACAGACACTCACACACAGACAGACAGACAGACACAGACATCTGCAGGTCTGGGAGCCTCCTCGCTCTCCCTTAAAAAAAATAAAAATTACACGACACAAAAGCCAGTTTTAAAAAAAAAAGAAAATAAATAGACACCGTAAAGGAATGAGCAGCCGCCTGGGGCCTGACCACTGGTCCTACCCACCTTACACTAACAAGACAACGAGCAGCTCAGAGCAGGACAACCCCCCCCCCCCCCCACCCCCAAACAAACAGCGAGTGCCAGCTTACCAGGCCCTGCTCACACTCACTTACACACTCAGGCCTGGCTACTCTAGTGGGCCTGTGTTTATTGCATTGCTATTTCTTCCTGCTGCAAAGCTCGGTGTTTGGGGGCGGGGGAGATTTCCACCGGGGGGGGGGGGGGGTGTTTAAAAATGTAATTCCAACCCCTCCCCCATCCTATGTTCTCACTCCGTCCCCACAAGGTGAGTGAACGAATGGACACTAACAGAGACGAGCTTTACACAGCAGTGTTGTTGATACTCGCCAACCACTGGATGGCATGTGGCGGGGGTGGGGGTGGGGGGATCTGGCAATGGTGGAAGGGGGGGGGGAAGCCCATGGCACTGCAAAGGAAGGGAGTTTCTGGTTAAGGACGACACTGCAATTAACTAGAGTGCAGAGTTAGTTTACAGCACAGCGTCTAGGCAGCTTAACGTCAGTCAGTCGATCAGTCAGTCAGTCAGTGTCAAGCGTCCCGTTCCTATGTAACATACACGTGTACATATATATACTGTATATATATATATAAAAAAATTACAACGGACCAGCTTCCGGGCTTGCTGGGAAGGAGACTGCTGCAGGTTCAAAAGGAGCTTGGTCAAACCCTTTTATTTAGCAATCTATTCCTTCACCCTTTCCCCAACCCACTCCCTCCCATCACTGGCGTTGCTGGGAAACGAGCGCGCACGCACACGAACACGCATGCACGCACGCACATGTACGTGCGCGCGCGTACACACACACACACACAAACGCGCTTACACAAACACTTGTGTATGAGCGCAAACACACGCACAAACAAACCTCTCTCTCGTGCGTGTGAGCGAAAGCGAACACACACACGCGAGCGTGCGCGCACACACACACATACACACATACACACAGATGACATTTACAAGTTGGTGATGGAGTGGAGCGTGGGTGGAAAGCTCTTTACAAGGTTCCAAGCACGAAGTCCGAACTTCCCTTTGTGGAGAGTTTGTCTGAGAACAAAATTCTATGCGGGGGGGGGGGTGGGGGTGGGGGCAGCAGGAAGGGGGGAGTGTTGTTTCTCCTGGGAAAAGATTCCCCCCGCCTCCCCCAAACAAATAAACCAGGGGGAACAAAAACAATGTATATATAATAGATTTTGAGGTGACTGACACAGGACCATTGTAAGTTGTGTTCAGACTGAAATCGAGGCCTTTAGTCCCTCACTTCTTGAACAAGTTAATCTCTAGACGAGCGTTGGTCTGATATCCTCCCTGAAGGCCCCACTTCAGTGATCAATGTTGGAGAAGCCGCCCCCACCATTGGCAAACATCAGCGAAGGAATCTGGTTTGTGGGGAGGGGGGAGGGGGGGGCGAAGAGGGAAGAGAAATACAAGTCAAGTCAAAAACAAGCCCCTTGTAATAAAGCACAATAAACCAAACTCCCACTTGTGCCTGTTTATGTGGGAGTTACAGATCCCGTGGTTAAACTAGAAAGAGATGGGGAAATAATAAATAGTTTGGTCGTTCAATCCACGAATGCTTGTGGGACACTGCTGTGCGCAATTGGCCGCCGAGTTTCGCCACAAATTGTATAGTCAATTTACTTTACAGTGTATGCAGGAATATCGTTATTATTATTGGAGTTCTGGTCAACGATAAACAATTTGTGACTTTTTTTTAAAACAACTAAAGAAATTAAAACATATTAGAAACACTAATTTGCAATACTAATGTCAAGCGACTGCCAGGATGGTGGACAACGGGGCACAATATAGCAAGCATTAAGCGCCTTGGGATATCCTTGTGAGGTGGAAGGCGCATATAAATGTAAATGTGTGTTGTAAACTGCAGCTGTGTGTCCCACCGCCAAAGACAGCAAATAGGTACTTACTCACCAAACTACCTGCTGGTCTAAGCACTTCAGTCACTTTGCCACATGTTCGAAGGCCATGCTGGTCTACAGGAGAGAGACAGACAGACAGACAGACAGACAGATGACACAGAGAGAGAGAGAGAGAGAGAGACATCAGCCACAATAACACACAGCCTCACTCACGCTCCGCACAGCATTCAGAACATCTCAAAGCACCTCACAACCTTCCTCTCAAGGGCAATATTTTGAGGGTGAACGTAGCAGCCAATTTGTGCTCAGCCGAACAGGCTCTACAAACAGCTGCGGAGTGACTGACCTATTTTACTATGGTGGGGGGAGGGCGGGAGAGGGAGAAACTGGCAGCCAGGTCACCGTGAGAGAGAAACTCCCTTTGCTTTGCGGGATCTTTAACGACGCCCGAACAGGCAGACGGGGAGGGGAGCTCGGTTTAACACCTCATCTGAGGGACGGAGTCTCCGACAATGTGGCACTCGCTGACACATAATCTTGTGTTGTAAGCAGCCAATGTGAGCGCCCTGAGAGCGAGCGTTTTTTATGTGCAACGCCAACGTTTCATAGAGCAGGCGGTGGGTCATTCGGCCGCGACACCACATGGGGTGGGGGGTGGGTGGGGAGGGACCAAAGAGGGAAAAAAATGCCGAACATCACGTCAAAGCACTCTTCCTGTTGGCACTTTGCAGCGCCTCAGCTGCACTGGCAGATTGCCACCACTTGAGGGCCCCACTGAGCTGCAGGAGCCACGGCCTCCAACTGCACAGCTATTTCTCAGGTCCAAGTCACCTCTCACAGTGATATAGCCCAGGCCGTGCCGTGCCGTGCCAGGCCATCCAGGCCATGCCGTGCCGTGCCAGGCCATCCCAGGCCGTGCCGTGCCGTGCAGTGCCAGGCCAGGCCATGCCGTGCAGTGCCAGGCCATCCCAGGCCATGCCGTGCCAGGCCATCCCAGACCATCCCAGGCCATGCCAGGCCATCCCAGCCCATGCCGTGCCAGACCATCCCAGGCCATGCCGTGCCAGGCCAGGCCGTGCCATGCAGTGCCAGGCCATGCAGTGCCAGGCCATCCCATCCCGTGCCATCCCATCCCAGGCCATGCCGTGCCAGGCCATCCCAGGCCATCCCAGGCCATGCCATGCAGTGCCAGGCCATCCCATCCCGTGCCATCCCCATCCCAGCCCATGCCGTGCCAGGCCATCCCAGCCCCAGCACAAACACACCGCCACGCTACCTCCTACACACACAGACCCTACACACATATCCATCCCTGCACACACACGCACACAGACAGGGTAGTCCCCCCACTCCCTCTCCGACAGGGACCCAGGCTGTGTAGGGAGGGGAGTGTGTTAGGGAGTGAGCTGGGAGTGACCTGTGAGGCTGAGATGCGGGAGGCGTCCTGTCGTGCTGTGAGATCAGAGGAGGACACGTTGGCGGGAGCTCCTCGGTGTAACCTCATGCTGACTTTCCGCTCTCTCTCAGCCCGGGAGATGGGTCTGGGCGAGGTATTTGCTGAAGAGGAAAATAAACAAATTTACTTTTAATAGGATTCTCTTTTACTGGCTCATTAACCCCCAGCTCACACTCACACACACACGCGTTGTGCTGAAATGAATCTCTCTGCTCCACCACCGGTGGCTGCACTTCCAGCGCAATTGGCTGCCGCGTTCGCCCACAAATATACGGTCAATTCACTTTACAGTGTGTTCTGTGAAGCGCTTTCGGACGTCCTCCCGACGTGAAAAGCGCTATATCAAATGCAAGGATTATTATTATTATTTAGACCCTGGAACACACTTCCTCTATCCCTCCCTTCACCTCGTCCCTTCCTTCCTTATCTTCAGGTTGCACCTGAAGACCTTCCTCTTCAACCGCGCCTACAGTCACCGCCACCCTCCCCCAACTCGGCATCGTGCCCCAACACTGTCAGACACACACACAGACAAAGACAGACACCACACACACAGACACACACCGGACTGCTGTGCCCGGGAGTTGGGAGTCGGCAGCACAGCCTCTTGCCCGTTCCGTAGACGGTTGCCACCTGCTCCGGGCCCAGTTCCCGGCGGGAACGTGCGCGTGGCCGAGCTGCGGGTCTGCACCACACGCTCCTCCCGGTCATGTTCCCGACGTTCCCGCTCAGAGTCCTCGGCTGTACGTCCAGCACCCTGAGAGAGAGAGAGAGAGAGATAGAGAAGTGGGGAAGAGAGACAGTCAGGGCAACGTATCACATACACCTCTCTCTGAAGAACAAAGAGAGCGAGTAGGAAACACACAGCCGCACACATGCGCACTCAATCACAACCCCCGCACACACGTGCACTCACACACACACACCCGCCCCCCTGCACACATGCGCGCTCACACACACACTCCCCCCACACACATGCACTCAAACATAGCCGCAGACATGCGCGCTCACACACACAAGCACAGATTTCCCTCCCAAAAACCAGCATCTTTCCTTTCCCAGCTCCCCCCACCCCAACTCACACACAAAGGTGTGTGGGGGGGGGGGGGGGCGGTGGTGTTAAACACCCCTCTGTGGGTTAAAGTTTTACTGCAGGAGAGAAAGGAGAGGCCGAGAGCGGAGGCGAGGCCACAGGGAAAACTTACAAACTTCAGCATGTTCCAGTCAAACACATAGTCATAGGAGAAGCCTTGCCGGTGGAACAGATTCCGGAATAGCTGGCGCAGGTAGGAGTAATCCGGTTTGTCATCGAAACGCAGGGAACGACAGAAGTTCAGGTAGGTGGAAAACTCAGCTGGGGGGGGGGATGGGAAGGAAAGCACAAATAGATTAGAGTCACAGAAAAATACACCCATTTGGTGGCCACAAATGATAAATGAGAGGCGCGCAGGTGTATATACATAAGCACGTGCATATACACGCGCACACACTCGCGGGACATTCACAAATCACAAAAAGATGTACAATACCTATTTAATAGGAACAGGACGTGGGGGGGGGCACCTCAATGGGGTGGATAAACACCTACAGAAGTAGCCCTTACACAGCGCCTCTCACATCGTCACCCACATGCGCACACGACTGGATAAACACTTACAGGAGTAGCCCTTACACAGCACCTCGATGGGGGTTGACATCTTTTTCTCGCTGATGCGCTCGTATTTCTGCCGTTTGGTGGCGGCTTTGAGCCCCTGCCAGGGCAGCGATCCCAGGTTAAAGTACATCAGCACATAGCCTAGAGACTCCAGGTCATCTCGCCGGCTCTGCTCTGTGGAGGGGAACGACACACACAAACTGAGCAACTCTACACCCAGAGGGGTATCAACCTCAAATCTATCCCTGGCTCTCCCTCCCTCTCTCGCGGAATCGGGTCCTAATGACCCTGACTGTTCAGCACCTCGGCTTGTCCCCCCGATGCGAGTAAAATACGGGTAAAAACATTTCTCCTCCTCCCACCTTTTCCTGTCTTTCAGTTATTAAATCACGCCTCAACACTCCAGAAGCCCCCCCACCACCCCCACCCCTTTGCTCAGCATCTGCCCCCAGAAGCAGAGACAATCACACAGTGAGGGGTGGACGGATGCTGACCGATGCCCAGGTGGGTGTTGATGGAGGCATAGCGGGCGGTGCCGGTCAGGTTCTTGTTCTCCCGGTACGGGATGTGCTGGTGAGTGCGGGCATCGCGGTATTTCTTGGCTAAGCCGAAGTCGATGATATACACCAGGTTGCCCTTCTTGCCCAGGCCCATCAGGAAGTTGTCCGGCTTCACGTCCCTGTGGATGAAGTTCTTCGAATGGATGTACTCGATCCGACTGATCTGAACAGGACACAGCAATGTCAGTGTGGCCCATACACACGTATACACACAACACACCGTACACACACACACATATATATATATCGCTACACACACAATACACATACTCACACTGTATATGCACATACCCTCCCACACACACGCCACAAACAATACACCATCTACACACACACACCATGCACATATTCACACTGTATATACCTAACCCCTCTCCTACCCCCAACACACACACACCACAAACAAACAGAAAACCTTGCATCTTAAGGGCCAGTGACAGTAATACTGTGGATCTCAACAGTAATTTGATTTAATTTAAATTTCAGCCACACTGAAAAGATAAGCTCTCTCCCCAAGGCAATCCTGCCCACGTGTGGCGGCTGCAGTCACAAAGCGTTACCACAGCCAGTGTTAAACAGCAGGCCAGTCTGCGCCACACTGACGCTAAACACGTTCCACCAGCCCCTGAACAAACTCTGTTAGTAAACGTGAAGCGATTTCAACACGCCTCTGTCATATGGTCACTGATCATGATAACAAGGTTACAGCAAAGGACTGTAACTCTCAGGCCCATCATCAGCTTTACACTAACTCATTGGGACCCAGTAGAGAGCTGAACAGCACATGATCTGAGCAGGAAAAGAGAAGGAAGAGGAGCACACGGTGCGTGCACGTGTATATGTGCGCAGATGTGTTTAAATAGCTGCCACATTTGCCTACAAAAATAAGTCTCAGCCGCGACAGTAGAGACTGTGAAGCACTTCACAATGTGTTGAGGAAGAGAGCTCTGGTACCATCTGGTCTGCGAGCAGCAGCACGGTCTTCAGACTGAACTTGCGGGAGCAGAAGTTGAAGAGATCCTCGAGGCTGGGTCCCAGCAACTCCATCACCATCACATTGTAATCTCCTTCAGCCCCGCACCACTTAATAGAGGGGATCCCCACTGCAGGCAGAGAGAGAGAGAGAGTCACCCCAACATCTCACAGTCACTGTCTGACGAAGGGTCGTGGTCCCGAAACTTTCCTTTCTCTATTGACGCTGCCTGACCTGCTGAGTGTTCCCAGCAACTTCTGTTTTTGTTTTCACTGTTTGTGGGGACGCTGCTGTGCGCAATTGGCTGCCACGTTTCGCCCAGAAAATACAGTCACTACATTTTAAAGTATATCCTTTGAAGCGCTTTGAGGCGTCTCGAAGGCGTGATAAGGCACTGTATCGAATGCAAGGATTATTATATTGTTATAATTGGCTGCCACGTTTCACCCACAAAATACACGGTCACTACACTTTACAGTATATTCTGTGAAGCTCTTCAAGACGTCTCCGCGACTTGATAAGGCGCTATATCAAATGCAACGATTCATTTATTACTATTAAGCAAATGTCAGTTGTCAATACTCTTCACTCTGAGTCCGTCCTGTGGTCACTTTAAGCTACACCCCATACACTCCGCACCCCCCCACCCAGGCTCACCTCCACCCCCTGCCCACTGCGGTCAGGGGTAACAGTGTGACAGACAGCTTACCTCCTCCCTGCATCATCTTGTAGAACTTGCTCTCGATGTGGAGTTGAGGGTGTTTAGTTTTCACACATTCCAGCTTGATGGCCACCTCCTCCCCGGTAGCGATATTGGCACCTGGAAAACACACATCCGTTAGCTCCATGTTCCTGGAGAAACCAGTTCCTCTGGGCTCCCCTCAGCGGCCCACCGCCTGCTCCAAGCCTCGTTGTGCCGTACCGGGCATACTCTTTCTCATTCCTCCCCATCCCCACTGTTGACCTGCCCGACAACCTCCGCCACCCCCCACCCTATAAAATCAGTTGTTCACTTCATGGCCGTTTGTCTGTGCGGGGACGTCACTGTGCGCAAAATTGATTGCTGGGTTCCCCACAAAAATACACAGCCACTACACTTCGTTGGTTAGGAAACCGGAAGAAACTCCTTTGTCTTGACGAATGACATCATGGTGATCTTTAGCGTTCCCCTTAAACAGGCCACAGAGAGGGAGCTCAGTTTAACAGTATATCTGACATTGTGTCTCTCTCTCTCTCTCTCTCTCCCTCTCTGTCTCCCCAGCTTTGACACAGGGTGGATGTAAGAGTACTGTTTTTCTCCTTGCCCACACAGGCATGGCAGAACGCTGTTAATACTATTTAAGCAAAGCTCCAGCTGGTTAGTCAGTGGTCTGATTAACATAATGTATTCCATTGTGGGGAACTGGGCCTAATTCCTCCTTCATTCACTCCCCACAAACAGCTCGCTTAAAGCGCTCCCAAAATAGTGTCTTGTCAGCTCGCGTCATCCAGCTCAGCTAAACACTCCCGGCGTGATAATAGCTGTGGGAGCTCCACGAGTTAGCGTCATTGTAAATAACACATTCAATACACACACACATACACACAACATAGTCTCCAGGACAGGTGTTGGAGGGGGTGGGGGGCAGAGCTTTTTATATTATTCTAGCAGTATTTTTACCAAGCAAAACAATCCTGCCTTTCAGGAGAAGGTGTTAAGCTGAGGTCCCGGCGTCTCCCCAGTGTAACACAGGAAGACCCCACTCCCCCCCCCGCCACCACCAGAGCACAAACCCAGCGGCTGTCAGGGAACAGAGGCCAGTGTTGTTGCTGTGGCCAACTTGGCTGAGTCGACGCTGCCATTCTCACACACCCAACGCACGGCGATAGCAGCTGCTCAGCTGCCTTCACAAACAACACAGAAGCGCCCAGCGAGGGCAGAGCGACATCGCTCCTGGCTGGACAGCATTCACTGCTTTAACAACTCCCATTCGCACGACAATCCTCGCGTTTGACACGGCGCCTTAGCACGTCATCGAGACGTATCAGAGTGCCTCACTGTGAAGTGTAGTGACTGTGTGTTTGTTTAAAAGCAATCACAGCAGCCACGTTGTGAATTTACATAGAATCTTACAGCACCGAAGGAGGCCATTCGGCCCAGCTTCCCTGTGCTGGCTCTTTGAAGAGCTACCAACTAGTCCCATTCCCCTACTCTCACCAATTTTATCTTGGGGTGAGGAGGGCTAGGACTTTGGGAAATTGGAGAGGGGATGGGGATGGGGGGGGGAAGACAACACCCTCTTTTTCTAAATCCTATTAGGGAGCCTTTCCATATCACCCTGAACACAGACAGGCAGAGAGAGAGAGAGAGAGAGAGAGAGAGAGAGAGAAAGCCAGGGATCATTGCCACTGAAGCTCAGGCTCTCATGTTAAAGCTGTATCAGTCTGTGCCAACTAAACAAGGACAACAAGTGTTAAATAAACACCTTGTCAACACAGAAACACTGGCACTCAGCAACAAATACCAGCTATTCAGAGCGACCTTCCGCCCTCCAGCCCCAAATTGAAAGCTTTGCGTTCTCAAGCACGATGAGGTGAGGAGAGCGGAGAGCGGATTAACGCGCAGGCCAGTGTCCGAGTCCCTGATCTAACAGCTCAGCTCTCAGCAGCTTTCCCAATCAGGGCCCAGGGCTCTGGGGTAGAGGAGAACAACGAGCTGCTGAATTCAGGAGCCAGTCCCAGCTGCCAATCACACGCCGTGACAGCCACAGGGGCTGAGGGGATGAGGAGAGCTACTGCAGCCATCGCCGTCAGCTCATCGCTGCCAACTGTGGAGTCAGAGACACAGTCAATCCCTCAAAGACTCCAACTCACCCTGCACTGGAGCCAGTGTCTGTCAGACACCCCCCGGGAACCTGTCTCTGTCCGAGACACTGCTCTGTCACACAGACACGCAGTATTTGTGATTAACGTCCCTCTCACTTCATTGGTAGGTCAGTAACATGTCCTCTGACCACCTGAAGGTTTGCAGTAACAGACTGGCGAGTACACACATCCCAGAGGCCAGCAGCACGAGGGCAAACTGTCTTCGGGGCAGGCGTGGGTCTGAATAAAGGCAGGTACACAGACCCCAGAGAACACGTATAAACTGCACGTCTCACACACACATACACACACTCGCGCACACATATTACATACTATCATCCGGTCTCTCTCTCTCTCTCTATATATATATATATATATATAAAAAACAGAAGTACAATTGCTCTCCTCCCTGTCGGCTGCTGTTACTGCAGGCTGGTGTCGTAATCCCTCACACACACACACTCCCCTCTCTCTCTCTGTGTCGTAATGCACAGCCTGACTGCGCAGCAGTGTGCGCTGTCAGCATAGGGGAGCCTTAGCGGGGGTCGACAGGAGACAACCTCCCGCCCGCCCTCTCTCCCTCCCACGGCAAACCCGTGTGGTCAGTAAGGACCGGTTCCCCCAGGGCAGCTGAGTGGTGTGAGCAGGCGCCCTGGAACCCCCGCCCTCCCCAACACGCACGCACACTCTCACTCCACTCAATCCCCTCGTGTGGCCTGCTTACACTCACAGCCATCTGCTACTCTCCAAAGGCTCCCTCCTCATCACCTGACGTTGCTTCGCTGCATTATGTAAAATGCACGGGTTCGCAGGCTCCACACTCACTCACTCACTCACTCACTCACTCCCAGGCTAGAGCAGAGCTTCTCAAACAACAACTCATACACAGCCCGTCACGCAGGCTGGCGCCCCAGAGCGATTAAATGACAGCCAGTATCTCTGTTTCTGCCGTGCGCATTCGGCTGCCGCATTCGGCTGTGTAAAATGCAAGCATCACCAACTCAAACCCTCTCCAACCCCAATAGGTTGGAGTGAAGTGACCACTGGGCAAACAGGCAGTGGGTTCCATGTCCAAGCCAACGCTTCCGATTAGAAAATTAAAGGTAGCGAGTGTTCTTAACTCAAGACCCACAACTATTGCAAGAACTGGCGTATAAACATCACCTCATCGCAAATCCACTAGAATACATCACAGTACAAATTCACAGCAGTTCACGTCAGGAGGACATCCCAAAGTGCTTCTCCAAGACCCAATGGATGGCAAGCAGGTAGGCCTTTCTCTCTGGTCAAGCTCTCAAATTACAACCAGTCTGTATAGCTGTGTGTTGGCTCCTGGGCTGGGAGCAGGGAGGGAGTGCCCCCCGCACCAGCCCCCACCCTGCCTCTGCCTGGAGGCCTCACAAACCTCTACAGGGTCTCAAAACACCTATTTTTACCTTAGGTGTTCTTACGTCAGGTTTAAGCCCTCCTCCAGAGCAGAACCGTGGCTTCCCAGCCATCACGTCACGCCCAGAGGTCCACCACAGACCCCAGGCAACGCCTCAGGACCATCAAACATTGAGCTGCATATCATGCAGTAGGCAAATTCACACACCAAATGGCCATTACACTGGGGTGGGGTGGGAGAGAGGGAAGAGAACCATCTAATGCACTAGCAACCCAGTCACTCTTCCCCTCCGGAGTTCCGGGGTTCATTCCCCCGCCCCGTCTCTCTCTCTCTCTCTCTCTCTTGCTCTCCAAAGCTCTGATCGGGAATTGGAGCAGATCTACTGGGAGGTTAGGAAGCTCTGAGACGACTATTGCATGTACCCCGGCCCACGTCACACCACACACGTTAGATACTGTGTCGGGTTCTGTAACTTTTGATAGGGCAAATTAGAACAAAGCCCCTTCTCTCCTCCTCCCAACAACCCCCCAACACACACACAGCCACTCACCCGACAGCCAAGCCTTCCCCCCACCTCCCAAATCAACGCACTCACAAATTGCAAATAATATAAATTTTTTGCTGCAGAACATAACAGTCAATTCACTTCACTGTAAAGCGCTTTGAGACGTCTGGAAGATGTGATAAGGCGCTATATCAAATGCAAGGATTATTATTATTATTATTATTATGATAACACCATCTCTGACCACAGACGAGAGACCAATTAATACTAAACATCTGTTTTCATTTTGTTTTAGAAACATTTAGAAAAAAAAACCCTAATTTCTCTCACTCCTTCCTCTCCAACAACCAAAAAATATTCAAATTTAGACGTAAGCAAATCTAAATAAAAGGGAATAATGTATATTAATGTATATATGTATACTTTATTTATATAGTATAATATGTATATACAATTTCAATTCCCCCCCCACCACCCCCAATAAAACACAGGAGAGAATGGTTGGAATGTCATACACATAACACTAAATTAAACTCCACTTGACAAATTAAATTGTCTTCAGAAAAAACAGGAGCGTGGGAAAAAGGAGGTTGAGTACATTTTATATACAGTATAATAAGAGAAATAAAACAAACCACTTAACAACAAATAATTGTTTTCAAATCGGAAGCGTGGGAGGAAAAAGGTATAAAGTCTATACACACGCACGTACGTACGTTTTATATACAAAATAAAGAGACCAATTAAAAACAAATCAGGTTGTTTTAAAAATACAGACGTGTGAGAAAAAAAGATTTAAAGTTAATATACATACATCTGTATGTGTGTATGTTTTATATATAACAATAGCTTTTCACACACACACACACATATATATATATGTATATAGAAAAAAACAAATACAATTGTTTAAAAAATAGAAGGGCACAAAGATAAATGTCAAAAAATAATAATAATCCTGGCATTTGACGTAGCGCCCTATCACATCTGCCAGACGTCGCAAAGCGCTTCACAGGATACGCTGCAAAGTGTAGTGACTGTATATTTTGTGGGCAAAATAATAGTTATATTACACGTACATTAAAAAAAAGGGAAAAAAAAATCAAACTCTGCACTTGATTTATTTAGTAAAAATCACGTTTTTAACATAGATGAAAGAGCGATAGAGAGAGAGATAGAGAGAGAGAGAGAGATAGTGACAGAGAGAGAGAGATAGAGAGAGATAGTGACAGAGATAGAGAGAGAGAGTGACGGAGAGAGAGAGAGAGACACAGAGAGAGATAAAAGGTTTGGATGTATTGTCATATAGGAAATAACAGCATCTTCAGCTGTAGGGCCAAGACATTCCCTCTGTCTCCTCACCCCCACACACACACTCTCCCTCACACACACACAAAGACACCCCACCCCACAGACATACTTCCCCCCCCCCCCACCCCCCCAACAACAAGGCGCAGCTGATGTGATTGGGGGGTGGAACTCACCCAAATAGATGTCACCAAAGGAGCCGCTGCCTATCTTCCTCCCCAACCGGTATTTGTTGCCAACTCTCAGCTCCATCTTTATTTTGTACTGAAAACACAATGAGAGAGAGAGAGAGTGTGTGAGAGAGAGAGAGAGAGAGGGGGGGGGGGGGGGAGGGAGGGAGGAATGAGGGAGAGAGGGTGAGAGAGAGGGAGGGAGGAATGAGGGAGAGAGGGAGGGAAAGAAAGAGTGAGAGGGATAGAGAGGAAGAGAGGGATAGGGGAGGGAGGGACAGGGAGAGAGAGAGGGAGGGAGAGGGGGGAAGGGAGGGATGAGGGAGGAAGAGAGAGAGAGGGATGAGGGAGGGAGGGATGAGGGGGAGGGAGAGAGAGAGGGATGAGGGAGAGGGATGAGGGAGGGAGGGATGAGGGAGAGGGATGAGAGAGGGATGAGGGAGAGAGGGATGAGGGAGGGAGGGATGAGGGAGAGATTATGGAGAGGGATGAGAGAGGGATGAGGGAGGGAGAGAGGGAGGGAGAGATTATGGAGAGGGAGGGATGAGGGAGAGGGATGAGGGAGAGAGGGATGAGGGAGAGAGGGATGAGAGAGAGGGAGGGATGAGGGAGAGATGAGGGAGAGGGAGAGAGAGCGCCTCTCACACACACACACACACACAGCGGAGGCCTCTCTCTCTTCGCCGCCCTTTCCCGGGGTCCCGGGGTCCCGGCGCCCCCCCATTCCCGGCCCCCCCGCCCCCCGGCCGCCCGGGGCTGCAGTCCGGCCGGTGCTCGGGCCCCCCGGCGGCCCGGGGGCGGGGGATGGCGGCAGATTGCCGGAGGGACCCACCGACACTCGGCTTCACACCGCCGCCATCACTCACAGGACCCGGATACACAGCGCAGCCCCGGAGCCCTTAAAGGCGCAATTACCGTCCGCCGACCGAAATACCAACACAACAGCGGCGCACACACACATACACACACATATATACACACACATACACACACACATACACACACACACACACACACACACACATATACACACACACATACACACACATGCACACACACATGTATACACACAAACACACACACACATATACACACACACACACATATACACACACACATATACACACACACACATATATATATAATAAATATATCCCTCATATACACAACAACAACAACAATCCGCGCATTTGATACAGCGCTTCTCACACCTTCTCGACGTCCCAAAGCGCTTCACAGAATAGACTGTAAAAGTGAATTGACTGTATGTCTGTGGGCGGAATTGCTCACAGCAATGTCTGTCCCACAAACAGCGGTGGGTAGAAAATGAGCAATTTATTATTGTTGTCTGTTTTGGAGGGATTATTATTATTAGGCGTTACTATACTATAAGTATAGTGTACAACAATAAAACAACGGCAACAATAACTTACACCTAATAAACTGGCAGATTATTATTATATAGTAAATATATGTATGATGTATGGCATCATATTATATGGTAAAGTATATATATATATTAACCCCCAAAATATAGTCAATTCACTTGACAGTATTTCCCGTGAAGCGTTTTGAGACGTCTAGAAGGCGTGATAAGGCGCTATATCAAACGCAAGGAGTACTATTGGATGTTATTGTATAATACTCTGGTTATATGCTATACAATGGTAATCATTCATTATTAAATACAATAGTAATACTGTATGACAGATAACCACAAGCATTTATATAACACTGGACAGCATCTATATAAACATAATATATAATAAAATGGTATAAATAATAGTATATACAACCAGATTGCATTTATATAGTGCCTTTCACTTCGGGGGGACGTCCCAAGGTGCTGGAAAGTGTACAGCATTTCAGACATATTTATTATTTGTTATATAATAAATATTGCAATAATGTCATATATATTATCTGTAAATAATAATGGTATAAAATATACTATAATGGTGTGAGATAACATAACCATTTTATTATTAACATCAGCCTGGCTCAGTCATTCACACTCTCGCCTCTGAAACACAATAGTTGTGGTTAAGTTTAAGCCCCACTTCAGGGCTTTGAGCTCAGTCTTGGCAGACACTCTGAGGGGGGGGCACGTTGCACTGTGGGATGAGACGTTAGACTGAGGTTCAGGTGGACAATATTCAAAATGAGAAGGGAGTTTCTCGGGGTGTCCTGGCCAACAATCCCCAGAAAGCATCTCCATTCCCCTGGTGGCTGTTTGCGGGCGTGCGATGTGACTGCGACATTTCCCAACAGATAAATGAGTCACTGTGCGTCAGTAACTACCGAGATGCGTTTCTGAGACATTCCAAATCACCGGCTGCCTTTGCCCACAAAATACACAGTCACGACACTCCGTAGTAAATGAGGTGAAGCGCGCCAAGATGTCCTCCTGACGTGAAAGGCACTGGGTCGAGTGCAAGGAATATTATTGAAGTGATTGGCAAGTAGCCGGCAAGCTAAATGCAGCTAAATCCAGGTATCTGTGGGCAGTCTCACAGCAGATAGGTCATGGCACAAGACCTTCCAAACAAGGAGCTGCGATGTGCGCACATCAGAGAAGGAAGACTGGAGGCTGACTGACTCAGTGAGCGGGCAATTCATACCAGAGAGTGACATCATTTAGGTTACATTGATTTTCCTCTTGTGGCGTGTGTGTGCATGTAACCAGGAAAGGATGGCTTATGTAAACCATTTTTAACTGAGGCACAAAATATACTCAAAAGATGCAGAGGTGTATGTACGAAAACCACCTGGCCACCAAATGTCTATCGTTCACACACCATGGTATCGTTGGCCCTGATAATCCTGGAGACTCTGTTTGAGGAGGTGGTGAGAGTTGGCTGGGGTCTGAACGTGGCAGCTGACGAGCGGGAGAGTGGGGTTGGCAACACAATGAGTATAGTGATGTCTTTACTGAAGGGGTGTGATGTCACGCGACTCACAGAGCCATTTCATCAGCTCACCTCATACTCACATCAGGCACCAGCAACGTGTGGTCTCGCTGCTCAGGCTCCGGGCTGACACTCTAACACAATGCTTGGGTTTGGCTTGTGTTATTATATTCGTCCTCAATCCCTCCGCCTTGCCCACTCTCTCCCCCCGTTTTCAAGTCCCACCTATCTGTTCGACCGTGCTTACGGCTACCCACTACCCCACCCGCCCCACGGCTGAGTCAGGCTCCGCCACTGTTCAGCGCTGAGTGTGGGGCGCTATATAAGTGCAAGTTGTTGCTATAATTCAGGTGACACGTTAAACCAGTCCCAGTGGACGTTGAAGATGCTACAGCACTAATGCAAAGGGTTCTCCGTGTCTAGGCCATCAAGGTTGTTTGTTGGATCTTGCTGAGTGCAGATCCGTTGTGTTTGGTTAAGGAAGTCACAATGATGACGACCAGACATTTAGACCTCATGGTAAACTGGAAGTGCAGTATTCTTCCGGCTTGACTGGCTGGTTTCCTCTGCGCACACAGTGAGCAACTTGCAATTATAGAGCTCTGCACGTAGAATAACATCTCGGAGCAAGTGATGGTGGAGGAGCAAGTGGTGCATGTATGTGGGGGTGGGGGGGTGGGGAGCATGAAGAGTTCTTCCTGCTTTCTTATCTCAGAGCTGGACAGAACAGAGGAGATAGATGAGAAGTAAAGGGAATAAATTAAAATATACAATAAAATTATAGCTGTGTTTACGATTGCAACCTCAAATTAGATCGAGCCACATTCTTCAGTGAGTATCACAGCCTTTTAGGTCACAGTAAGATGGGGCCGGGAGGGGGAAGGGAAGAGGGGGGGTTAGACGTGGCCCTTTGCGAGACATTTTCGGCACACTGTTTTCATTAAGGCAACCCCATGAGGGCCATTAGAAGTGTACTGTGCGCTGGACATAGCATTTCCCGGTAATGGACAGCAGATTAATTCTCAGTAAAGATGCCAGGCTGACGTGAATCACACGGTGTGAATGTCACACATCAAGGGCGCACACACACACACACACACACAGACGTTGTCAGTGGGAAACTGATGCAGTTGTTAAGATTGCTCCATTTCCTGTTTTGGACATTTTGATATAAAAACATTATAAAAAAAGTCACATGACAAGGCTTCTTAACGAAACCAATCCGGTTTGACCAAGCTATTTGGTAATGATAATAATCCTTGCATTTAATATAGCGCTTTTATCACGTTATCAAGATATCTCAAAGCGCTTCACGGAATATACTGTGAAGTGAATTCATTGCGTATTTTGTGAGCAAAACGCGGCAGCCAATTGCGCACAGCAGTGACCCACAAACAATCGTGGACCAAATTATTATTTATTGAAGGGAATATTACCTTCAGTCTCCTTTTCTCCCTTTCCTGCTTAGCGTCAAACCCCAGCGTAGTGACTGTTTGTTCATTGCTTAAGTGGAAGCCATGTTTGGAAAATCTGCAGGTGGGAGAGGGTTTTATAACAAGAGTAGAACATAAGCCAGTCACTGGCTTCTGCAGGTGCGGTCACCCTGCCATGACCAGTAACAGGAGAGGTAACCACATCAACTACCTGATAAGACAAAGCTCCCAACAGGCATTTCAATTAATGCCCTAAGCCCCGGCACATAGAATTCAGCAACAGAATTGGAGCTGAAATGTTAATTTGGACCTTCCTATAAACAAACACAGCTGTAATCCGAGCCCGAGATCTCTCCCGGCTCTATAGAATAGCCAGTAAGATTAGTGTATGAGGGATGACTGGGCGGTGCAGGTGATGGAAACTATGATGGCAATGTTCAATTCTGTCAGACTTGTTTTCCTGTACATTGTTTTCTATGAAGTACGTAAAAATGTACGTGTGAATATGCTTTATTTGGTCAGAACCTGGGTATTGTCCAGCATTTCCTCAGCACCTACCTCATCACTGAAATATCTCAAAAGCCTTTGTAGGTAAATTGCAGTGTTTTGACACATGGCAACATTCCACAAATAGACAAGAGGTGAATGGCCCAACTGATTTGGAGAATTGATGGTCAGGACATGAGGAGGAACTCATTTTCCTTCTCGTATCTCTTCTGGTGTCTAATAATGGCTACCTGAACAGGTATGACATTTACACAACGCCTTTCACATCGGGAGGACGTTCCCGATTTCAAGATCCTCATCCTCACCTACAAGGCCATTCACGGCCTCACTCCCTCCTACCTCTCTGACCTACTATCCCCCCACGTGCCCGCCCGTACCCTCCATTCCTCTGGCTCCGGTCTGCTCCACATCCCCCGCCCCAACATCGGTGGTCGGGCCTTCAGCCTCTCAGGCCCGAGGCTCTGGAACTCTATCCCCAGTGCCTTCACCGCTTCCTCCCTTTCCTTCTTCAAGGCCGGTCTCAAGACCTTTCTCTTTGACCGTACCTTCAGCTCCGCTCTCGACTCTCTACCCCCTCCTCGCTCCCTCCCTTCCCTCTCCTCACCCTGACCATTTCCCCCCCAATGCTCGGGTCCTGACCCAACTGTACAGCACCTTGGGACGTCCTCCCAACGTGAAAGGCGCTCTATAAATGGAATCTTGTTGTTGTTCCAAGGCGCTGGACACTCTGGGATTTGGACCCGAGCTGGGGGTTGGGATCATGAGGGGAGGGGGTAGACAAGGAGGGTTGGGATAGGAACGGTCGAAGAGGAATTATAAATATATAAAACACAGAGTTTAACACGATGCAATCATTATTCCCTCCTCCCTAATCACCAGCAAACCCCATCCTGCGAATGCCATCAGACCATCTTGTGTAGATCATTTCCTCAGCTTTCTGCACAATAAAACCTGTAATTGACTATGAACTGTGACAGTAATAAAATACAATGATTTGATGATGGAGCTTTGTTAAAGTTGTCTGATAGCTAGAGTACATTGAATGCTCAAGAGCTGTTTCCTTGTGAGATTTACCTATAAAAATATATATTTAAGACATTTTGCTTCTCTTTCTCCCCATTGCCCTCTGGAACGGATGTGTTCAGTGATGGTAGGGGCCCAGTGAGGTAACAGCTCCAACCATTGGCCTCAGGAATCCATGGCCATGGAAAAGGGGAATTAGCAGCCAGAGTTTCTTAGGAGAGGAAGAAATCGCAAAGCAGAGGCAACGGGGAAGACTGAGTCTGGGATTGTTCCTATCTGGCCAAAGCTCTAATGGGTAGGTGCTCCAAGATGAACAAAGAGTGGGAAGCTTCCCAGAATGCGCACAGGTACCTCAATCCACGCTGTAGGATCCCCAAGCCTTGATGTTTGTTAACTTGCGCTTTATACTTTGGGATCGGGTAAGCAGGAAGAGACGGAGTTAGGTTGATTGTTTCCCTACCCACAGGTGAGAAAGACATTGGGCAAGAACTGAAGAATTAAGAGGGGGAAGAATATACGTCAATCACTCTGCCCTCCAGAAGCAAATCCATGACCACTCACTTTAACCTTCATTCAACTAAAGAAGAGATTGACTTTTATTTGTTAAACATATAGGTAAGAAATTCCACACTTAATGTACTTTATAGAATACAAATTCTGGTCTTATAAGCATCACTATCATATTGTACAATAAGTCCTTTAATTGACTAAAACATGACCGTAATAAATTGCGATCTGTATTAGCTATAGCTAAAATTGGCAAGTAAATGACAAATCCATTTTGAGCAAGTCTCCGGCTTCAAACAGCACATGCACACACACACACACCAGGTTTGTGATAAACTAGTTTGAAAAAACACAATTAGTAAGTGGTCTTGCACATTTGTAAGCAAGAGTGAGGGCAGTCATAGTGACCTGCCTCATTCCCACTTACATATACAGAAATAAGGCCATTCACTTATTGCCACTTACAACATACGAACAGAACAAAAACCCCTGGTGAATTTTGACAGCAAGTGACTGCACATTAAACAGTTAAGTTGTATGTGCTAGAAAGTGTCCCAATGATCATATTTAAATGAAAGCTTCATCTGTTGTGGCATGGTTACCCGTTTCCTCACTGTCAGCCCCCATGGCATGGTTTCTCTGTGAGATTCTCTCAAACCCTCCGAATGTACACGTTCTTCACCATCACCTGAAGGGATGGCCTGGTACATTAGGATAGCCTGGTTGACATCCATTACTGTGGTGATAAACTGGGGCTGAATGACATCAAATCCTGGGCTTGAAGTGGAAGCTTTGATTGCTCACTCCCTGTCAGCAGTGAGGCAAAGGGGCTCATGCAGTTTACTGCAGCCTGTTAAGAGAAAAGCAATAAACCTTCAGGACAAGTTTTAATATTTGAATAGTTCAGTGGATATCCAAGCACACAGGGATGAGAACAAAAAGCCACTGCGCCAAGCAGCTGGTAGCAGAGGTTTGCAAAAATGGTGCAGATGCACTGAGATGTAGCAATGAAGGGAGATGTGAAGGAATGTGAACTTACTGCACCGTGGAAGGCATGTCCTGCATCCGACAGGCTGCGCAGTGCATCAGGAGCCGCTGGTGTGGCTGTTTATTATAGGTCATCAGGCCCGGAAAGAGAAGGTGGAGGAATGCAGGTAAATAGAGGTCAGACCACAATCATCATAATCCTTGTGTTTGATATAGCACCTTAGTACATTAGCACAACACCAAATAAGCATAAGAAAATTTTTCCCAAATAATTCTAATTGTAAAACCTCCACTGACGATTAAAGTAATCAAAAGCCTGAAATGCATCCACTGAAGGCAGGGCCTGAAGGAATCCTTCAGACGGCCAATCTGAACTGTGTAGGTTTTGTCAGCTCAAAGATCGTTATGTGCACACCTCACAAAAATAACCGACTTCAGACAATTGTTCAAATCAATCTGCTAACACAATACTGGTTTCACAAGGAACAACTTTGCATTCTTTTGAAAAAAAAGTGCTAATAGCATTTCAAAACTGCTAGCAACAGCATTTTCAGCATCACAGCTGTTTGAACACGACATGAGCCGAAGACAAGGTTGAGGCAAGCCCACGTGGTAAACGCTGAATTGGACAAAAACAAACCCCCAAAAAACTTTAAAAATGCATGATATTCAACTGTAGAAGTGTGCCACACAGCCCCTTTACTGTCAGTACAGCTCATATTTACATAACATCCAAACTGCTCAGAAGAAACCAGGGAGTAGACAGGGAAGGAAAGTTCTGTGGTGGCATCTGAGTTGCTAGAAAAAGCCTCAGTCTTTTCTGCCAATTGTGGACAATTATGGAAATTAATGGAATACTGTAAAGTTGTTTCAGAATTATCTCCAGGAAAGGCAACCAAATTAGAGGAAGATGTCAGAATTGAAGCCTCTACAATTTAAATATGGACAAAGAAAACTGCTCAGTTCAGAGTCATGCATTTTCTTGTTAAATTCTGAAATTTTACTTCTCTGAAAGTGTGAGGCGACCACAGGATTGCCCTCTGCTGTTGTTCAGTAGTATTACTAAAGCCTACTGTAGCCAACAACTGTTAAGTAATTCAAGATTTGATATGCATTTGAATGCAACACTACAATCCTCTTAATGATCTTTTTCTAACCCACTACTCCGACACACAAGTGACAAGAGAGATTCTGTAAGAGAATTTCCAAACGTAGCTTCAGTCAGTGTACAAGGCAGCACCACAGGTCGCTGCTGAGTTGGCTGTTTATCATGTCAATCAGTCAGAGCAAGAGCAGAAAGTAAAGCAAAACGTGTGCACTGTATTATGGAGGATTTAGCACTTCATCATCTGGAGTCCTGTAGCTCAGGGATTAGAGCATTCGCCTCGCAATTGAGAAAATCTGGGTTCGATTCCCAACCGGGCAAAATGTTGGGCAAGTTTCCTGAGTCCACATGCCTGTTAATTGATTGAAGTATCGCTTTTCCAGGGGGTAATAACAAAACAATTGTCACTCAATCCACAACGGTTTGTGGGACACTGTTGTGCACAATTGGCTGCAGCGTTTTGCTCACAAAATATAGTCAATTCACTTTACAGTATATTCTGTGAAGCGCTTTGAGATGTCTCGAAGACATAATAAGGCGCTGTATCAAATGCAAGGTTTATTATTATTTCAAGGCACTCATATAATTCTGCCAAGGCTCAGGGCCAATACTCCAGGTTGGGGACATTAAGACAGTTAAAGATTTATGCAATGTATAACATTTTAAGGCAGGTTACTGGTACTTTTTCAAGCTACTATAATAGTACGTTCAGCACAAGCATCACTCACTGGGGAACACTTTTGCAGGACTCTCCACTCTGAAGAAGCCGGCATCAAACACAACCATTTCTTCCTTCAGATTTCTCTCCACCTCAGAGCTGTCCACTCCCAGCTTCAGTTTGGCTTTCATGGCGGCTTTTACCTCAGCTAGACGGCTCTTCCGGGCCATGTGTTCACTTTTATCAGATTTTCCTGCAGAGGACTTGCCCAACGCAATTTTTTTCTAATAGAAATACAAGCTTAATAAATGCTACGTGAAAAATACACAGTACAATACAGGCAAGTTCATGATGAATGAAGTGAAATAATGTTATCTCAATATTGGGGTCCGTAGCATACAAACTAAATTTAGTGTTGAATATAATAATGACCCACATGCCCGAGCGATGCCCCCAACCTGTTCTCAATGAACTTACTACCTGCTCCTAGGTTAAAACTGTAAACGGTGAACAACAGGTTTGCTTTGAGACATCTTGAAGACGTGATAAGGGGCTATGTCAAATGCAAGGAATAGTATTATTTATAAGAGTAAGAACCACGGTGAAGGCAGTGAAGTCTTTGGGGTCCAACGGAAATAGGTAGGAAACAGATTCCCTGCACAAGACCGCTCCCCCTTACCTTGACCACTCTTTTAGGTAATGAGGGCACGTCTCTCTGCTCCTGCCAGCCATTCTCCTGAAGGGTTTTCAGAAGGTCAAACTTTTTGCTCACATCTTCAACCTGAAGATACAAACCAAATAAGTTTGCAACAAAGCCACACCCAACACACATCGGCCTACATAGTAAACAGGACACTGGGATAGTATTTTTCCTGTGTACTGCATTTGTTTTCTCTAATCTCGACATTTGAAGCAAGCTTGTTCTGGTGAAATGTTGCACTGTATCCATGTTTCAAACTATTTTTAAAAACTGTTTCAAATCACATTACGCACTAATTAATATCTGGCAACTTCTGCGTGGTTTTGCTCTATCGTTCCAACTGAAGCGGCCAGGGAACGTTAAATGTTCAGAAATGTTCAGCACACAAAGTATGGGGAGGTCAAACAATTGACCACTGGTGTTCCCCTCATTTAAAAGTCCCCTAAAGCAGATACCTGGAAGTAGATCATATCCCAAAGCCATCCAGATCCGTGCAGGTGACTTCCTTTTGGCCACGCTCCATTTGACAGTCATCAATAAGTCCTTGAAACTGTTTGAAGCGCTGAGCCATCAGGAGACGTGCTTGTCCCACCGTTGTGCGAATTAGGTCCTTACCTACACATTGGAGAGGCGAGTGACACTATAGGAGCCAGACAGAACATTCATTATAACACTAGTTCCATCATAGATAGATAGCTCCAGCGGGGTGTGGACCCTGACATTTACTGATGAAAAATCAATCACAATTTAATAAATTCCATCCACCTCATTACCAGGACTCTACAGTAAGTGGAGGGGGGGGAAGGTTCCTCCTAGAGATATTATTTTAATCTGAGAGGATTGAAACTTGCTCCAGCACGTGGAATAGGAGGAAAGTGGCAACTTGGGTAGAAAGGTGGTTGAAGGATTAGAAATAGAGAGTAGGGCTAAGTGGACGTGTTCAGTTGGCACAAGGGCCCAATGCATCTTATTTCTAAAAGAGAAATACAAGTTTAAGTAAAAGCCACCTCACCACTATCGGCAACCTCTGGCAGCTCAGCCTGACTCTCCCACTGCTGACACAATGCTGTGAGTTTCTCAGTCTCTGAACGCATAACTCCTCTGCAACAACAACAAAATTACATTTGCATAGCGCCTTTCACGTCGGGAAATACATTAGAATAAATGGGGAGAAGTATTCAAGTTACTTTTTCCAGGCACGTAAACGTTTTGGCTGCCAAAACCCTGAACTAGTCCGTAATCAACATAGCTTAAAAAACACTTAAGGCTGTATGACATAGCACTTGTATTATACTGTGATGACTCAGCGTCACTGCACTGCACACAGATATCAATCAGCAAGTAATGAGCCTTCACGAGCAATGTTTCTAATGGGTAAAGTTAACTTGCAGAAGTGCATTCAATTTCCCAAGAATATCTCAGTCTGCTTCGCAGCAATCCACCCCTCCCCTCGCCCACCCGAACAAACAAGTTCCAAATGACACACATCCCACACACAAATAGGCGATCAGTCCATCATGTCTGTGCCTCATATCCCCCAAATAGCACTGCAGCAATGCCAGGGCTGCAGCTCACTTCATGCTATTATAGGAAATAGTGGCAGACCTGAAATAGGGCACATCATGTATTGATCCTTTCACATCAATGGAGAGGCTTGCAGCAAGAGACTCCTGGGGTTTCCTACACACAGGGGCTTCCACGTCATCTAGGGAAAACATTTACAATTATAATCCAGAAAAGACACTGAGAACCAAGTACAGGAACATCAACTGAACAGACATTAGTATTCATGAAATGCAACCATGAAATAATAATAATCCTTGCATTTGACATAACGCCTCATGTCTTCAAAACGTCTCATAGCGCTTCATAAATATACTGTAAAGTGAATTGACTATTTTGTGGGTGAAATTCATAAATACTGCTGTGTTAGAGTTGGATATTTTGTGTAGACATCTCCCTTCCATTCTAACATTCGTATGCTAAGACTAATATGTAGTGCCATTCGTTAAGCACACCATGGAGCATTATTATTATAGACTATTCCTCCCTGCTCCGGTTAGAGATCAAGTTGTCTCAGATTTCCTGAAAGTAAAGCCTTTGTTCAGATTTGTAGCTGTCTGAGAGACCTATACCACTCCCAAACTGACAGTAAAGGTGCTCAGATTATATGTTGTGCAGTGGAATTAGGCAATTGTTTGAGGAAAACCATGTTCTTAGCTCTTACCAACAATATCAGCAGGCTCTTCACCTTTCGTGTCACAGTTAATTTCTAATGCTGATTTACTTTCAACAGTTGTGCACACTGTTGGAGAACAAATTCTATTCCCCCTAGAACTGGGGGAGGAGGGGAAATGGAAGAAAAAAATGCAATTTAAAATCAGTTCAGCAGTGTCACAGGAAGGTTATATACAACACAATTTCAATCAAAATACAAATTACACCAATTTACCAGACAGGGGTCAGTTTTGCATCCTGGGCAATCACAATTTGAGAGCTAAAGAAATATTAATGTACATTAATGTAAAATGGCACTATAAAACATCATACACGTTGCCAGCCATAGCGACCACAGGAAATTAGAAATGTTCAGTGCAGCACAGATTATGGAGTTCTCATTTAAAAGACCCGAAATAGATCCCGAGAAGTAGCTCATATCCCAGAAGCCACCCAGCTCAGGCCAGGTGACTTCCTTTGCCACTTTTCAGTTCACAGTCACTAAACAGCAGCACAAAACATACAGCAGGTACACTCTTCACACACACAATCATTTGCCATACAAGGCTGTCTGTCCCATTAAATTTACACTGGTGTTAGCTCCTCCCTGGAGAGCTATAATCTGTATCCCAATCACCTGTTCGCGCGCTCTCTCTCTCTCTCTCTCTCTCACACACACAGTAAACTGATTTCACCTACAACAAGATTCCATTTATAGAGCTCCTTTCACGTCGGGAGGACGTCCCAAGGCGCTGGACAGTTGGGTCAGGACCCGAGCAGGGGGGAAAATGGTCAGGGTGAGGGGAGGGAGGGAGCGAGGATGGGGTAGAGAGTCGAGTAGTGGGACAAATACCCCGGGATGATAGGAAATGCTGAAACACAGTAATACAATTCACAAGCCAAACATGCAAGACCTAGTATTAACACGTACTGTTTGTGTCCGATGGGGCCCCAGGAACTGGTTCCCAAAAAACTGGCTGCCTGGCGGGGGCTCAATGGGGTAAAAATGAATGGGGCCAATCCAGTCATAGGTCTGAATGCGTAGTTCTCAGGGGCAAAGGAGACCTTCTTGTCCACTTCCCCAGGGGCCAACACGGTGGCACTAGATAGTATTTGTCTGCCGTCACCAGCCTGCAACGCCATCTCCTCCGCACCTCCTGCCATCTCCTCCGCACCTCCTGCCATCTCCTCCGCACTGTCTGGTTCAGGGAGGATTTCAGGTTCTGGCTGTGCAGGTAGAATGTGAGCAGCCTACAAAATATAACAATCGATTCTTGTGAGGACACAAATTGGTTTCAATTCACTCCCAGCTCTATCTGAAGGTTCAACATTGGCTGAGGGTAGAGTTCCAGTTAACGAGTAGCATTCATTGTTCTGGTGTGAGCCCAGACAACGAGCATCAGAAGACTATTCATACCTGCTTTCTGTAGTGTTTCTCTTCCTTCTCAGCTTGTTTCAGAGTCTTACCCACACTTATTCGAGGCTCGCTGACTAGTGGTTCAAAAAGGGGGGAAAAAAATAATTTCAGCATCAGGATCACTGCAAGCAATGAGGAAAATTCAAACTGATAATCTCTGGCTGTGTATAATAATAATGTGGGCTATGGGGGTCTGCACACCTCCAATTTAAATATTGAAAGTTTCAAACATTATTTATTTTTAAAATTATTTCTTAGGATCAGAGTAAGGGCAAAATCCCCCAGGAAAACAGTAAAATCTCATTCAAGATACTCTTCAAGATTTGTTGTGGAATCAGCTAATTTTGCATAATTTAAAACTTTATTTTCATTCAATTGTTCACTTTTAAAAATGACCCCAGCTGTTAACTTAGCTGTGGTTAAACTACCCCACCCTTTGGTACACCATCCCATAGTCTATTCGCCTTGCTCTCTCTCGTCTCCTTCAAGACCCTCCTCTTCCACTACCCTCCTGATCCCAACCCCTGCCCGGATCCAAATCCCCAATTGTCCAGTGCCTTGGGACTTCCTCCCAAAAAGAAAGGCGCTATACAAATGTCATTTGTTGTTGTTGGAACTAAACCCCCTTACCCTGCACAGATGCTGCAGATTTCAGTATTGGCTTTAATCCTGTCCGTCCCCGTGTCTGTGGTGGATTTATGGATGCTGCTAGATTTTAAATGGAAAGAGACCAGAAATAAAATGAGCTCAAATCTCTGCCACCACAACCAAAATGCTGAGCTGTATTTCCTTACCTGGCACAGGCCCTGCTACTTTCAGGGCTGGCTTGGGTTCTGTCCGGCCTCTTGTCTGTGGTGGCTTTAGGGGTGCAGCGTGGGGAGCTTTAATGGATAACACAGAATAAATAAAATAAACAAAATAATTAATAATATTATTAATAAAGGCATTGTCTTGTGAGGCACCAGTAAAGCTTATACAATACTCAAGTAAAAAAATATATATCCACTCCATTTTTGCCAACAAAATGTACAGTCAATCCACTTTACAGTATGTTCTGTGAAGCGTTTGAGATTTCTCAACAACGTGATAAGGTGCTATATCCAATGCAAGAATTATTATTAGTAGATTTCCATTGAACAATTGAACATATCTCAGTTGTAACACTACTCTTCACCTCAATCTTGATCAACATTCCAGGCTAGAGAGAGGATACTCAGGAATTTTAGTCATAATTCAGTAGCCCCACTATAGAATGCACTGAACTGAATATCAATGCAAGAACAGGGAAGACTGACACAGCTATGATGGTCTCACAATAACACTTGAGGCTCATGTTAGACACACATGAAGAATACCTCCCTACCCACTTGTGTGAGTGGAACCCAGCTGTTAACTTAGCTGTGGTTAAACTACTGCCCCACTCTTCGGTACACCATCCCAGCAACCTGAGGGAGTTTAGTCACACGACAACAAACATCATAGTACAGTAAACATCATTGATAGATAGCTCCTTTAGGAGAGGGGAGAAAAGTGTCACACCACGACTGTAAAACACTATTACAACTGCAAACAAAGTAACCTTTCAAAACAAGTTTATAATTGTTGAACAAAACATTGCTCCATTTAACAAACGCCCATATGCCAAGGGACTTGATTGACAGTGAACAGCAGAGCAGCCCTCGGGGTTCTAACCTGTATTTTGTGCATTTCGAAAATAATCTAAATAGTTCTGATTTGATTATAAATTCATATATTTATAAATTCTTTGATTCGCTCACTTTTTAATTAAAATTAAAAAAAAAACATTCTGGTTAAGGCAGAAGAGGGATTTAGAAATCTTCAAGGGTGGCACTCAATTATTTATGAATGCAGCAGCCTGAGGGAGTTTAGTCACATGGCAACAAACATCATAGTACAGTAATATACCCAATCTATTGTTTAACAGATTACCAGTACTATTAAACAAGACAATATTAACAGCTTTAACTAAGACGATTACCTCAAAGCACTCAACAAACATGACAATCACCAAGCGTCACTGATTGTGGGAAGGAGAACAAGAGATGGGGATTTCTTTCAGACACGTTCACAAAAAGCCAGAAATAACTTTCTATGTAACAAATCTTTAAGAGTCTAAATTCCATTCAACATTTAAAAATGTTACCTTTTCTCTCCTTGGCACCTGCTGCTGGTGGTGGGAGCTGGCACTGAGCTTGGGTTACTGCAAGGCCTCGTGTGTAACCTCCTTGATTAGATTTTACATGAGCTACGACTGAATCCACCTACAACATAGCAACATGCAGGTTAACTTGTTAATGGTGATTCCATTTAATTCCCATCATTGAGCCCAGTGAAGCTGAGCAGTGCCCACTGTATACGTACAATTGTATAAATGTGTACAATCCCACTTCAGTGATGTAGGGTAAACCATTTGAAGCCCAGTTTTGCTGCTCTCCCTGCCCCATGGAACAGCAAATCAAGTTTAGTCCTATTTGTCCCATTACCCAGACAATCGTACCAGCAAAGATCAAGGAACTAGAGATCAAATCTGGGACCTTCAAATGGGAGAACTTGGGAGTGCAGTAACAAAGTTTCAGCCCAGGAAAACAGCCGTGGGTCAATTTTGTAAGTGCTGTAAACACTCAGGCTGTTTATGTGACCCAATATGAACGTGTGGACAGAAACAGACCCTTTTCCAAAACTTGAGACCCAACTCACCAAATCCACCATCAAAAGTAAACCATTCATAGAAAGGATGGATGTGGTTCAGGCCAATCTATACTACCGGCAGTAAAAACATTAAGCTCCCAGGACTTGGGCGGACTCAGTGAAAGCTCTACGGTAGACCTTACCTTGGTAGAAACTGCATGTCTGGTTTCGTTAGGAAGCATGCTCTCCAGCTTCTTAGACATGGACCTTGTGACTCTCAGAGAAGAAGGAAGAAATGTCTATGAAGAAAATGGAAATATACAGTCACTCCACTTAACAGTGTATCCTGTGAAGCGCTTTGAGATGTCTCGAAAATATAAGGCACTATATCAAATGCAAAGATTATTGTTAGTTGGATTCTAATCGCTTTCGCAGCATGGAATAACACCCCGTGTCCCAGTAGAATCACTGTAATCCATATCACCCACAAATATACAGTCAATTCACTTTACAGTGTGTTCTGTGAAGCGCTTTGGGTCGTCCTCCCGACGTGAAAAGCGCTATATCAAATGCGAGGATTATTATTATTATTATTATTATTATCGTACCTTTGGTTTGGATTGCTCGGTGGTTTGGGGCACAGTTCTCAACTCCAGGTATTGTGCAGCATCGGGCCTGTAAACCCCGGCCCTGAACACGGGCTTCGGGTTCTCGCGCTGTGCCTTCAGTTGGCGCAGGAGCTTGTCCTCCTTGTAGCGCCGCAGCATCTCTCGCCGCGAGTCTACCGACGTCTTCGCCTTCGAAGATTCTAAAATGCAAAGGATGACATTTTCCCTCCTTCTGCGGCGCTCAGTGTTACACGACCTACGCCCACGTATGGTCCAGACCGCGACCCCGAGGAGCACCGACAACAACAACAGCAACAATCCGCGCTTTTCATATCTTCTCGACGTCGCAAAGCGCTTCGCAGAACACACTGTAAAGTGAACTGACTGTATATTTGTGGGCGGAACGCGGCGGCCGATTGCCCACAGCGATGTCTGTCCCACAAACAGCGGTGGGGGTAGAAAATGAGCAATTTATTGTTGTGTTGGAGGGGGTATTGTCAGGTGTGAGGTGAGAGAACGCAGTCCCACTCCACTGCCCACAGAGCACAGTCACCGCACTGCACAGTGAATACTGCGAAGCGCTTTCCGAGACGCCTCGAAGACGGGATGAGGCGCGGGAGCGTCAGCGCTGTAAACGGGTCCCGGGTACCAGCGCTCGGGCCCACAGTCGGGGCCGAGTGTCCAGCGCGGGGCTGCGGGTGGGGCTGCGGGTGGGGCTCGGCCCGGACACCCCGCGCTGTCAGGAGGACGAGAGGACAGAGGAGGAGGAGAGGAGATAGGAAGGTGTGTGAGAGAGAGAGAGAGAGACCCACCGGGCCCCGCGCCCTCCTCCTCCTCCTCCAGGGGCGGCCCCGGGCCGGGGGGCGGCAGGAAGCGGCGGCTCTGCCTCACCACCCGCTCGCGGTTCTCCTTCTGCGACAGGGAGCGGCGCCGGGCCTGCTTCACCCGCACCGCCTGCACGTCCAGCCCCGCCGTCTTGTAGCGGCCGGCGAAGCGGCTGCCAACTGCCTCCATGGCCCCGGTCTGACTGACTGACTGACTGTGACTGACTGGCGGCTGCAGCTCGCGCCGCGCCCCGGGACTGACTGACCGACTGACCGACCAACCGTCAGCAGCTCGCGCCCCGCTTTCAAAAATACCCGACGCGCGCCTCCGATTGGTCCCCAGACCGCCGCGGCGTCATACGCCATCACGTCGCGGCGACCGCAAAAACCCACGGCAGCGGCAGCGCCCCCCAGCGGTGACCACCCAGCGTCAGCTCAGCGGCACTGAGGCTTCCCAACCCTCCTGATCACAGCACAGCACAGCCCGGCACAGCCCAGCCCGGCACAGCACTGCCCGGCACAGCACTGCCCGGCACAGCACTGCCTGGCACAGCACTGCCCGGCACAGCACTGCCCGGCACAGCACTGCCCGGCACAGCACTGCCTGGCACAGCACTGCCCGGCACAGCACTGCCCGGCACAGCACTGCCTGGCACAGCACAGCCCGGCACAGCACTGCCTGGCACAGCCCAGCCCGGCACAGCCCAGCCCGGCACAGCCCAGCCCGGCACAGCCCAGCCCGGCACAGCCCAGCCCGGCACAGCACTGCCCGGCACAGCACTGCCTGGCACAGCACTGCCCGGCACAGCACTGCCCGGCACAGCACTGCCCGGCACAGCACAGCCCGGCACAGCACAGCCCGGCACAGCACAGCCCGGCACAGCACAGCCCGGCACAGCACTGCCCGGCACAGCACAGCCCGGCACAGCACTGCCCGGCACAGCACTGCCCGGCACAGCACAGCCCGGCACAGCACTGCCCGGCACAGCACTGCCCGGCACAGCACAGCCCGGCACAGCACTGCCTGGCACAGCCCAGCCCGGCACAGCCCAGCCCGGCACAGCCCAGCCCGGCACAGCCCAGCCCGGCACAGCACAGCCCGGCACAGCCCTGCCTGGCACAGCACTGCCTGGCACAGCCCAGCCTGGCACAGCCCAGCCTGGCACAGCCCAGCCTGGCACCGCACAGCACAGTCCGGCACAGCCCAGCCCGGCACCGCACAGCACAGCCAGCACAGCCCGGCACGGCACAGCCCGGCTCATCAGCAGAACAGTCACTGGGGGCAGAGAGTCGTAAGAACATGACATATTATTTATAATAATAATAACCATTGCATTTGATACAGCGCTTTATCACATCTTCGAAACGTCTCAAAGCATCTTGAAGACGTGATAAGAATTTTCTGGCCAAAGAAGACCAAGGTCCATCTAGTTCGCCTTCCACCATCCTAGCAGTCGCTTGACATGTCGTGTCCCATCTGTATATTGTATCCCCACTCACCCTCCTGTTAACCCTGCAGCCAAAGTCCTAACGGGCAGGGGTGGTCTTAGCTGGACAGAGCAGCAGGAAAGCTTGCCAGACAGCAATATGAATAGCAATATGAATGGCAAGCTGTGCAGTTTTAGCTGGTCAGACTCCAGCTGTTACCCCCAATGCACACTCTGGGGTCCCCCAAGCCTTGGCTCTTGCCAACTTGTGCCTAATACTTACTGGAATTAGGTAAGCAGGATGCATCCCTCCAGGGAGAGAGAGAGAGAGAGAGAACATTCCATTCCAACAATTTATCTCTGGGAATTCAGTGTGTAGGTGGGATGTGTGGAAATCTCAGCTTGGTTTGGAGACTCTTAAGCAAGGTGATGAGTTTACACATTTGTCAGACACTCGGCTGACCTAAAAAAACATGATACCAACTCCGCCATTGAGGATAACTGCTCTAATGGCTTTCTCCCTGGTCTATCCCCAATCATGTACAATTGGTACCACAAGTACTGGTGCCATCTGCCAGGTTAATGACTGTGTTCACTCTCCTTGTTCTTTTCACTCAGCTCCTTACCTGAGGTTAATTACCCACTCCCAATCCCCCTGCTCTTTCCCATCAAAGTGTATGATGCGGTCAGCTCCTCCATTGTAGTGCTCTCCCCCCATCGTATCTGGGAGTCACTGGAGACAGACTGGGATTGACTTACTGTTTAGTTTTGTGTCTTTCTGCAGGAAAAGTCTTTGGCTCATTTAGTGTTTTGTGCTGGTGACCCACTGAGGTGAGATATTCAGATGCTCATTACTCATCACTACCTTTAATCTGACTAGAAGGGCCAGGAAGCAGCCATAAGTCCTGAGCCTCGCTGTCGAGGTGCTGTTACACTCCCATGATTTATTGTATTTTTATTCTCACACGTGTGACGGATGGGAAATGAAATTACAACTCACGCCCACACCGACAAATTGCAATTTTGGCATGGTAAAATCTTCTATTCACACAGAGTAAACAATGATGTGCTTTTGTAGCTCAGTGAGACTGGGGAAACATGGAATATTAAATCTAAAGATGAAAATGTATTTTGCTCTAAATAATTGCCGAGTCAATTCACTTTACAGTATATCCTGTGAATTGCTTTGAGACGTAATAAGGTGCTATATCAAACGCAAGGATTAATATTATTATCCATTGAAGCCTTATGTATTGATTATCAGATTTCCCCTTTATAAAGGAGTACTTCAAAAATAAATGGGATGATTTAGCAATCAGTGTGTTTACAGGATCATTTGGAATACGTATAGAAGTGTAGATAATAACAACAATCCTTACATTTGATAAAGCACTTTAACACGTCTTCGAGTCTCAAAGCGCTTCACACAAAGTTCAGGATAGATTCTGCAGGCTATCCCCCCCATCCCACACGCACACAAACACTGACCTCCTACCCGCACAAACACACTCCTCCTCACACAGACACACACACTGTGCCCCCCATACACTGCCCCCCAACACACACACACGCACTGCCCCCCCTCACACACAGCCTCCCCCCCCCCACATAAACACTGCCCCCCAACACACACTAACTGGCCCCAACACACACAGCCCCCTCACACATACCACCCCCACTGCATCCCCACACACACAGTACGCCCCACCCCACAAACACACTGCCCCCCTACACTACACCCCTACACACACTGCACCCCACACACAATGTCCCCCCCCCATAAACACACACTGTCCCCCCCTTCCCCCCACACATAAGTACACTGACCCCCCCCCCACCACACACACACGCACAGCCCAGATCGAACATGACGGCTGGGATTTGGAGCGACTGTGTGTTTGTTGGTGAGAGTATCTGTTGCCGAGTGCTCTAATCTTGTACAGTAGATGGTGCCATTGATTTGTTTGTGAAGTCAATCCCTCTGAGCTTAAAGGGGAGGTTTATTGATAGCCGGGAATGGTTTAATACACTGAGACTTGTCTTGTTTCAGTGATTTACAGTTTCATCTCTGTTTTTGTGGCAAGGGAACAGAGATAAAGTTATAAATCATTAATAGCACCGCATTCCCCTAGTGCTTCCTATACAAGCTTGTCTCCCTAACTGCACCTTCTCCTCCTCTTATCACAAGACCTCACCACTGTTTGTGATCAGTCGGGTGGGTCTGATATATATGCGGAAACCCATCACCGTGCTCAAGAGCATTCAAACCAGAATTGAGTTGCCACCCACATATGGAGATTTCTACAGAGTGACGCACCTCATTGCAGAGACGTTTAGGCTAAAAGTGAAGGCTTGGGGACCCCGAACATCAGAGGAAGGTGGCAGAGTTCGGGAAGGAGCATAGATATATGTACAGTATATATAATTGCCAGTGCATAGCACTGGCTGTCACGTTTTGCTCAAAAAATACAGTCACTCCACTTTACAATATATCCTGTGAAGCGCTTTGAGATGTCTCAATGATGTGATCAACCGCCATATCAAATGCAAGGATTATTATGTATATATATAAACACACACACACACTGCAGCATCGCTGAGATATTAAACAGAGCTCCCAGCTGTCTGCTCAGATGGACAATAACACTTGTGTGATACCAGTGATGTGAAGGGAGTTTGTTTCGGTCTCTCGCCCTGCAGATAAATGAGAGGTTCTCCTCATGGCTGTTTGTGGGAAGCTGCACCACCACAGCCAGTAATTACCTGTGAGCAGCGTTCAGATATTTTGACATAAGACGCTGTATCATGCAAATCTTTCATTCTTTCTCATGTTTGTGCTGTTTTCCTACAGGTGACAGCCAGAGAGCACTGCAGACACTCTCGCCTTGGTGAGTGACCTGATTGGTAGGGCCGTTTATAGAGATACGCACAGAAATAGGCCGTACTGGGACTAGTGTAGTGGAGGGTAGGTGTGGAGGGAGGGTAGGTGTGGAGGGAGGGTAGGTGTGGAGGGAGGGTAGGTGTGGAGGGAGGGTAGGTGTGGAGGGAGGGTAGGTGTGGAGGGAGGGTAGGTGTGGAGAGAGGGTAGGTGTGGAGGGAGGGTAGGTGTGGAGGGAGGGTAGGTGTGGAGGGAGGATAGGTACGGAGGAGGTGGAGGATCTCCTGGAGAAGGACTTGATCAGCCATTGGTTGCTTCTCTTTGTATATCTTCTGTACTCGATGTATGGATTGAGTGCCACAATCCCTGAGCCTTGAGTGTGACACACTGACATGTGAGTGATACAGACTGACTCACACGTTACACACTGACTGACACATGCGTGTTGCAGACCGACACGTTCCCTCCCACAGCTGTGTGTTGTGCTGAAGTGTTTCACCATCTCACACCCAGTATCTTGGCTGAAAGCCAATTCTCTCCAACCACAACCAACCACAAATAGATTGCATTCGCACTGTACCCATGTCACTGAGTTCAGACCTCAGGCCGGGCTGAGCTCCAGGAACGGAGGCCAGAACACTGTAACTTGCTGGGCTGTCGTGGGAAGTGTAACTTAATTGGTCATTTTTTGTGACTGAAAGCTGCACCGGGTGTCTGCTCAGATAGGTACACAAGAAATGTTCAGCACCAGAAAAGTCCATTACTGTCAATCTCTCCAGTCTCTCTATCTCTCTCTCTCTCTCACATACTCACTCGTGATCTTTAGTGTTAAGAAAAATCCAATTCACTATTAACCTCCTCCCCACTGTGTGTGGATGTGGACGTACAGTACAATGATACCTGCCTTATTTCACTCTCTACAGTATATAACTGTCCCATTGGAGCCCTTCCTTTTGAGGTATCATTGCAGTAAAATCAGGGAACCCTGACTGTTTATGAGGTTTTGGGTTGTCAGCCTAACTCTAATGTTATATACATCACTACAATTTACAGCTCATTTCACTTGTGTCACGGAGCTTACGATTACCATGTAGGTGTGGGAGCTGGAGAGTTCAGGCACTGTGGGGGGTTATGTAGTAACTGTGGCTGGATCTTATATCCCTCCACTCTGTAACCCCTTCCAAACTCCCGGGAAAACTGGCTCCAAGGTTACATACTTGGCAATGGAATGTCGGCATCGAGCCATCCCTCTGTGACGGTCTCTAGTCTGATTCTTGAGCCACAGTATTCCAGGGCACTCACTGCTGATGACAGCCCAGCCTGGTTCATCGGCAGAACTTGGGGGAGAGAGATAGAGAGCTCACCTGGGCTGAGATCAGCTCAGCTCCACACAGAGCAAACCCAGACCCTCCCTGGTTGGTGTGTGTGGCTCAGTCTCACCCCGGGGAGTGACGTGACAGAGACAGTGAGGAGCTGCTGGGTTAGTTACTGCTGTTGTTCACTGTGAGGATTCCACCTTGAACAAAATTAGCTCTAACCAACCAGTAAGGCATCGGCATTGTAATTACTCACCAAAACCAGAGAGCCAGCTGTGCAAATTGGACAGTCTGTCAATATCAGCAAATCACAGAAGAGCATTTGGCTGCGTTGTTAACCATTTGGCAAGGGATTGCCAACGTTACATTTTCCCCGTCCCTCAGTGACGCACAGGCCTTAGTGATGATTTATACTGATCTGAAGCTCTGATAGACAGAGTTAGCTCTAGAGCAATATAGTTCTGTGTTTGGGACAAGAATTTTGTTGTTGTTGCCTCTTGGCTTTGCTAGTGGCCGACACCATGTTGCTCACTAGTGAGTGAGGATTGTCTTTTGCTCTGGTTAATAATGTGTCACAGAACCTCATCACAGAGCAAAGTCTCGAAGGGCTTCACAACGTGAGTTACTGTTCGAACGTAGAGAGTGGTTGTTACGTCAGCAAATCCACTCCGAACAGGCAGAAAGCCAGCGTTTAGGGAATGAAGAATTATCTGGAGATTTGCCAATGCTCCATCCTCCACAATTCATGCTTTCACCAAACAATGTCTTTTGCTAAATATACGAAAGGCAGTCAGCGGATGATCAGCCATTCATATCCACAGAGAAATAATAATACTAATAATAATCTTTGCATTTGATATAGTACCTTATCACATCTTCGAGTCATCTTAAAGAGCTTCACAGAATATACTGTAACGTGTAGTGACTGTGTATTTTGTGGGCGAAACGTGGCAGCCAATCTTTAAACACTATTATTTCACTGAAGGATCAATTAGATTGTTTAAATTTTTAAATTAAACAGTTGGGCTTCGGTAGCTTTGAGAGAATGGCCTTAATCTTATGATTGATGGGTGTCATTGGGCTTCCTAGCAAGCAATGGGTATCGATCAATGCAGCCCAGACACAATGGGTCAATCATTTCTTTCTTTCTCTCTTTCATTTTGTGTGTGTGTTTGTGAGAGAGAGAGCGAGAAAGGCTGCATTGTTGTTGTCAATGGAAAGGTAGTCATAGCATTACTGACACAGTGTCCTGTCATCATCCACAGGCTGGAGATAATAATAATAATCCTTGCATTTCATACAGCACCTCATCACGTCTTCGAGACGTCTCAAAGCGCTTCGAGAGTGCTCAAACCATCCGAACGTGGTCGAGAGTTTCTGACTACATTTCCTGTGAAGGGAGTTAAACGATAAGAGTGTTGAATGCAAACTACTAAAAGCTAATCTAGACTCCTAGCCCACAGTCAATCCAGAGCCTGGGATAGAATTCAAATGCTTTTATCTCTGCTAAAAGAGGCAATTTAAGGTGTAATGCTGGGATGAATCGCCCTGAAGAATGGGCTGATTGATTACGGTTTTTTGCTTCTCTTCACGGCTCACGGTTTGCTCATAACGGGAGGCTTGGATATACAATAACAATGGGTTCAGCAGCGCACTGTCAAATCATGGTAAAGTACACTGCAATAAACAAACCAGGCGCAGGGAGGGAGGAGGGAGAGAGAATGAGAGAGAAGGATGAAGAGAATGTGAATCTACCTTGTTCCTGGGACGGGGAGAGAGGTGACATGAGATCCAGTCTACTCTGATCCCAATTGATCTCAATGGATTCCCCAGGCTTCTCCTAATCATTATCCTTGGCTTCAGATCACAACAACAGGCGGCGTTCAGCTGAAGACTCTTTGGGACATTTGGTCTCATCCTCCCATGGATTCCAACCATCTTCCAATCTCAGCATCAAGCTGTTTGTTAAATCAGCCCTCGCAGTTAAATCAACCTTTTCTCCCGTTGATGCCTCTCTCGCTCGCTTGCTCTCTCTCTCTCTACATAGACTCGTAGCTGCCTGGACTGAGATTGCCCTTCGCACCTCAGGTCAGTATCAATTCAGCAGAAAGGTCAATGTGATGAGAGTGGTTCCCGACTTGTCCTCACTGGGGAGAGACAGAGAGATATATATACAGTATCTCTGTTTGCTCTTGCACACAGAAGGTCAAGGAGGAAATCTAACACAGGTTTTCGGCAGTATGAGTGGTTTCATGGGCTAAGTCCCCTCGTGGTCTGACTTTAAGGCCCTCGTCCTGATATTAATTCCATTCATGTCTCCCTCAGCGTATTGAGCCCTGGTCTCCAACCAGCCCAATCCCTCTGCCTTCTCATTGCCTACTTGCCTGAACAGGCACGGACACTACCTCGGTTTAACATCTGAGGAGGGGAGAAGAGGAGGGGAGGAGGAGGGCTCTGAACAAAGGAAATTTGGCTTGTTTCCCCCCGGGTGTGAGGCCATTATCACTGGCTGTGTCAGTCAAGGAATATTTGGTAGCAACTGATGTTTGTGACCCCACAGTGACTGAGGTCTTGTTATCAGCACCGCTCGCATGATGTGAAGGAACTCATACGCCATAACCCATTGTAAATTCCCTGTGTGTGATATAATCCCCGTCACTAAGCTATTAATGGCCATTCTCCAGCGCTGTGCTGGTGGTGCCTCACTATACAATTTACTCTTTGCTAAGCTGATGCGGTCTCACTAGGTTCTTCCTTATGGCTAAGCTTATGAAGTTTTAATGGGTGATTACTGTATCCGAGATGATAATACCTCTCAGCCATTGGAATACCAGCTGAGCCATGTCACCACTGAACTCTCCACGTAAATCTGTTCTTCTGGGATCTGAGAAAACACAGAGAACGGAAGAATAGCTGGAAGTTTCTTCCCGATGGCTCAGCACCTTTTATCAGAAAGAGGATCCTGGCATTAATGTCTCAGAGTACCGCACAGGATTTCACTGTGCAGCCCTGTAGTTCAGTGTGGAGTCCTGTAGTGTAGTGGTTGGAGCATTTGCCTCGCAAGCGAGAGGAGCCAAGTTCGATTCCTGTGCCAGGCGAAACATTGGGCAAGTTTCCTTACTCCACACACACATGCTTCTGTTTACCCAGCAGTAATCTTTCAAACACAGATTAGATAGTTTTCTTTTAGGGAATAACATCATGGGATATAGCACACAGGTATTTTGGGACATATGTGCATGCGACCACCAGGAAAGTGGAAGGTGAACTAGATGCACCTTGGTCTTTTTTCGTCCAGCATTGCTTATGTAAGGAAACTTGCCTAATGTTTTTCCCTGCCCAGGAATCAAACCTGGTCCTCTCACTTACGAGGCGAGTGCTCTAACCACTGAGCTACAGGAATTTTAGTAGTCTCCGGGTGGGGGGGGCGATACTCGCTGCACAAAGCAGCCCCTTTACACTTTGCCTGGATCAAAGGAAAGACCTTTGACTTTTCACATCTGCCAATTTCTCTGCATCTGCCTTCCGCTGATAGATAAAGCATTGCCAAGTCAGTGAGGCCGCTGTAATGTGTAAGACATTTGCACGTCAGTGTGTGTGGGCGGCTCCCCTCAATTCCCCTCCCACCAGCTCAGCTCAGTCATCCTGCTGTTTCCCCCAAAGGTAATAATAATAATCCTCTCATTTGATACAGCGTCTTATCACGTCTCAAAGCACATCACAGAGTATACTGTAAAGTGAATTGATTGTATATTTGTGGGCGAAACACGGCAGCCAATTGTGCTCAGCAGTGTCCCACGAACAGTCACCAAATTATTATTTCATTTTTATGGAGGGATTTTTACCCCTGTAAAAGCGATCCACCAATCGACTAACAATTAGGTCCCTACTTGCTGCTGGTAAACAGAGGCGTAGGTGTGGAGTAAGGAAACTTGCACTAACCTCTATGCTACGGCCTCCACGAGCAGTAACGTCTCTTTGCCTGTTTCCTTCTCCGTGCTGGTGGCATCAGTTAATCCTCGCCGACTTCCTGTCTCCTCATGGCGTTGGGAAAGAGAAGAGGGTGTTTCCCTGGCAACGAGTGCTGTGTTAATTCACCTGTGGATACAGTAATGAAGTAGAGGCCAATTAATATTATTTTCAAAAATGGCTCCTCATTACTTTTTGATCTTATTTTAATTTATTATTCTATTTGAGAGTGCGGAACCTCAACCTCCCCCCCTTCCCCCGCTCCCTCCCTCCCCCATCACCAACACGTGTGTGAGCGAGTGAGTGAGCACCCCACTGAGGATACAGTTCTATTTCTGCACTTTATTTCCCTTGGAAATCACTTCAATGGGATGGAAATTTGGCCCGGCTGATTGTGAGCTCAGTGCCAGTGATGTCAGCGAAATAACCTGCTCCAATTTCCAGCCTCCTCGCTTTTTATTACAGAAATTAATTAGCTTGAAATATAAACTTGACTTGTATTATCACCCTCAAAACCTTGCCATGCTCAACACACTTTTCTTTTAATAATGATAATCCTTTTCATGACTTCAAGACGTCTCAAAGCGTTTCACAAGCTATGCTGTAAAGTGCAGTGACTGTATATTTTGTGGGCGAAACGCGGCAGCCAATTGTGCACAGCAGCGTCCCCACAAATAGCCGTGGGTTGAGTGACTAAATGTGAAGTGAGGTCCCTGTTTTCTCCCTCCCACTCCCCCCTCTTCAGAAAGCCTCTGTTACCTGAGGAAATGGGCTGATATTAGTCTGGGTGCTTTTAGGCAGCTTATGTTTAGTTATTGTTTTGAAGATTACGTGCCTGTCAATGTGGAGGAACTGAGAGACCTAAACATTGCTCTTCACTGAGCCTCAGCACCGAGCAGCCCAGGTCAGAGCTCAGAGCTAACTGTAATATAAAGCTCCCAATAATCCTCCCAACATTGTGTCTTACCTTCAGCTTCAATCCTGTCTGATTGTCCCTAACTGTGTTAGTGTGACACCTGCATTCCCCCTCGCCTTGCCAGCCTCTCCTGCTCTCTCTGAGCCAATTTACTGCCAATTTAGCCCCCGATATATGGGCAGTTTGATGCCGTGGACCTGAAGCCATGAGGAACTGGGCTGAAGGTGTCGGAAGCCATTTCCCCTGGAACTTGAGGCTGTTAAGAAGAGGAGAGAAGGGTATTTATCAGTATCAGCCCGAGCTGGGACACAACCACTTACTGCAGGCAACAGGTTAGACTTAGACTGGCATCATTGCCAATTTGTGTTGTTGTTGATAAGACATCACTGACACTCCCCCACCCCCCCCACTCTCAACCTAGCGCCCCGCTCCCCAGGGAAGCTGCTGGTATACTAGTGAGGCTCTGATGGTGTATTGGGTGATTTCCCTTATCCTCGCTTTCCTCCTGTCTCTTTTTTTATGGAAAAAAAAGCAATTTAAGGTATTAGATTGCTAAACACACATCACAATCATTGCTTCTCACAACAACAAAACGGGTTAGTAAGAGGGGAAGGCAGCCAGGTAGACAGACAGACAGACAGACACGCACACACAGACAGACACGCACAGACAGACAGACAGATACACACACACATACATACATACACACACACACCACACACAACTATCAACAGATAAATGGACAGAGAGAGAGAGACAGATGGACAGATGATATTAATAATAATAATCCTTGCATTTGATATAGCGCTTTTCATGTCTTCCAGACGTCCCAAAGAATATACTGTAAAGTGAACTGACTGTTTTGTGGGCGAAACACGGCAGCCAATTGTGCACAGCAGCGTCCCACAAACAGTCGTGGATTGAAGTGACCAAATTATTTTTTTTTCTTGAGGGATTATTATCAGGTGTGTGTGCAGAAACTTGCCCAAGGTTTTGCCCTCCTGGAAATCGAACCCAGGTCTCTGGCTTGCGAGGCAAATGCTCTAACCACTGAGCTACAGGACTCCACAGTGTGGTTGTGGTTTACTGTAGTTGAGACCCATCAATAACAATATTACTAATTACTAATAATAATCATACTCACCTGTACGAGGTTCTCTCCTCCCATGATGCTCCCTTTCAAGACTGCGGAGTTAGTCTAATTGTTGTCAGTGGCTCAGTCGTCTCATCGCCCTCCCCTCGTTACCTCTCTGATGTTGGAGCCTTGCGATGGGTTAGGAGGGCAATTGTCTTGCACTTGACAAAGTGACACTGGATGCCCTACAAGTAATGTGACTGGTGACAGATGTCTTGTTTCCTGTAAACTCTCAGTCCCTGATGTATATCTAAAAGCGAGTGAGAGACAAGAGACTGAGAGAAAGACATGGAAGGACAGTTTGCTATATGGACACAAAGCTGAACTATAAACTCCACAAAGCCAACATTTTCACTGCGTAACAAATTTAATTACGATTACAAATTAGTTGATGAGGGGGAAATATTTCTAGGATTAAATTCTGCCGTTCCCACAACCACCTTCTGCACAGTTTCTGGTGTAGGGTGTCACTGTTAGGAACTCTGAGCTCACAGTCCAGGCTGACGCCCCAGCGCAGCACTGAGGGGATGTGGTTGTGGTTTATTGTAGTTGAGACTCCCCTCTCGATTCTCTACCCCCTCCTCGCTCCCTCCCTCCCCTCACCCTGACCATTTCCCCCCTGCTCCGGGTCCTGACCCAACTGTCCAGCGCCTTGGGACGTCCTCCCGACCTGAAAGGCGCTCTATAAATGAAATCTTGTTGTTGTTGTGTACTGTCAGAGATACCATACTTCAGATGAGATGTTAAACCAAGTTGCCGTCTGGCCCCTGATCAGGTGGACGTTAAAGACACCGCAGCACTAAAGTGAAGGGAGTTTCTCTCTCTCTCTCCCGGTGTCCTGACCGACAATCGCCCAAATAAAATCACTCACTTCACGTGTGTTTGTGGGCACATCACTGTGTGCAAATCAGCTGCCACGTTCACCCACAAAATACACAGTCACTACACTTGACAGTAAAATCCTGGAAAGCACCTTGAAATGTCTCGCCGACATGATGCGACAACAACAACAAATGACATTTACGCGGCGCCTTTCTCATCCGGAGGACGTCCCAAGGCGCTGGACAGTCAGGGATTTGGACCCGAGCTGAGGTTTGGGATCAGGAGGGGTGGAGGGCCGGGACATGGGGGGTCGGAGGGTGACATAAGGCGCTATCAAAGGTAAAAGATTATTATTATTATTATAATTATTCTATCCGGGTTTCTGAAAACGCAGGTCATAAACATGGATGTGCATAACCGCACAGATATATACCAACACCGTGATCGTGGACATGTTATTGTACATGTATGTACAGCTTTTGGGTCTGTCTGGCTGGCACAGAGAGAGAGAGAGAGAGAGAGAGAAGCTTTCTCCAGCTGGAAGTGCCATGTTGCAGTGCTAAACCTAAACCTTTTCAATCAAGCCAGGCTGAATTAATCACTTTCTTTTAAATGTCAATAAAAATCCAGCTTGGCGCAGGGGCACTGAGAAACAGCAGCTCTGTGTGTGTGTGTGAGAGAGAGGGAGAGAGAGAGCGAGAGAGTAAGCGAGAGAGAGAGCCAGTGAGCAGAGAGTGAATTAACAGCTAGTGCACATCAGCCAAGCACTGCAGATTTCACAGCACCCTCCAGCCAGCCTCCTGTGATTTATACACAGAGATATTCTCCGAAGCACGGTGCTCAAATAGAATTTACAAGAGGCACCAGATGTGGGTAAAGAGAGCCGAGTAGCTGAGCCGGGACTCACTGTGTCTGTTTAAGGTACAGTATTTTCACATTTAATTTTTTTTATGTGTGTGGAGATGGAGATGGAAGGAATGGGATGAATGACTCTCTCTCTCTCTCTGTTCCTCCTTTTCTGAATGCAGAGCAAGTAGTGTGTGTTAATGTGTGTGTGCGTGGGGAGGGGGGGGAGGCTGGTGTGAATAAGATCCGTGTGAAAAAAAGCTAAAAATGCCAAAATAATGTGAAAAAATAGCAATAATACATAGCATTCAGGGTTTGCGCTGTGTGTGTGAGATGATTAATTGTCATAGATAAGAATACGGTATTAAAGGTGCTGTGCTGTGAGCTGAGTTGATGGCCAGTCTGCGCTGAGGGCTGGGGCTGGGCTCAGGGTTAGAGATGTAAGGAGCTGAGGGTTTAAGGCTGTTTACAGTACAGTGCACTGCGATGCTGTTCAGTGCGGAGAGCAGGGAAGGGAGAGAAAGACAGGTGAGATCTGGAGTGTGTGAAGATGCCACAATTTAAAAAGAAGTAGTGTAACTGTGTGTGTGCGTGTGTATCTGTGTGTGCGTGTGTATCTGTGTGCGTGTGTATCTGTGTGCGTGTGTGGAGAGCAGAGGGAAGCTGTGATTGATCAGGGCTGGGATGTTTGCACAGCTCTGGGTGTATTTATCTGTATGTGTGTTTATCAGTGTGTGTATCTATATGTGTGTTTATTTGTATGTGTGTGTATTTATTTCTATGTATGTGTGTATACATGTGTGTGTCTGAAATGCTGTACACTGTCCAGCGCCTTGGGACGTCCTCCCGACGTGAAAGACGCTATACAAATGTAATCTTGTTGTTGTGTGGAGCTGTGATTGAGGAAACCTGTGTATGTGAGACTGAGGTTGATTGTTGATAATGTGTAATGCTGAGGGCAGTGATTAGCTCAGATAGACCGGGTTTCTGTTCCAGGTTAGTGCAGTGGGTGGGGGGGGGTTACAGTGACATACATACACACACACACACATACATAAATCTATCCCAATCCATGTCAGCTCCTTGGGACGTCCTCCCGATGTGCGAGGTGCTATACAAATGTAATTTTGTTGTTGTTGTTTAACAATGGTGTAGAGCGTGTCACTGAACACATGGGTTACATGGTGAGCGCATACATCCCTCTCCCCTGTCCAATCACGCCACCCTCTGCTTCCCCCTCCCCCCCACCATTGGCTCTGTGCCCAGTTCACCGTGTGATATGCCCCCTCCCCACCCACTGTGAACAATGCTGTGTAAGTTTGTTTTCTTCCACCTCCGACCCATCGCCCGTCTCCGCCAATACCTCTCCCCAAAAGCCGCTGAAACCCTGGTCCATGGCTTTGTCACCTCTTGGCTGGACTACTCTAACCCCCTCCTCGGCGCTCTCCCCTCCACTACCATCCATAAAATCTAAATCATTCAAAACTCTGCCGCCCGCATTCTCACCCGCACCAAACCCCTCTCCCCAATCCTCCAAGTCCTGGCCCTCCCCCCCACCACCAAACCCCACTCTCCGATCACCCCAGTCATGGCCCTCCCCCCCACTCCCAAACTCCGCTCCCCGATACCCTCAGTCCTGGCCCTCCCCCCCACTCCCAAACTCCGCTCCCCGATACCCTCAGTCCTGCCCTCCCCCCCACTCCCAAACTCCGCTCCCCGATACCCTCAGTCCTGGCCCTCCCCCCCACTCCCAAACTCCGCCCCCGATACCCTCAGTCCTGGCCCTCCCCCCACTCCCAAACTCCGCTCCCCGATACCCTCAGTCCTGGCCCTCCCCCCCCCCCCCCCCCGTCCCCCTCCCCCCCCCCACCCCCAAACTCCGCTCCCCGATCACCCCAGTCCTGGCCCTCCCCCCCACCCCCAAACTCCGCTCCCCGATCACCCCAGTCCTGGCCAGACTGCACTGGCTCCTGTCCCAGAGAGGATCGACTTCAAGATCCTCACCCTCGTATTCAAGTCCCTGCACTCCTCTGCACCCCCCGACCTCTCTGACCTCCTCCCTCCTCACAACAGTATCCGTTCCTCCAGGTCTGGCCTCCTCCTCGTCCCCCGAGTCCTCCGCTTCACCCTCGGCGGCCGTGCCTTCATCCACTATGCCCCGAGGCTCTGGAACTCCCTTCCTCACTCCCTTCATCTCGCTCCCTCCCTTCCCATTTTCAGGTCTCTGCTGAAGACCTTTCTTTTCAACCGCACCTTTGGTCACCTTCCCCCCCACCCCCCCTGGCTCGGCCCCGTGACCCGTTACTGTAAAGCGCTCTGAGACGCCGTCCGGCGTGGAGGGCGCTATATAAATCCAAGTTGTTGTTGTTAAGCATAAAATGTGTGTTTACACAGTGCTGTGTAAAGTGTGTGTATGTTTACACAGTGTTCTGTAGCCCCTCGATGTGTTGATCTGCTTCCATTGGCAGCCTTCTGCCTGTTTGCCAGTCTCTCCTTACCACGACACACAGATTGCAAATGACACCATCTATCTGTCTGTATATGTTTCTCCAAAGCTTTCTCTCTCTGGCTCTCTCACGCTCAATCTGGCTCCCTCGCTCTCACATATTCCCTCGCGCTCTCACATGCCCTCTCGCTCTCTGTCGCTCTCTCACACGCTCCCTCAGCTTCTCTCACTCTCTCTCACTCCTCGTGCTTTCTCGCACTCTCACGTGCTCTCTCTGGCTCTCACACTCTCTGTCTGTCTCTCTCACTTACCCAGTAACAGTCAGGTTTCAGGTCCTCGCTCACCCCTGTGATTTCCTCATGTTTGTTTCATTAATATTTTTGCAGCTGTTTTGTGGGCTGTAGAGCTGAGGATGGGAGCACAGCACACAACAACCTGACCCCTCCAGTACAGACAAACTGCTCCTGCTACACCTGAATGTACAGTAAAACACAGAGCCATGAGGAGGAACCGGGAATTAATCTGCAGCCACAGCAATTGAAAAACCCACGGATATAATCGCTTTTGAAGTGAACTTGTTTAGAGGTAAGACATTTTGGGATGTTGCGGTGGGAAGTGATTTGTCTCGCGTAATTATTCTTATAATTAGATTGGATTTTATTTAACTGATGTAGAATATCTTGACTAAGTTTTGGGTCATCTTCCCCCTCCCCCCCTCCACTTCCTCCATCCCCAGTGCCCCCTCCATGCCCCCAGCTCCCCCCTTAAACCCTGCTCTCCGGGGGTAATAATCCCTCAAAAAAAATGTGGTCACTCAATCCACGACTGTTTAGGGGACACTGCTGTGCATGATTGGCTATCGTGTTTCTCTCATAAAATACATAGTCACTATACTTCACAATATATTCTGTGAAGCGCTTTGAGACATCTCAACGACGTGATAAGGCACTGTAGGCTCTCACACACACACACATGCACACTCTCTCACACACATATGCTCAAACATGTACACCCTCATGTGCACACAAACACACGTTCACATAGTCATGCACACACATACGTGTTCACATACACTCACACACGTTCACATACTCGCGTACACACACGTGTTCATTTACTCGCACTCACACATACAC